GGATTCAAGGGACCAGAGGAGAGGCGTACAGGACTAGACGAGCTATTGGCATTATGTCAGACTAACGGTTGTCTAGCACCATTCGAAGGGTGGTGTGTGGAAAAATCCAGGTCGAGCTACCCGATCAGTACCCGTACAAGAGCCCGAGCATCGGGTTCGTCAACCGAATTTACCACCCCAATATTGATGAGCTGTGAGACTCTAAAATTCACCCAAGGTAATATTTCAACCAAATCTAATTGGGCGGCTAGGTCTGGCTCGGTATGTCTAGACGTAATCAACCAAACATGGTCACCCATGTACGACATGATCAATATTTTCGAAGTCTTCCTCCCACAACTCCTCCGATATCCCAACCCATCAGATCCGCTCAACGGAGACGCTGCAGCCGTATTGATGCGAGATCCGAAGAAGTACGAGGCCAGAGTGCGAGGTACGATTGGAAACTCATCTCCAGGATCATCAAAATTACATACACTAATCATTTCTACTGTTTACCGGATAGAATATGTCGCCAAGTACGCGAGCAAAGATGCAGCCGACGAAGCTGGCGAGGATACCGAATCAGATGACGAACTGAGCTCGGTTGGCAGCTACGAGTCCGGGAACGAGGAGCCGGCCGGAGAGATGGACGATGTATGATGAACATCTCTTTTTCTCGAAACTCCGGACCGAACTTTCACACATGTGTATTTGGGACTCTTGGACATGGAAGCACACAGGGATCCCTTAATTTCGTAGTTTGCCCCAACGGGGCTGTTACCCGGCGTTAATTCAGGAGTCGACTCACACACAAGGGATTGATTTAAGCCGCTTTTTTCATGGCCCAGAAATAATATTATATGTTAAATGAACGAAGAGAATGAAGCACAGAGCGCAGACAACATTATGTTCAACATTTATTTCGACAGGTACTTCCGGGGCGCTGTGTTTCGATTTTTCAGCAGGAGGAAGCGTGCCACTCTTAAGGAGCATGTTTTACATTTATCTTTATTTTTGTGCTTTCTATCGTCTTGCCGATAAGCTATTTATTTCCCTCAAAGTCCGTTTTTATGTTCCTCGGTATTTTTTTCTGTTTGGTTTTACATGTTTCGTTCGTCTCTGCTCTGACGATTTGGTTTCACGTCCTTGTTTCGTGGCATGTCTTAGGTTTTTACTTCCATACTTTATTTTAGCATGTAAATATCTCACCCCTTTTTTCCAAATCCAAACCTTCCCAGTTGAATGGCCAAAATAAATGGCCTCCGATTCTCTTCGTAACCCTGTCTACGACATTGATGTTAGGTGGCCAGGCCCTGCTGTACCAGCGAAGGAGCTGTCGACATCTGTGACGTGATATGTCCAGCAAAAGAAGGGTCAGTCTGGATATAGCGAATGAGGGCAGGAAACCTTGTTCATAGCTTATGGCGCCATGATAAGCGACAGATTGGGCATCTAGTAGCATGGCTGTCAAGATCAAATTGTCACATACTTTCTGTCAACCGTCCCCCTCCGCCTTTTTTTTTTTTTCTTTTCTCCACAATCCAAGCAGAAATAACTGACAGACAGACCTCTGAATCTAGAATAACCTTAGAAAGCAATCTCTTTTCCCAACGAAATCGAAGGCCAATCCACCCAACCTCCATTCATTCTCTCAAAACTCGGCGAGAAAAAAGGGGGGTATAAATCTATATACTCATCATCTTCACCATGATCATCAAACACCGTTCTCCTTCCACTCCTCGGCCCCTTGACACACACCCCCTCGTACAAAACAGCATGTAGAGGCACCGCCCCATCCCGGAACAGAATCTACAGCGCTAACATCCACTTTCTGCTCGCACACCGTCCTATGGTCCCCCGCAACCACATCGGGCGTATCAACAGCGATGAGGAATCCGTTCGTCCCGCCTTCCACCAAAAGCCTGTCGAAGCGGGTTGGGGGGGTGATTATGCGTGCTTGGCCCGTGAAGAAGAGCACCCATCCGTTTTGGTTACCATTGGGTGTTTTCATTACAATTCTTTAGATCTGTGTTTGGCCCCCTCAGCAGCACTTTTCCTTCCCTGTGATTGCTAATGTACACAGTTACAAGAAAGGGGGCCAGAGATAACCAAACCAAAACGAAAGAGAGGTGCTGGAATAAACTAAAGAACTAGCTGTGGGACCGGCGCGCAGTGAAACCCGCTATCAAACCACGGCGCAAGCACGGTATATGTGCCGTTCCCCATCAACACCAGGGCAAGGTTTGTCGCGCCCGGGGTGCCGGGTTCGTGCGAGATAACGAAGCTTAGCGTTAGCGGCCAGCATTCGAGGGCGGAAAGGCCATCCTTGCCGATTATCGCAGTTACGTTGAGAGTTGAAGGGAGGATGGAGGGTGATATGCGTAATGTTTGGTGGGAAGTGGTGAAGGTTGTAATGGAGTGGAGGATGGAGGGAAAGATGGCTTACAAGAAGGAAAGGCGCATGGTGTTTGGGCGGCTGGCGAGGGCGGTTAAGTTTATATATATGTGTGTGTGTGTGTGTATAAAGGTAGGAGGTGTGGGTAAATATCATCTGTTCTCAGGACGCCATCTGTTGTATAAATGTTGGGTTGAAAAAAGGAAATATGCTGTAGGAGTTTTTCACATATGGTGGTGAATTCCCCCGTCCGGAAGTCCGACATCACATAGCCGTTGCACAGTAGCTAAACAAAGAAGTTCCTCAAACCGAGTTCTGGCGAGAGTGGAGCGGAGAAGATGAGCTGTGCAAGAACCAGCCAGCTCTATCCTGACGGTATGTGGTCTGGGCTGAGCGCAGAAAGGCGATCGGCCAGATTCACAGACGCAGTAATGCCCCATGGAATAACCTAAAGCGCCGAGCGGGGAGTCAGCCCGGACGTAGGCCATGGCTTTTACTCCGGAGTCTCCAAGATATTCAGGGATTGCTAGTATTCTTCTTGATGTTCATCACAATGCATTGGCGGCGCGGCGCGCATGGAGGAAATTGTATCGTTGACGTGTTAGCTTATTAATTAGAAATCTGCCCGATTAAATTCGTTCTTCACAGGAACAAGTAGCTAGCTTTTCCTTGTACTGTACATGTCCATACGTGGTGCTGACATCCCAGCTCCACGTTGCGGTGTGGTTGTGCTGCTGTGCTGCTTCACGGCTCAATAAAATTAGAGTCAACTCGAGTAACATAGTGAAAAGAATGGACCATGCGGAAACTACGCCGTAAAGAGTCATGGGGAAGTTGAAGAGCTGATCCTTGCTTAGCCCCAATGTTAGCTTTATTGATAGGTCTTGAGAATGCAGAATAATAGATTTGAAGACATGGATTTTTGTGTTTTGCTTGCTACGAGCATTACACCAACTTGTCAGTTCGACAGTGCATGTTTCTCTGGGAAAGATGACACACGAGTAGATTCCCTAGGAGCCAGATGTCAGCGAAGTGGATGAACACCCCAGGCTTGGATAACATCACGACTCGAATAGATATTTTATGTGCCTACTTATTCTGTGATGGTACACATAATATGACGAGGTTATGAAATGGGCATGTGCGTACTTGACCAGGACAAAGGATTGGAATACATTGTATGTCCTGTACATTTGGTGCATTTTTTTTTGCCTTTTGAATATCCGACAGCTTAGATATACATTAGGATGCGAAAATGCAAGGAGAAGGAGAAGGAGAAGGAAAACGACAAGAGAAAGGAAAGGAATGAAAGTAAAGAAAATGAAGGGGTACAGCGTGCACAGTTATTTTGGAAGTAACCCAGAACTAGAAGGAGAGAATAAGAATGGAAACGAGAGGGACAAAGAAAAGGAAGAACGGTAAAAGCAGGGAATGGGAAGAGTATGGAGAGCACAATCATATGCATTTTCCGCCCGACCATATCCGCTTGGTTCCTTTTGTCTAGCCAAAATGAAGGACCCCAAGAACAAGAAAGCACAAAGTATAGTGAAATGGTAATTTTCTTCCCTTTTTTTTAAAAAGAAAAAGAAAAAGAGGGGGGGCTAGGGGTAGAAAGTGAGGCAATGCCAAAAAGAAGAGCTGGATCTTCTTCCTTTTTGATGGAGCTCCACTTACAAGTGGCCGATTTTGTGAAAATATATACAACGGAAGGATGACGATGCGCTTGTATTAAAAAAATATTCGGTAGAATAGCTGAGGCATGCGAACGGGTATATGTGCGCGAACAAAAAGAAGGAGAGAATAAAAATGGGGAGATAGTATCCCGAGAACGAGTTTTAAAGAAAAAAGATAAAGGACAATAAAAATTCGCCGGCCAAGACGAGGTGATGTCACCCAAATGACTTTTTGTGGAACGTGGAATTGTGTGAGAGGAAATGAATAAAAGGTGACATTTGAGGCCAAGGGCCTATGAAATTGGGAGCGAATTGGGACGAGGCCCCATGAGGCGGCGCGGACCAACTTTGAGGAGGCTTTCTCATTTTTGAAGGAGCAGGAAATAGCTTCCTGGGACATGTATTCTTAGAGATGGATATCCGGCAACGGAGTCGAGTACAATCACCAGACCGACTTTAGGAGGAATTCTCGGGAGATTGGAGCGGAATTCTCTCGACGGACGAAGTTGATTCAAATCGGCAAAAATATAAATCAATGCTCGACCAAGAGCTTCATTTGGCCCCTTGTTTTTGTCCATAAATACACTTCATCAGGTTGTTTAATCAACGACTAAAGGAGCAAATATATCCCTGAATTCATGTTTTCCGTTCTGAGTATCTAAACCAGACCTGGTTTTTTTACCCCTCCTCGTCGTCATAACAACTTCTCCCCATTGTTTTGGCAGGGTTGAGACATTGGTGTTCCTGGAAGGGGGCAGTGTCGCGTAGCGCAATCTCCCAAACTCTCCTGGAGCTGGTGATGCGGCCCGTCTAATGCTATCTACCTGGCTCTCTGTTTTCTGCTCTTGTGTCGGAGACTGAGGCTCTTCCGTTGTTGCTGATGTGGCAATCTCGTGGCTCGGTGCTCGCGATGAAGATGCGGTTGTTGTATTTATGGAGGAAGAGGTATGTCCGGGCAGCTGGGAGCTTTGTATAGCCCAGATATCAATTACAGAGCTGGTGGGTATTGACAACAGTTATTAGCTACGGAGTATACGCACTGGCAGCGACTTGACCTGTTGCCAAAAAGGATGGGCGTAGGCAATATATGGGCGCAAACTTACTCTGATGTTCGCTGGCATATTGCCTCTAAAACTTCCCTCTCCTGTTTCAAGTATTCGGGATCGGGACCCTGGCGATGAACTGACCCAACAGCCCCATATCCATAGCTTGACTGGTAAAGGTCATCGTCAAGAAGTCGCGATGATTCAGACTACCAAAAAACTGTGTTAGACTGGCAACGAGCCAAGACAAGCAGCTGAAGGGATGCAAGCCACCACCAGAAATCAAAACACGAGATAAAATCCTAAAGGATGACTTACATCATGACTATCCCGGGCGCTCCGACCCAGGCAAGAAGCGCAAATGCCCATGTATTACGACAGGGGGTATCTAGTTTGCGACTTGATAACGGAGAAAAATATTCGATACTCGGCCCTGGAATCGAGGGGTAGTTGGGAGAGAGAAATTGGCGGGTTATACGGTGATAACAAGGGGACTAGTCAGGCAAAAAGCCTGGACATAAAATCATCGAGTCGTCGGAGTAGCCAGCATCTGGGTATGCGGACTATGAGGAGGTTCGGCGTGTTGCAACGAGGTTGCAGAAGTGAAAGTCGGACGTTGGAGATTTGATGAAATGGCAGCGACACAACAGAATGCAGCCAAGACGACCGCGCTGACCAATCACCGGCCCGGGTCACGTCCAGCCACGGCTTTTGTTGATTCCCTCCGTTTTGAGGTCCTGGAACTCTCAATATCGAGCACGATCCCGCTTGAACGCAGGCTGGGGATCATTTGTCAACAAAAATATATACGATCCAAGGAGTCACAGTGGCAAACTTATTAAGTCACACCGTTTCCATGAGGACTGCTTAGCAACTGCGGTATACAATTCAACTTCAGTTGGACTCAATTTCCTTCCCTCTCCTCACGCTGTCTCTTCCCCTGTCGTTTTTATTTCTTAAATCGTGAAGCATTAGTTACCCCGGCGCTACTCCATCAACAAGGCAGAGCAGCACTGGGAAATGTGTATCAACATTCTAGAGTTCTGACTTTCCGTCCGAGTAACTGCCCCTGCAATCGTCTTTTTGCGGTTCTCGCTTCAGAGACCTCATTTTCCTTTCAAATAGCATCCTTGAATATATTACCTGTTCAATAAGTAATTGAATCCACTGACGGCCCATGTCAAGATGCAGCAGAGGAACCTAAACTTCTTGAGGCGCCACATCAGACTCCCTCTGTCCGTGTTCAAGCTCGTATCAGCCCACACGTCTGTTCTTCTTTTGATATCTTGAGGCCGGGGTCGCTATGGATGCAGTCTTTTGCAACCCCAGTTTTTGGCTCCTACAGTCAATGGAAGCCAAAATGGCTTGAAGCCTTTGCCTTGATCTGGCATTAAGGTCCGTGAATCCCCAGTCAACGCAGGTCCCTAGGTTGATAATACGGACTGGCCGTTCATACAACCAGCAACCCTTGTTTCGTATCCACGGTCATCCGCCTAGTCCCTGTCAATCACATAGCTTTCTCAGGTGTGCCATTTATTCGCTTTCAACCCCTTCCTTTGAATCCACTACTGCATCCAAGACAACACCTTATACCAGTATGAGTGTGACAGTGGGATTGTCTCACGGAATACATCAAACCTTTGGCTACGGGACACCTCCCACATTGTCCGGGAGTGCTCAATCTGCGGGGACAAGGCATTAGTCCACTAACGCCTTCAAGTTCAATCCAATCAATACCCTGGGTGTGATCTAATTATCTCATTTATTTTGATACTCCCATCGCAAAACACTGTATCCATGGCTTTATACTTGTACCCCGCTCTCCAGGCTCCCGCATTCTTCAACCAAGGGGTTGGAGATGATAATATAATAAGGATGGCTATTCCTACTAAATTGCAAGTTGTCGATCTTTTGTGAATTTCCAACTCGATCCGCATATACCGTAATCCTTATAAGGGGAGAAGTACCAACCGTCCTTTTTTTTTTTTCGTTTTTAACACGCAAAACATCCACAATGAAGTTTCTCTTCGGAATTCTTACCTCTCTCACCATTCTTGGAGCCCCCGCTCTAGCAGCGGTGAATGGTCCGTGTAGCGGCACCAGCGATACGCCGGGATACTATGGAATCTGCATTTCGACATCCTCCTGCAGGGCTAATGGCGGGACTTATGTGAACAACCGCTGTCCCAATGACCCGAACAACATCAAGTGCTGCACTATTGCTGGATGTGCAGACTCGAGCAGCTACTGCGGATGGACCAGTCGGCATTGCAGTGGGAGATTTAGAACTGGTATGTTTGATAATGGTGTTCTTCCTTCGCGGATCCGCTTTCACCTGCTGCCGGGATTTTTTCCCTTCCACCAATAATTACCTCTCTCGCACAAGGCGTGCTAACCCGTCTTTGAAGGATTGTGCCCGGGCGGTAACAATTACAAATGTTGTGATCATTGACACGACGCCCTTGCGTACTTAGGATTGTGTGTTGGGGGGGTTCCTCCCCGCGGAAGGTGTTACCTGCGAATGAAGTTGTAGTTTGGAATTTCTGGTCATCAGTCATCCTGCTCGTTGCATCCTTTGCCACTTCTGCTTCTTCAACTGCGGCTAGCAAATTGAATTCGCCAGCGGTTATTTCACAAAGCTTCCTTCATATTCTGTATCTATGCTGGTGGAATCCAAAGGCTGACTTTTCAACAAACCAAAATATATTATCCTTTCCCGCACTTGTGTGTGATTAATCAAGATAAACGAATTTCGAAAGTGTTATATGGAAGTAAATCAAAACTTTTCCCCTATACAAAAGTAAGCTTTTTCTGCCCTTATCTATTGGGAGATCTATCTGTTCTATCGCTCGTGACAAAATTACATGCATGAAATGAGTGACAGGATTGTGTGTATGAGGGGGACAGAAATGTAGAAATTTCCGAAATACTAGTAGATCTCATGACCAAACCATTGAAACAAAAATGAAAGATAGTCTGAGGAAAGGGGGAGCAGGTGTACGAGTCTTCCGCCGCTAGCAAACCGCGTTTTCATCACCGAGAATAAACCCCTGGGCTTTCTCAAAACTAAAAAGCCTGAGAGTTTAAATTGTGAGATATGTGCGACAAGAAAGAGAGCGGTTTTAGGACAATCTTTCGTCATTCTTCGCCCTTCATCACAAATGTGGATTCGGCTATATAACATTTATCTCGACACTTCCGCTGTCTCCGGATTTGGCCGCAAGATCAACTTGGGGGTGGAACTAAATATCTAAACTAAGCCTTGGCATCCACAATTTAACTTTGCACCTGTTGTGCGCTCTTCGCCGCTTGGAGCTTCCATTGTTCCTCAGTCAAAGTTCGTACCTAAATCAGTTCTTATATTACCAGCTTCTCCGAGCGGAATTTACTCCTCTTCCACATGCCCTGACTACTGTTTTCACACCCGCACACAATGTTCGAATTTCCCGACGCAAAACGGTAAGTTCACCATCCCTTTGGCCTTCCCGCCCAGCTTCTTGTCCACAGATCGATGCCCTACCAGACAGAATCTTCGACCACGAAATAAAAAAAATAAAAAAAAAATAAATTCCTAATTCTCCATCTTACACAGCGTCTGTCGCGAAGATCTACAATCCCGCCGTTCCTCCCGCTCCCCATCGCCTCTAGACACCGCCACAGCCACATATGCCGCAAACGCGCTGCGAAACATCTTCTCGTCAGTAGGAACTTATACTCCTCCTCCTCCTCATCTACGACCAGCAAATCCTACGGCAGACTTGGAACATATCCAGGATGAAGGTGAGGAGCAGGAGTTCGAGTTCAGACTCTTTCGTGAACCGCTGGTGTGTGCGGGGAAACGGGCATCGGGACACGACCGAGTGGGGAGCGGCCAAACCGATGCACCAAAGCAAGTGAACGGGATGGAAGCTGGCATTCGGAAATTTAGAATCAGGTTGCGGTCTCAGTCTCCTACTGCGAACGATGGAGAAGGGGGGTTTGTGGTCCCGTTTCGGGGTTGGGAGTATTACTTCTCAGACCCGGAGTGGGCGAGAAGGAAAATGGCGGGGGAGGGGATAGGGGCCCTGAGTGCTGAGTCTGATACACGGCAGAAGCAGGGATTCGTTGATGCTGCAGTTAGTGGGGAAACAATACGTGAAGGAGCAAAGAGTGGTATATGGGTGAGTGTCAGCTCTTTTTGCTCTCCAGATAATCCTTTGGGAGACATTACTCGGGAAGCAACAGGAAGGAATGAAAATGAAAAGGTAAATACAAAGCCGGTTGATGTTGCGAGCTAATACGATTCGAAAACCAGCCTGGCTGCCATCTTCCGTGGCGAGTCATCCATCTCAAAACGGTTCCATCCAAAAATAAACAGAAAGAGCCGACAGACTCTCCTCATACAGCAGCCGTCACTCTTTTAGATCCATTGTCCGTCTCAAAAGCACCGAAGTCTAGGAAAAAGCCAGGCAAGAAACGCCGTATCATTCTGCGACAGCGTCTTGCCGCCGCCAAAACTGCAGAAGCTGATGAGAGGGAAAAGCGGACGAGGCGAAATCGTGAGAAAAAGATTAAAAGGAGGCAGAAGGAAAGGGAGAGGAAGGCTACACTTCGTGAAAGTAAAGATGAGCAGGGGGGAATTGCAGGGGGTGAGGCAGTGAATAGTGATTTCAAATGATTGGCCGAGATATGATCGGGCATATTGCTGGCCGTATCCCTGACCAACTTAAAAATTGCAAGCAAACAGTTTCATTCCACCAGGGAAAAGGCAGCGTTTGTGACATCGAGAAGGGACGTCGGTGTTGGAAATCGCTAGGAGCGTGCTCTGGAGATTGCCGCCCCGCCGTGTAGTTGACAACATAACCAACCATATACATGCATCCATCCCACCGGCGAGCCAACCGGCGAGGGTTGGTGAAAGCTGCCAGGTGCCGAAAAAGCAGTTTAAAAATAACTTCTCCAAACCCACCATATGTCGCAGGAGGGAAGAATCCAACACCTAATCAATTTGCAAATTGCAGTGGAAAAAGAATAGCATTGTGAAACACGAATACAAAAAGGAATGTCGTGATATCATTTCGGGGCGCCGGTCTTCCCGGTCCAGCTAACAATTGGCCGATGGATGTTGTTCCGGGATCTTGCCGGGACAGCACCGGCTCGCCGAGTCCGCCTCTCATCATCTCGGAACGTGCCGCAGGCCAAAGCTTGTTGAGTGGGGCATTCCGAAGCTTTTAAGGCCATTCCCACAACAGAAGGATCAAGATGGCAAGTTTTGTGAATTCTGGAATGACAATGAAACTTCTTTCATGTTGACACAGAAAAAAAAACAATAAAAAAACAACATGGATTCTCTACAATATTTATAAGTAGTTTCTTTCACTTTCCAACCCTTCTGCTGTTATACTTTTTGTTTAATATTGCGTTAAGAGTGTTTCGTGCTTACTAGAGTATACCAGTATTTTTTTTCGTATCTATAGCATGGCTGCTACACCCTACCTATGCCTTTATAGTACACCACTTATAGCGATTGTCATTATTTTTTCCCAAGTCGCTGAAGATATCATGTTTCCTCGAGCCTACTAGAGTGTGAACCTCAGGCTAGCACGAATAGAAAATCAACCACGCCATATGAGGTCTCGGTTCTCAAAAAAAGTAAGAAGAAAAAGAAGAGAAGAAAGAAAGAAATGGGACAAAAGTAAATATTGGAGGATCTCATATTCTTCTTAATCAGTTTAAGACTGCGCTTTGGCACCAATCCACTCAACTAATTAAATGCATAGTTTAAACAATAAATGCGCAAGTTAATCACGTATTTTCGCGCAGGACAAAAGCCCAATCTTCCATTGTGGTGTACTTGCAATGCAACCGAGTGCTGACCGATGGCGTCGAACTTTCCGGTTCGACTAAACGGATTCGGAGGTGATGGCTGTAGCGTTGTTATCGGTGACCGCAAAATTGGCCGTGTTGTTGGCGGTTGCATTGGCGCAGGCGGGCGCAGGCGACCTCAGGCGCAAGTCCCAACACATCTACATCAGCAAATTCGGCCTCCACCAGTCGGCCTCCTTTGGGCAGAAAACCGATCAAAACTCTAATTATCCCACATGCAGTGGGCGTAAACCTCAGAATACATTAAAACAACCTCTCATTTGTGACAGTTAGAAAAATAATATCATATTTCACTCCGTCGATGTTTGTCGTACCTTTGAGAACCACGTTGGCAATGATGTCTGGGTCGATGGGAGCTTCAATTTTGACAGTGTAGAAAACGGTATCTCCGAGCGTGATAGGGTTTTTTGAGCGAGTAATATCGCAAAATGACATCTTCCCAAACTTACAGTCCAGTGGGGTCGGTGGAGGAACCATAACTAATGATTAGGGAACAGAAGATGGCTTCTCGAGTATTTAATTTCGAGAACAATAAAATATGCGGTGGATATTGATTAAAACGTCAGGTCGACTGATAGAGAGTAGGTATAAATGTAGGATAAAACGAATAATGAATGTAGACTGGTTGTGACATTAGAAGGTCAATTTGAACGTCAGGTAGTAGCTGACGATAAATAATAGATAGATATACATATATATACATGAGTATATCACTCTTACTCCCGGGTCTATTTAAATCGTGAATTCTCAGTCAGTAAATATAAAATCATACAATAAGAGTGCTATGAAAGGATCTTAAAGACACGCAAACTGAGCTTTTAGCTCGGAGTCCCTTCTTCTGCAAAGAGTCGTGTTTAAAAATGGTCTTTGACCTTTTCGCAATGAAGGAGCCTCGAGTATCCGGTATATTTTCCGGAATTAAGCGAATCAAAAACGTGTCTGTGCTGCTATCCTTGTTGTGGGAGAAACCATATCACTCCGTGTATTGCGATGGGATTTGGCGAGGAGTGTATTTGAAACGGATCAGGATTTGAGGTTCTTGCGAATTTCGCTTGGCAGTTCCCGATTCGAACTTCCCGCGAGGCAAAACGAAATAGACAACAAACAGGAGAGGCGGGCTCGTGGGTGACCTCTCGATGGATATCATCCTGAAAAGTAAGCAAATAAATAAATAAATAAACACCAAGTTGACAAACCTGGAACCCTAGGAGATGCTGTGGAGCAGTGTAGGATAAAACATATCTAACCTCGCAGCAACACAGTAACATCGCTAGAAGCTAGAGCAACATTCAACCCTTCTAGCTACACGCATAGGAGTTAACTGGGCCCCGTAATCACATAGCTATCAACGGGTAGTTAATACTTCTCATATCACACCCAAGAGTTTTGCTGAAGCAGTAGCACAAATATAACATATCAAATTCAATATTGTACCCCGTAGTTTAGTCAATCAGCAATATGTCAGATGAACAATCCAAGCCTTGATATTCAATGAGTAAAAACTGCAACTTCTTCCAGATCGGAAACGCATGTATAATTACCCCTGTCCTAGAGACGACGATTGATCATGTACGCACTGCGCAACGACGTGGGGTAGGGATAGGCAGTTCCAAACACCGGGAACATTGAAATGCTTCAACGGGGAATGTACGAGACAACACGCTATTGTGGCAAATTATATCATGCGCAGAGTTAACTCAAAAACATTGAGGGCAATTGGGTGCAGTAGGAAATAGGGGAACGGGTATTATGCAAGCAAGTTGGGCGTGGACAAACGGAAAAGACAGAGGCCGAAAGCACACTACGAGAAAACGTGCTAAGTTGCCAACCAAAAATAAAAACAAGTTAATGCACGGAATACAAGACAACAGGAATACAAAATTAATGGGAATACGGAAATATACAGTTGATACAACATGATATTAATCCACTAATATTCAACCCAGATTGGCATTTCAGTTTAGATTTCATGTATAATTGCAAAGCCACGTTCCATGGGTGCATTTGTCGCAGCAGAGTATGAGTCTCTGAGGTAAGTTCGGAAATGGGTTCATGAAGTTGCGAAGGGTATCCACAGGGAAAGAAAACATTTGTTCACGAAGCAGGAGCCGCGGGCGCGGGAGCATCAGCCGGCTTGGAGGTATCTGGTGTCGGCTCAGTTTCCGATGTGGGTGGTTCCGCGACTTCAGCGGGTTTATCCTCAGCAGGCTGCATCTCAGCGGGTTTGGCTTCAGGGGCAGGTGTTGGTTGGGGGCGCCGGGTCGACTGCGTTTGGGGATTCAGTGGGAGCGGCTGCAGGGACAGACGTAGCACCTAAACGGAGATTAAGTAGATTAATTTCTGTTATGATTGCATTGATACTTGTTGGTGAGCTTACCACCGGCAGTTGGAGCTGGAGTAGGGGCAGCATCTGCAGCTGCTGGAGTTGCTTCCTTTCATGGATCAGGCGCTGGAAGTGCAAGCCGCAGGTCCGACGGGCGGCAGGGGGTTCAGTTATCGGGGGGGGCACTGCTCCATCCGCCGCTGGGACAGTTGCTAGGCCGCATCAGGCGCTGCACCAGGAGCTGGAGCTGGCGGGGGCAATCGCATCTGCAGCAGTTGTTTCCGGGGTTACCAGTTGGGCAGCAGGAGCAGCCTCTGCTGGTGTAGTCTCCGTTGGCTCCGCATCTGCCACGGGAGCAGCGGTAGCTTCTGCAGAAGTATCCTTTACTGTAGCGGCTTGGGCTGTTGAAAACCTCTTCTTGCGTCCCCTGAAGAACCTTTTGAAACCCTTCTTCAGCTGGTCAAGCGCATCGGGAGCTATTCAAATGTAAAAATGGAAAGCCCAGGATATACGAAAGACAAAGGAAGTAACTGGAATTTCCCGGACAAGAAGACGGCTGGGAAACAGTAGTCTAACTTACGAACACCAGGCATGATGAGAAGGCTCAAGGGGGGGATCACGGGGGACGGGAAGTGAGAGAGCAAGAATATGTATCTGGCAAGTTGCAATAGATCGCACCCGCCACGCTATAAACTTGTTGAACAATAGAACGATAGGAGGAGCACAGCGGGCGGCGGACGATACGAAAAGGACAGAAAGCGTTGAGGTCGAGGACAGAGTGAGGATGTTGGCTTATTAAGGGAGCTGCCGGCGCGATGTCAGGGACGTGCACGGGCCAGGTATCGCTGGAATTCGTGGGCCCGTGACTAATCAGGAGCGGCTCAGGCAGTCTCGCCACGATGCCAGAAACAACAACCTCACATCTGGGGGTTTTACATTCACGGTGGCAATTAAAGTAGGGTGCTAATCTGCTATATTTCCCCTTAATATCGTACGGCAAAATGCTTCGCTCGATTGCTGGTTTTCATTCTACCATCGTATGAACGTCCCTCGTCGTCCTCCATTTCTGGACTGCTCCGTTCTGCGACTAGCGCCCACTTACTTGAGTAGCGCCATCGGAAACTCTGGGGTTGTGGGCTTCGTAATCCTGTCGTTTGCGAACAATGTTGCAGTATGACGTGAATTCATAGTATAAATTGAATTTTCCACCCTCCTTGTTCGAAACAAACACCTCATGTTCACCCTCAAAATCGGAACTCGAACCCTCAAGACCTCGTCGCAAATTTTAATTATATGTTTCCGCTTGGAGAGCGAGGAATCCAATAGAGTAGACTTGATTTAACCATTTGCAGCTGCTAGGATCTTGAAACAAGCTACTGGGCGCTTCCGTGGTGACCCTTTCCTTCAAGGGTTCATGTAGGCTTGGTAGGATGGCATTCCTTTTATTGGCTCTGTGTGCAGTACGCTGCAGATCAAGTAATGGAAAGGCCGCTTCAATAAAAAACGACCTAACCAGAGCTCTGCCCAGAAACCCTCGTCTACTGATTTGGCTGGGAAGGATTTGAGACAATACCCCAATCGCTGTCTCCATTGCCTTTAGGGTTCAAATATCTCCCACTATCACCAATATTCGGCAATGGAACAGATCCATGAGTGGCCCTCCTTGCCACCTGCGAGGTTGGTGAATATACCCTCAATTCCCCTGTCAGCGCGGGCGTTATCAACACTGCAAGACCTTCCACACGTACTTCTTTTCTTGTGTACGTATGCATTCCGTGATGCAGCACATTTACAATTGAAATCATATTTCTTCTTTTCTTCCCCGAAAATCAGCAGGGGAAATCGATATGTCAATTCGAATCTCCAAACTGTTCGTTGCTCCATAGGTTGCTCCACAGGTAATGGTTACCATATCCTGGCAGACTCAAGGATTTCATCTTAATACCTTTCTTCCACACTCAAAGAAGTGATTTGCATTTCATGTCAGCTCCATAATGAAACCCTTTTTCGGGTGGTCAAAAAACAGCCCATTGTCTATAGTGGTCGTTCCTAGTGGTAATTACCTAGGTACAATTTTGAAACCCACATGATCGTTCAATCATTCAACCCACGGTGTCATGTTCTTCCTTTCGAGCTTCGCTTCAGCGCTATGCCACTTTGGAAATCCATCCTTCTCCCTCCCCATTTTCACATCCCACAATCCCCCGGCACCGCCTCAGTAACAGTCATATCAGTCCTTCCGATCTCTGCTGCTCGTCCCCCTGTCAGCTCATTCATTGCTGCCTTTGCTAAGTTGAACCCGCTCCCAGCATGATCCATCGCAATCACGGGAATTTCCACGCCAGTCTCCTCGAATTTCAATTTGTAACAATTTCCGCAGTTGGTACTGTTCCAGCCTGCCACTGAGAACGCAGCGCCGATTCTTGGGAAGATGGGAAGATCGCCCGCGACGTGGAAACCTTTAGTTACCAAGCCATTGGCTCCATCAGAGCAGCTCGTCGTTAACAAATCCAGGTTTGCATTGTCGTAGGTCTCGTCATAAGCGACGGTCATGACCTGCTGAGAGGAGGCCAGGTTGGAGAGAGAGAGGAAGAGGGCGATGGTAGAAACGATGGACGATTTCATTGTCGCCGGTGGGCTGGATTTTAGATTTTTGTTTCCCTTGCGAAGATGGCAGTTCAGTGATCGGGTATGGCAGTCACAAAGGGTATGAGCCGATGGATTTATGCGAGTAACGTAGGGATATCAATAAGAAGAAGTGGCTAAGGAAAACTTTTGCGAATCTGAAAATTATTAGGAAAAGAGAAGAAAATATATATATCGGAACGCTGGAAGATAGAGGACAAGGAGCTCCTTGTTTGAAAGATGAGCAATTGAAGAAGCTACTGAGAGGCGTGGTTATTTTGAAGTTTCTATACCCTTCTTGCAAGTGTTTATTTATATTATACTTCTTTCACTCCTCCAACTAAGACATTTTGCGTTGCCCCTCAGGCGACGTTAAAGAATACGATCTCCACCGAGACAGCTTGACGTAGCTGCTGGCACTAATCCGGAGCTGTAGTCCCTGATGAGCCAAGCATGGCTTCTCTGTACCTACACGGCCCATATCTCGACCATCCAGGAAGAGAATAAAAAATTCTAAAGCTATGCGCGTGGATATAAACTAGCTGAACACGGAGCTGAAGCAGATAAATCACTTGACAAGCGCACGCTGCCTGGCCACCAGTCAGCCCTGCGAATTAGGAACATCACCAATCCCTTTCAATGAACAGGTAAAGCTATTTATATAATTCCTGCAAAAACTGGATAAAAAGCTGGCCGGCTTATGCATAACTTCGATAGATAGGGTTGCATACCGGTTTTTGTTTCCAGCCATTTCTTAACTCCAAGTACCCATGAAAATTGCTGCGGTATTCAGTCAAAAGACAACTCTATATTTATTTAATAGTACTGATGGTTGCAGCAGTTGGATGTAGTACGCACTATAATTTAACTTACCTTAGTATCTACCCAGCTCTATACGAAGACGATTAATCCCACGAGCTCTTGTGGAGGTGATAAATATTGGGAATTCCCTACCATCAGCATATGGCAGAAAGAAAAGTAGCAAAGCACGTATATAAGTTCGCTTTATTTATGCTGCAAACAGCAGCAAATGTCACTGTGAAACAATGAGACATATGCGAGGATCCAAGGGAGTACAAAAGGGGTCTGAGACAGCTGGGGCATGCGGACGAGGTCGTATGGAGGACATAATTTTGAGTTTGGAAGTGGGGTTTCTACTGCGGGTTGTATATTCTGGCTGGTTGGCTGAAGTTGATCTCTTTGGCTTTAACAGGGCGGTTGGAAGTCGTTGACATGCCCCAAAAGAAGAGCGGAAAAGGCCGTTGCTTAGAGATTAAATGGCGGATTGGGTGATGCCACTCAACAGGCAGTAATTATCTCAAAGAATGATCGACCTTAGTTTTTGTTGTTTCTCTTTTCCTCTTTCTAATAGGACATGAATTTTATGAAATTCCTCATTGCCTTTTCTCTGCACTTTCAACATCAAACAGAAGATGGAGGCAAAAAGTGCATTTGTAGCCAATCATACTGCGCATGTAGGTTAACATCAATCCTAGTATCTATTTACTTTTCAGAGTTAATAAGCCTAAATATGCCCCAGCAAACTGTTATCTAAAGAAATTTATCTTTATCTTTCATGTCTGTTTATTCTTTGAAACCGAGACAAATCCTCACCATACAATTTTGTCATTCTACTACGAAATAAATTCTATTATTCCCTCCTCAAATCTACACAAGAGCGTACGTGAATTTTAGCTCTCGTATGATGGTTTTTTGTTCCAGAATCGAATGACAGTAAGTTGAGCCATATGTATCAACAATCGTAGATATCATTTGCAGATAAGTGTTTGATCTGCAATCAAGGTGAAAGTATTGAGTAGAGTGCTGGTACTAGCCAGTTATTTGAGAACAGAAATAATTTTAACCTAAGTCACAAACTACAAGAAATGTCACAGTTTTCACTATGTATTACTATGCTCACTTAGAACATCGCAAGCTTGTATTGAAATGAGATTTCCATTGCTCAACAACATTTGATGTCCTTTCCCATCTCTCATTCTGATTGGACAAAAATAGGTTCACCTTCGGCAAATCATGTGATTCCGGCTTCCCGAACTTCTTTTGGGGCTGAACTTTAACCTACGTCAACATTGACATCGCATATATTCATCGATACTACCACCGTGCATCTCTTCAACTGCAATTACGAGGCGAAGACAATTTCGCCTACCTAATACCATCATAGAGTTGCAAACAGTCATCCCGTCATTGGACATGCGTTGATCAAAAAACAAGAGAACTTATATTTAATGCTTGGTGATACTTCTCGTAGTTAGTAGTACTTTTGCAATTTCGACGAAATCAACCACTTGAGCTTTCGTTCTAAGATCTGCTTACTGGCGTAGCCCGGATTGAGGTACATCACTGGATAAAAAATCAAGCATGAGGATGCTGATTTTACGCCTAATTTTTATCTGATAGATAGATGTCTATCCTTTTGCTCAAAAGTTAAAAATAAAATATCAAGTAACAACAATAGCAACTTTTGTGCGACAAAAAGCTGGCTTATAAATAAATAAGTGCTGATATTGATGGTGGAGATTTTATCCTACCAAACCTGAGCATTCCACAGCTGAAATAATAGTAGTATGGAAATGGATTGGGTTTACCATAACTACTGTGGAGGAATTTGCATCTCCTCCTTTAATGATTCAGCATCGGAGTTCATAATAGGATAGATGATCGCCATTCAGGAGCTTGTACGCAGCACTGTTGAAAGCTTGTTGGCGGGGTTTCCAAGTTGACAAAATGGCAGGGGAGTACTCCAGCCTAAAAAGGGATTAAAGACGGATTATTTTGCACATCCCCAAAGTTATAACTAATTGTAGCTGCCAACTAACGCTTGAATACTAATTACTACTCCTCGCCCTGAACGCTTGGTACCATATAAGCTCTAACTACCGATCTGGCGCCATCATATGTTCCAATTTGTATACGGCCTCACCTTACAAGGACACTTAGCTATCTTGGTACTCGGCTACGCTTGCGGGGACGTAGCAAAATATCTGTAACGGCGCTTCTCTGACCTGGGAGAGCCATGTTTGCAGGCACTTCACTCCCTCATTCGGAGAGGACACCATTACTCGGAAACGAAGCGACAATCGAGAACGGCGCTGACAATGGTATTACTAGAGAGTCAAGCTCAAGCACACCCGAGGACGTGGACGTCCCATTGGCAGAGGAGCTTACGACAAAGCAGTTGCTCTTGATTTTGTCCAGTATCTGGGTTGGGGTTTTCCTCGCTGCGTTGGGTATTTATGCCATCCAACCCCCACCATTCCATTCTGGCGCTACCAATCTATCTCATGACCCGCAAACCCCAATAGAGAAATAAATACTAGTACCTTTGCTAATAACACCTGAAATCTGTAGATGGCACCATCGTTAGCACCATTGCGGCTCCCATATCTTCGTCATTCAATTCGCTCTCACTTCTGTCGTGGCTCGCAACCGCTTACCTCGCATCGAACGCTGCATTCCAGCCCCTCAGCGGCAAATTAACAGACATTTTCTCCCGGCGCACGGGCCTGGTAGCCTCGAACATACTCTTCGCGATCGGCAACCTCATCTGTGGCCTTGCGAAGAATGAATGGGTGATTATCTTTGGCCGCACGGTGGCTGGAATGGGCGGAGGGGGCATCACGGCTATTGCCACCTTTATCAATTCCGACCTTATCCCTCTCCGAAGCCGGGGAATGTGGCAGGGTATTGGGAATCTCTGCTATGGTCTAGGGAGTGCTTTGGGTGGTGTCTTTGGGGGCTGGATGAACGACAACTGGGGCTGGCGTTGGGCGTTCCTTATCCAAGTACCATGTATGATGGTGTCTACTCTTCTAGTGTTGTGGAAGGTCGACATCCCAGTCAAAGTGACTGATAAATCACGGCTGAAACGGATTGATTTTCTCGGTGCAGCGACCCTCGTTGCGACCCTTGTTCTACTACTCGTGGGCTTGAACTGCGGGGGGAATCAAGTCCCCTGGAACCACCCATTGATTTGGACTACACTCCCGTTATCTGTGGTGTTTTTCATTTTGTTTATCTACGTGGAAGAGAAGGTTGCCACTGAACCGGTTATCCCTGTTCGTCTCCTTCTGGACCGCACTGTCCTTTCAGCATGTTTAACCAATTGGTTCTGCACCATGGCAGTCTTTGCTGTCCTGTTTTATGCACCGTTTTACTTCCAGGTCCAAGGGTATTCTGCCACAATGGCTGGATTACGACTGGCGCCCCAGGCCGTAGGTACAGCTATTGGATCCCTGGGCTCGGGGATCCTAATGCGTGTTACTGGCCGTTATCTCCACTTCAACTACGTTTCAACTGGCATTATTGTTTTGCCTTTGGCTCTGATGACCACATACACTCTCACAACACCTCCATGGCAATCCTTTGTTCACATCTTCGTATTTGGTCTGGGATATGGCAGCATGCTTACTGTGACGCTGGTCGCACTGATCGCCGCCGTCGAGCACGAGCACCAAGCTGTTGTCACATCGGCCTCGTATGCTTTCCGGAGCACGGGGAGCTCGATAGGTATCACTTCTGCCTCAGCTGTGTTCCAGAATCTACTCAGAACCGGGCTATGGTCAAGGTTCGGTGACCGGGAGGACGCAGCCAAGATAATTAAAAATATCCGGGACAGTCTTGATGCGATCAATAAAGTCCCAGCAGACTGGCGCCCAGGTGTGCTGGATGCATATATGGATGCTCTAAGAGGAGTATTTGGCGCAATGTTGGGGCTAGCAGTATTAGGTATGTTGGTTTGCATTTTCATGAAAGAGCATAAACTGCATATGAACCTTGCGAGGAAATGAATTTAGACGAATTCCAGCACACAATTTCATCTGTTTTTCATTGGGTACCAGTAACTTAGAAGAAAATAAGACACGGAATATGATATATAATCTCTCATGCAATCCCAATTTTCCACCTTGGACGCAATATGTTCATGATCAAGGCGAATGCATTCACAACCCGTAGTAGGTGGTGGATATACGCACAGAGCGTTGGACTGAAGTGCCGGCGCAACTTGACGTCAACTGCCAAAACCTCACATATGAGCTTGAGATAGATGAGGGAGAATCTCAGTGGGATAGTTCAAGCTAATTTCTGTCGTTTGTGTAACTATCCCAGTATGTAGAGAAGTAAATGGTGGCAATAGACTTCCTTGGCGCAATCCCCTCCAGCCGCCGATAAATTCTCCTGGCCTATGTCTTTTGAACCTAGAAACTTCCAAAGCGACAGCCCTCCCTTCTCAGTAGTTACCAGATTCTCTCATTCACCGAACTGGCAAGCCGTCTTCTTCATCCTGTAATATCTGACCTAAATCCTCCCTGATTTAACTCTGCCTTGCCTCGAAAGCATCGCAGGTGGTGGGGGGAGGAATTAAATTAGAATTGGGCTCGGTATGTGTTTCTGATCTGTATATCTTCACGACTGCCTCAACTGTGATCCGGTCTTCTAAACTGAAGCGAGATATTAGTAACCTGCATAACGTTGTGCTCGGCACCTCTAGAACCTGACGGCGAGGTTGACGAATACTAGTACATAGACATCCAACTACTTTCGAAAGGCGCCCTGTTGCCCTTTTCTCTAATTTCCTACCATCGTTGGTGAAAAACTAACCGCCGAAGTCACGGAACGTATGAATCAACCGATCAAACACCTTGACGTCCATAGAAGGGAATAAAACTGGAATACTAGTGCTAGCAGGGAGCATAGCGGAGAACCCATGGAACCAAAACTTCGAAGAGGTTACCGATTTATTATAACGAAGATATAGCAAGTTGGAGTGCGTGAAACAGCATTGGCAGTTGGCCAGGCAATCGAAGCGACTAAAATAGAAGCCGCAATTAGGATATTCCGCAGAACTTACGATCAGCATATGGCCGTCGATTTCACGCTCCCACATGCTCTATCTCCTCAATATTCCAAGCACCAGGCGCCTCGAGATAAGGTGACGGCAATGCCAGGTGTGGCTCTTACCAACGGATGCGCTGGCATAGAAATTGCGGCCGATACGCGTGTGTATGAAAACAAAAATGCGGCTACGGTCAGCGAAGTCGAGGTGGAATTAAACAACAATAATGGGATGTCGTCCGCAGATCCTCCCTGTAACAAGAATGCACGAAAACATGTCCTACTTTCGACAAATGCTTCGTTTGCAAAAGTTGCCATTCCTTTCCTTCTGAAAATGGCGGACGTGGAGCTTCGCGTGATATCAGATGACGTCTTGGACTTTACGCAGGGTGCATGCTATCCAGATACACCAATTTCCGCTCAACCAGGTTCCAAATTGAGTACACGTCCTTGGATGAATGTAACAGCAGCTGAGCTGATCTATTGGGCTGATGTGCTAGTTCTCGGCTCTGTCGGTGCGGGAACACTCGGAGCAATGATAGCTGGCCTCACCACAAGCCTCACATTAACTATTCTACGTGGTTGGGATATTTCTAAGAGGGTGTTCCTGGTACCGGGAATGACTACATCAGAATGGCAATTCCCGATGACCAAACGACAGCTCAGCAATTTGGCTACGTTTTGGCCAAGGATAAAGGTTTTACCGCCAACTTTATCGAAATTTGAACATCCTGCTGGACTCGTGGAGATTCCTTGGGATGGCTGGACAGTATTTAGCAGCGAAGTTCGAAATGCATGCTCATCTCTTCCTGGCCCCATGCAGGAGGATAATAAGTTGGCCAACAATGTTTGTAGCGGGACAAGACCAACACCCCTGGTCATATCAAGTAACCTACATGAAAGACAACAAGAAACGAATGAAGAACCGAATCAGCCTGGGACTAAAAGCCAGCCAACCAGTGCCATCTGCAAAGAGAGACCCATCCTTCCGCCGGAGTTATTGACGATGATTTTTGAGATGCTTGGCGACTGGGAAACAGCGACGTCAGTTGGAGTGTATGCCAAAATCCCTGTTCCCGAACAATGGAAACCTTACATCCCTACTGCCAGGTCACCAGCTACATTCGAGTACATTGTTCTTCGTGGTTCGATAAAAGAGATTGAAGAACAACTATCCACAATTCCACCCCGCAAGCCCCTGTCTAGAATTGCCACCGACCTAATCCTTAAGTTTTCTCGAACCGATATCCTCGATACTCTCTGCAGATTGCGAATGGATCTCTATTTATCAACTCCTGACCTCAAAAATCTACCTTTATCGGCATCTTCAAAATTTGGCAGCACATCTCTCCTTACCTGGTGGCATAAATCCTCCATCCCCCCTACACTGCCGATAAAGGACTACCTGCCCGAAGCGATTGATGCAGCCTCACGTGCGGGTTTTGTGGATGTGCTCGAATGGTGGCGCCAATCCGGCCTTCCCTTCCGCTACACTGAAAGGTCCCTTGAGTCCGCTTCCGCGGAAGGTCAGATCGCGGTCCTCGATTGGTGGAAAACCGTTTCCAAGAATGCACCTCTAGGCAACCCCGTCCCATTAAAAGTAGGCAAATCCGTGCTCCTGGCGGCACAATCTGGACGCACCGACTCACTTGCCTGGTGGGACAAATCTGACATCCCGTTTAGCCATGCCGAGTCTGTTACCCGGATCGCCAGTAACCATGGCCACGTTCCTGTTCTGGACTTTTGGCACCGACGGAAGCGCGAGAAGCTCATCTTTGATAATCAAGTTCTCGTTGGCGCGACGAAGAATGGTCATGTCGAAGTGCTTGAGTGGTGGAAACGGAGTGGTTTGCCCGTCGAGTTCAAAACGTGCGATATTGAAGAGGCACTGGAAGATGCAGTTTCTGGAGTAGAGCAGCGCGTGCGGCGGTGGTGGGCGCAGAATGGGTTGAATTTAGGGGTTGGGACGAACGAATGGATGATGGTTAAGACTTTGAATACCTGATATTGGCTGAATATGTTCATAATGTTCAACTCAATTTAGGGTTTATTCTTCTTTTAATTTTCGGGCCACATTTTCGGACTCCTTGTTCGTGTGGAAGACCCATGTCACTGTTCGCCAGCAGGCAGTTCGGACGTGATTTATTTTTTGGCCTTTTTATCGCAATCTGTGGCGGGTAAATGCCTCTCTGCTTTGCCCTGAGTTCGATTTTGATATTCGTTCAGATTCCGCTATAAAAACTGATGACTTTTAGGTTTACCCTTTTCATTGTCCTTTTTGACAAATGTTTTGTGCTCTCGTCCTGTGATTTTTGGTTCAGTGGGAAGCATCCATGGATCTGCGATTTGTTTTCGGGTAAATATCTACATACAATTTACGATTTATAATTTACAACCGCTTAAAAACTAATGCTGATTATGAGAATCATGAGCCAAGTCGGCCAGCATCTGGGGCTTCTCGCCCTCTCGCCATGTCTCGGGGTGCTACTAATAATGATCAGTATGTACTCTTCTGCTCGTATCTTGTTACATTAATGATTAAAGAGGGAGAGCTGAGCATCGAACTCTCTGCACATCACAGGCAATATTACTTCGAGTTTCAGTCAGTACATATCTACAGCGACATGACCATATATCCCTTTGGCATTCCCATTACAATTCATTTCCGCGTAATAGAGGATGCATAGTTGACACCGAGATGGAGGAAAAGTGGGAATGACACCCTTTACCTTCTGCTAATGTTTCTTTTTCTTTCTTCAGTGGCTCCGGCGTCGTGGATGCAGTGGTCTCATCTCGTCAATCCATGAAACTGGTGAAAAAAAAAAAAAAAAAAAAAAAAAAAAGCACAAATATATTCCATGCCGCTCCTCATCCATCCAGTCCTAAATCACTTGTAATCATCCCGGAAAACCATCATCCTCTCCACGTCTTTCCCATTCTTCTCCTCCGTCCACGCCCGAAACATTCCCTCGGAATTAAAATCAAACACGACTTTTCCCTTCCGCAACTTCTCCCCCAGTCTCTGCCCATCAATCTCCACCTCCGCTTCGATTCCAATGATTCCCCCCGCGCCTTCACCCGTCTTCCCCCACCGTCTTCCAGCCGAACGTTGCAACTCCCCACCCGGTCCCGCAACGGCAGTAACTGCTTGTTTCAGTGAGACAGGCTTTTGAGCGGATGAGAATCGTGCCATAGCAGCTGCAGTGCGTGTAGCTGCAGTGCGGAGAAAGGAGTCGCCATTTCCTGTACCAGAGAGGGCGACAATTCGTCGGCGCTGTGGCATGCCGCAGTGCCGAGTGTCGGAGTCTGTGTACGGGCCATATTTAGGGTTTGGTAGTGGAATTTTTTCAATATCGTACTTAGGTTGTTCCAAATTGGTATATTCCAATGGTCGTTGGAGAGATGAAGAGAAGCAGTCGCGGAGCAATGTGAGGACGGTATTTGGATTGAAATCGGACTGCCGCGGCGCTCCTACCCCAGCCGTAGAACTGATGGTAGTCGTAGCAGGGCCGAATTGCGATGGAAGCAGATTGGTATATCCATCATGGGCTTGATAAATCATTGAATGCCTATTTGGCTGGCTACTGCTTCGCAATCCATTACTGCCACCGGGACATACGCTAATGTTTGTCAACGGCTCCACCGCTTCAACATCCCACGCCTCCGCCCAGAAACCCGCTCCCAGCGTTGGAGTATCTCCAATCCGACCAGGACATTTATTCGTCAAACCACCAGTGCTAGTTGCGACAGCAATGTTCCCCCAACGATCAAGACAGACACATCCAACCGTTCCCTGACTCAAATACAGGTCATCCCCATCGTCAATTTCGCTCTCGCCACTTGCCTCCACGCCCACTCCCACTCCCATATTCCCGCCATCTCTCATCCTTCCCCTTGTTTTCCCTTTTTTCAAACCCCGCCGATGCTCGTCCCACCTCTTCTTTGTCCAAAACCAATCATCAGAACAAAATTCCAACCCCCACTCTCTCGCCAAGCCTTCCACATACTCCCCACTAAGCTGCGAATGCATATTGCCTCCACCAGCGTTATCATGATCCCCATACCCTGTCCTGAGCAACACTTCTCTCGCCAACTGAATCGGATGTCTCACATTGCGAACGAGCATTACCCCTGCCCCGCGTTTTATAGAGCCCGGCATTCGCTCCGACGCCAAGCCCTTAGCCTCACCCTCATCGAAATCACAGACATTGTGTTCATCAAGTAGCGACGCAACCATAACAGATGCCTCCATCTCAATCGTACCCGCAGACGTAAACACACTACCACGGCCACAATTGAAGAGTTCGTCATCTTCCATGAGCGATACAGCGTGCACTGCAGCGTTTAGGGAGCTGGCGGGAGAGTTGCGCATGTTGTGATGGACAGTATCGTTCATGTCGATATTGGATGGAGCCGTCTCGTCAACTTCCGCATTGAGCATGGCGACAGTGGAACGGAGGTACGTGAGGAGGGATGTGCGGTACTGACTATATAACTCTGGTGGGAGACGGGAGCGTTGGATATTCCCTGCGCCGCCGTGGAGGATCACGGCAGGCTTAAAACGGGGCTGGTTGCGTTCCCCTTGGTGCTGTTGGGAGATTGGCGACATTGGTGTGCACGCTGTAGACAAGGTATATAACGGCGAAGGTGTGTCGTGTGGTCTCTGTTCGAAACATTAACCGCTCCCGACTGTAAAAAATCAACGTTAATATTGTGTGCGGTCCCAGCCTTCATGCAGTTAGATGTGGTGATCTTTAAGTCACGTGCCATGTTCACAGGAAGGTTCCAAATCTGCTGTCAAAGTCGGTCAGCATCCACTAATTCCAACGGATAGGGTTGAATATCGGCAAATATGGGGTTCGTAGAAATATGTTGGTTCTTTTGTTGATGCCAAATATAATGTAATGTACACAGAATCGGTACCCAATGTTACTGCTTATCCTTGACCCGGTCCAAAGTATCGTCAGAGGAGCTAAAACTCATTAGAAACCACCCCACTAATAAACACAGATAGCATGCATAGGGGGGAGTTCGCCGGGGGTAGACGGATGTCGGCTTAGTCGGTGGCTGTTCGGAAAGGAAAGGAAATGATGTAGAAAATTGGAAAAACGACAAGAGAAAAATAAGAGGAAATATGAAAGAGGAAGGTAAAAGAAGAAAAATTACATGAAGAAAAAAACTAAGGAGGAAATAAAATGGGACCACGCCATAGATAGACAGACATCATTGACAGAAGAGTAACATCTATGCCCATGCCTCAGAGAAATGATATAAGCCCACGACCGAACTCCCGCAGACAAGAGGAGAGATTAAGGGGATAGAAATTGGATTCTTAGCACGGGAATCCCAGGGGCAAAAATAATATATAGCCCGACAATTAAGCTAGCATTGGAGTCGGCGATGATTTGTCTCCTGCTACTGGAGGAGGCGGTGGAACCTAATAATTGAGGAATATAAGTTAGGCATTGGGAATTATTGGATCAAAAAAAAAAAAAAAAAAAAAGGGACTTGCTTATCGTACATCTAATCTTGTATTTTCCGCGAACATTCTTTGGAACCCAATTCCGACGCCTTCAATCACAGCCAAGAAACAGCCGCACATGATGGCGGAGTTTCTGGCGGCTCTCATACCACCGCGAATGGCAAGCGCGCCTCCTGTTAAAAAGCCCGCGATAACTAGAGCAAAATATCGTCAGATACCCAGAAAAAAATATTGTTCCAAACAGACGGTATTATCCCGATAAAACTACCCCCAAAACTGATGCTAATAGACCCATTTGCTGCTCTCCGGAAACGAGAAGTCAAACGAAGGGTAGTGGATTCAGGGCACAAGGGGGTGCTGCACATACTGGCATTATACGGATCCTCCTTCTTCCTTATCCCCTTAACTGCACAGTCAAATGTCGAGAACAGGCCACCCCATACACCGAAGTTTCCACCAACAACGGGGGCTCGAGCCTTGATTGCCGTGATGGCACCTATCCGCCGTTCGCCGTAAGGGCTGTTTCGAAAACCTTTCACGCCGTGCCAGACTGCACCACCGATGGCCTGCAGCAAAAGCAGAAAACAAATGATCAGCTACACGGAGCAGTCACGTATTTGAAAACAGGGACGGAAACAACTTACTCCCATACTAAAGGCACCGCCGAAATCACTCAACGCAACCCAAGGGCAGGGATCTCTCGAATGATCCATTGTGACGGTATATGTGTGGAAGGTTTAACGAGGAGCGGAGGTAAATCGAAATAAACTTGAAGTTATTGATGTCAAGATATCCGACGATTAGTGGAACGCAAATGATATGAAAAATCTATCTTTTCTGTCCTTTGTCTAGCCTGCGACGATCCAGCGCGGCGAACGCTCCGAGCTTCCAACGTCAAAAGACGATTAACAATATTGGCTCGACAATACTCCCGCAGAGAGTTAAATGGCGGTAATGCAAGAGAGGCGGTAATGAAAGCCTCAGAAAGGGGATATATGTGAAAGAGGGGGCAATGTGTCGTCTGCGATAGAGGAGTTGCTCGGAAAGCATCATACTACCACTAAATGTCCTCCGATCAAAAACTTTCGCTTTCGCTAGAATGGGCTTGGCACAGTCACGTGCAATGTTTATAATATCACATGATATCAAGCTTGAGCTGCTGGCGCATAAAACATCCCGCCTTGAAAGCAGGCTTCGCTGTACATGTCAACATGAACTGCTCCCGTTCTACTTTGTTAAATTCAAGTTGTTTGACGTTCGAGAATATGGATCCCCGGGTTACTTGCAACGGATGATTTCATGATCTGCGAAGATGCTCTAATATTCCCTATTATGCTTCATCACATCATATCCCCTGGAAACGCCTATACAGATACAAAATTTGGATCTTCGTACATTGAAAGTCTGTGTGCCGATATCACCCCATATTCACTCTTCTTGACAAACTTGAAACATTCACCACCCCGGCGCTCTTTACTACTAGTACTTCAAAATGACTCGTACCAACACGCCCATGTTGCTCAGTCCGCTCGCTCTAGGTTGACTTGTTGATTCGGTTCCTTCCTGCCGTGCGGGCAGATCAATGGGGGGGCTTTTTCGCCGGATCATACTCATAAATCTCCCAATCGTCCGGCTTGTCCCCCGTGGGAGTGACGCCTAGAACTGCGACTCTGTTCTTCAGCAATTCCGGGTATTCCTCCTCCCACCACAATGACCTTTCGTTTGCATCCTTGCCGTCGGGGAGGATTAAGTAGGCATACTTCTTCGTCAGTTGCCCCATCGCTTTGGAAGTGCGTCTGAAAAGATCATTTCTAGACCCTGCGTCACTGGCGCACTTGGCCATCCAATCCGCCCATTTCGGATCCGACATGAAATAGGTGAAGTCTTTTGAGCATTCCGACTTTGCGTATTTCGAAGCTTGTTCTGTTGTTCCTGGGTAGGTGTAAAAGACAGTGTTCTCACCGATCCCTTTTTCTTTTAAGAAGTCGGAGATCTCCTTGAGAGAAGGGCAATTGTTTTGCCGTTTCCACAGCTGATTTTCGAGCGGCGCGGGCAGCACGGAGGCTAGAGCAACCAGGAAGAAGGAAGTGAAGGTGAAGAGGATACGAAATTTCATGATATCAACGTTTTGCGCACTATGAGGATGAATATATGTTGTGCTTTTGAGATGTGATTGTTTGATTAGGAAGATTCCGTTTTCGCGTTGGAATGTATAGTGGATTATGATGGTCATTCGACACGAATGCAATGGGGATTCATGACCATTTTATCGTGAATCAACGAGAAGCATATTCTATCAAAAAAGGATTGAACCAGCATCGCCGGGGCTTTCGAAATGATTCTTTTTCCGCTTCCCCTGTTCGAGCATTCTATTTTCATTACTTCCCTTTATGAGGGTTGCTATTTTCCGGCACTGCCGAATGCCTCTGTCTTTTTTCGGTTCGACGTAGGTGCATGGCAAACAAAGTCCAGCAATTTGACGTATCTCACCGTCCGCAATACCTCAGCTGCTGAATATAGATGAAGGTCAAAGCTGTCAAATGTCTCAGCATTCTCATCTCGCGGCAACATGAGGGGGGGATGGAAAAATGGTTTTTGTTTCATCTATTTCAGTTGCGGGTTTGAAACTGATTTTAGGGAAAATATCATTACTATTCCTATCACCGACGTCATCCCAACAGCTAAGCATAGTCTCGACAACCTAAAATGCGAAACTTGCTATGCACTGACAGACTTCTGCTACTGCACATACTCACCGACCCATGTTACTGAGCACTTCACAATCGAGGGCAATTTGCGAGCGAAGTCAAAACCGGGGAGGGGACAGATAAGAAGCTTAAGGAGCACGATTGACCGTAAACCCCAGAAACAGAATGTTTCCGGCCTTTGCAGGGAGGTTAGCATCGTGATCAGCAGTGGGTCTCGGATTGTTGAATGTGTCCGATTTCAAAGGGTTCTATTTCCAGCTTCCGTTCCAAAACACATTCACACTTCACGTATTCTAAGTTGCTCGGCTTCAAAGATCAACGGTCTTATTGAATCGGGATATGACTTCCGGATGTGTGACCGTCAAGGAATGGAACTGCTGCCGAATCTGCTTGCTGGACTCATTACTATTTCGAACGAGTGAGTCCTTCCATGCTAGAAGCTAAAGAACCCGTCGATTCTTGTCTCCGGTAGTACTGGCTTGGCTGCACAAACGGCTGTGATTGGTTCATCCCTCATGAGCTAATCTTTCTCAATCACGACCTCATCTCACCGAGAATGCCTTAACTCGTCGCACAACTCAACGCTGGATTCTTCCTCGCAACTCATTTTTTACCCTTGCAACAATGGCCTCGGTCGAAAAGCAGTTGCTCGAGCGCTGCTCAGCCGGCGATCACGACTCCGTCCACACTCTCCTGGACAACAACCAGCCAGCATCGCCAGACTTGGTGAATCAGCTGTTGGCTGCAACCATTGCTGCTGGGCAGATAGACCTTGCCAAATCTTTACTATCTCGATATCCCGACATTTCGTTATTGATGTTGCCTGTTCGCGAGGCCACCGACACTGCATCAATTCCGTTGTTTCAAGTACTCTATGAGAAAGATCCATCTATCGTGCATATGGAGTTTGAGAGAGAAGGCACACCCCTTGCACTAGCAGCTATGTGCGGCAGACCTATTGAATTTATCTCCTATCTCTTATCCTGCGGTGCAAACCCGAACCAGCCACCTTCTATTATCCCATTCCCAGTGGCCAGTGCAATATTCGGCTACAAGGGGTCGACAGAAGTAGCGATGCTTCTGTTGAAAAATGGCGCCAAGCTGCAACACACGGGTGCCCTGTGCATGGCTGCTTCTAGAGGCTATCTCGAGGCCGTGCAATTTCTTTTAGAACACGGGGCAACACCAGCAACAGATCAGCGAGAAGACGGTATCCCAGATCTCACTGGTATTGGGCCGGCGTTAAACATTGCTGTGTACAAAGGCAACTTGGAGATTGTTGATTTACTGCTCAAGCACGGAGCAGACATCAGTCAGAAGAACCGTGATGGAAAGACAGCATTGGACATTGCCGAAGAAAAAGGCTATACCCAAATCTTGGATTTACTGAGAGGACATAAAATGTAACTACTACTACTGGGGACAATTAAATCTAGCATAAATCAAATGTTGTTTATTTTCACGTTAAGCAAATAATACCATCCGCGCCTTTCTCCACCAAATACGTGATTTAAGATTTATTTGTGTAAGAGATGCAGCTCTCACAGCCTCCTCGGTATGCTTGGTCTAAAAATTGGACATGAAACCACCATCAAACCCCGCCAAACCCCTCGAACCCCCTCCCCCACCAAACATAACCATCAACCCATCCGCCCAAGTATGTCCTTAATATAGAGACAGCTGACTTTACTTTTTTCGACTGACTTGACATGAAGCCTAAGAGACACACAACGGCGATATGAATAGATTTTTTCCCCGCCGAATAAGTTCTTTTGTTCCATACTCCACCATGCCTTGCATCACAGTAACAGTTCGGAGAGCAAGAACTTGCCGTAGTTGCTATTCTCTCCACCCCGGGAATCATTCATCGCCTCGATATCCAGTCGGCGATGGGGGGCCATGGCACTATTTTTATGCCATTCTATTTTCAAAAATGCGAAAAGCCAGAATAGATCAATGAATCCACGGAGATGGACTGCTACGCAGCACGAGGTTGCCATAGGAAGAGGGTCGATATAGATATATAAACCACCAACTCGTTGCAATCAAGAGACACATTTATCTTCATCCAATATTCCAAAACACTCTTCTATTGTACACCCTGCTTCTATATCATCTTTTTCTACCATCTTAGCGTTGTTCATCATTTCCTCATAATATTCAAAATATCAATTTCCCATGTTGCTTCATTGGTTTTCCCTCTATAATTATTGAATAATCGTTGAATAATTATTCATAAGTTCACCTGTTCGAAACATCGCCGTCTATTTTCCATCAAGCCGAGAGCGGAGCAGAAGAAAACCAGGAGATGAAGACACTATTTCCATCGCTTTCAGCATTCCTCCTGCTGTGTGCCGAGTGGGCCAGTGCAGACCATCCCGGAATACCGGATGCTCTCGTGGAGGCAGCGCCGTTCTCGCAATTCAAAAACGTAGCTATACTTGGGGATAGTTATGCTGCTGGAATAGGGGCCGGGAAGCTCCTGGGAAGCAAGGAAGATAAAAAGTGTTCGCGCTACGACGGCGCATACGGTCCCGTTTTATTGTCGCTATCCAAGGATAACAAGCCTAAATCTCAGTTCATTGCCTGCTCTGGAGATACCTCAGACGGCATCAAGAAGCAAGCCGAATCTTTGGACGACAAGTCTCATGATCTGGTAACGTTGTCTGCAGGGGGGAATGATGCCCTCCTTTCAACCATTCTGATGAAGTGTATCCTTCTCCCATCAACCGCTAAAAGCTGTGATAACGCCCTTGCGGAATCGGAAACGATTATCAACAACAAGCTCCAAGGCAATATCGAGGGTCTCCTGAAAGTGGTCAACAAAAAGATGAAGGACGACGGCATCGTCCTATATACCCTCTATGCAACTTTCTTCAATTCCGAAACAGACAAGTGCGACAATGAGAGCTGGAATTTTCTTGGACCGGTAACTCCAGGGGGAGTAGGTAGCCTGAAGTTAACGAAAGATCTCCGCAGGACATTCAACAGGCTAGTAACGAAGGCGAACGACAAAATTTCCAAGGCCATCAAGAACGCCAATAAAGACAAACGCGTCAAAGTGGTGCCTGTCGCTTGGGACAAGTATGTGGTTGAATCGAAGGGGCGGTTCTGTGAAGAAGACCCAGATAGTAAGAACAAGGCATTTTTCCAGCCCAAAAACCCGCTCCCCATAAAGGCCGTCGAGGATGATGCCGAGAATCCCAACCCTGCCGAGAAGGCTGCTGCGAGTCCCAACCCTGCCGAGAAGGACATGGAGGTTATCCAGAAGCGTGTACCAGACGGCATCGGCAAGGTGTTCCATCCCAATGAACTCGGGCAAGGCATAATTGCGACACACGCAATCTTGGCTTTGTATCAAGCACTGGAACCACCAAAAGTTTGCAAGGTGAAAACGCCGAAACCAACATGTAACATGGACTGGGCATCCGAGTTGCCATTCAACGTTTTCGACAAGACTTATGCCAATTTCTGCAAAAGAGTAGAATCCATGTCATATTTCCCTCTTGAGATGAAGGTCAATTCAGACGGAAGCAATGTGAGCCCCCCTATAGTCGTCCAGGATCCTTCGAATTATCCGTGGTGGCCTCTCTTTGGTTTCCACAAGCGAACACCACCTCCCAACCCCAAAGCGTTTGACGATGTCCATATCATTTTCGACTGGTCACCGCGACACAGACCCTGCAAGATGAGCTGCAAAAAAGCACTCAGCACAATCACCGCGTCTCCTTGTAAGTCTCATATTTTATCAATCCCTCAGTCAACCGCGCATGTCTAACGTCGTTCAAAAAATAGGTGGACACACCGGCAGCCAGATGAACACAATGGCAGTCTATGGGGAAATTGACGCAGGCTGCGGCGTCTACAGATACAAACTTGATGGTCCAGAGGATGTTGTACCACCACCCCCCGAAAAAGAGCCAGATCCGATAAAGCCAGAGCTCTCAAAAATCCACTGCTACAAAACAAATGAGTTCGGCAAGCACGATGATGTAAACCCTCTGTTGCAGCGGTTGCTCATCAACCCAGCATGTAAACCGGCCAAAGGCAAGACCATGCGTGAAGGCGACGACCCCATTGTATATGATACCACAAGCAAAGGGGCCCCATATTATTATGAAATCAAATGGAAGCACAAGTGCAAGAGTACTGTTAAAGAGTTGGATCCGTATCATCCAGTTCCAGGTGATAAAAGTGTCGTGTGCGAAAAACTGTTCTATAGGGCTTATAAAGAGTGTGAGTTTCACGATTCCCTCATCGCATATTCATCTCTTGTGTGTTCTTCAGCTAATTCGAGTGTCCTTTCTTTGTGCAGGCGATAATGGGGGTACTGGTGGTTCTTTCGACGTCGGGTGTCTGCGATATGACTTCGCCGGCATGCCTAAGAAGTAGCATGTCGAAGCATTTTTAAAAGGGGACATGTAAAGTACAAACCGTTAAGGGTTGTTGGAAGACTGGGATTTTATTATCTGGGAATAGATTTAGAGTGATGAAAAACGTAATTAGCGGACTGTTCTAAATTTTAGCGGAATATTCATTTCAGTTTGTTTTCTTTTCTTCAGCGCACACTAACCTTAGCTTTTGTTTTTGGTCCTCTCTTTCATTAGAATATGCAGTCACTTCATACAAGACGTCAGCATCGCAGACATAATAACTTCAGAATCAAGTGGGCCATGAAAACGAAATAGACCTCGTTTAGGTAAGGAAAACCCCTATCTATTTGCACCTTGGGAGTGGCTTCAGGAGAATCTATAATTTTGAAATCAACCATCAGTACAGATTACTTCTAGTGGAGATATGTGAAAGCGTTCTTGGTACATATGTACGCTCGGTCAAAGAACGAAATGACAAAAATTATATAACACGGAAGATAATAATAAATTTTGTGCAGATTGGGAGGTGGCAGACAAAAAGGGCGGGGGGAATTATGATTGAAAATAATGAAAATCATCAATAGCGTGAAAGATTCCCAATACGGTGCCCCGTAGTATCAAATTCCAAAAAAGAAAGGAAGGAAGAAAGAAAAGAGAAAGAAAAGAAAAAGAAAAGAAAAAGAAAAGAAAAAGAAAAAGAAAAAGAGCAAGAAGAAAAAATATGCTTAAGAAATCGTAGTGTAACATATCGACATATAATGCATTATGTTGGTATCCCCCGCTAGATAGTTACAATCAACCAACCATCCACCTCCATCACTGTGTAAATAAAGGTGAGGAAATAAAATAGAGAAAGTAGAAAAGGTATGTCCGGCGGTTTCCCCTCATTTTGATATTTTGTAATTCAAAAAGAAAAAGGAATACAAGTTGACGAGGATGGTCCTTTTTCATGGTTTATTTGGGCTTGAATAGACGTCGTAGAGGACTATGCTTCTTCGTCATGTCTTTTTTCTTGGCTTTCTTGTCCCTATCGCCCGATTCAGTCGGCGGAGCGCCGGTGCGTCTCGACCGTCTGGAACTTCTGGTCGTATGTGTGTAGTGCGACGCGGTATCCCTGACAGACTCTGCGCCTCTGACACTTCGTCGACCCCCGCCTCCATACTCCGATCTAAGGCGGTGGTGATTGCTATGGTCGGTAGGGAAGATTCCAGAGACAGCAGCAGCCCGCGGAGTAATGAACTCTCCATCAACGGAGGTCGCGACACTTTCCGCCTCGAAATCAGCAACGCCACGCCTCCAGCTCTCCACGCGACTAACATCGTGGTTGAGCTCTATCAATTCATCCGTACTGCCTTCTGGCTGCGTGCTGTTCGCGGCTTGGATGCGCTTGACAATCTTATAACCCCCGAACATGACGATTGTAACACCAATTCCGACCCCAGCGGCAATCATGAATTGAGGGCTTGATAAAAGCGCAAATATGGCTGGTGAACTGGATTTCAAGGCTGCCAGTGCTGATGGAGCTAGCTTGGAGGCAAGATTGCTGATTTCTGCTAATGTGAGCGCTACGGCAGCCATAGCATCGGGGTTCTTCTGCAAATGGGCCATCGTGGCATGCGCGGAATGTTGAGCACATTCGGCCTCAATGAGAAGCCCTTTGGCTTTTGCAACTAGGCTACTCATCATGTCCTCGGGATTCGAGGTCACCCGCTCTAGCGAGGCAGGGTGGTATTCACCGTATGCCAGGTCCATGTCAACATTGGGAGCGGAACGAGACCGATTGCTGGGGTGGAGATATTGGGGCTGAGCAGCGATAGTATTGGAAGTGTGGCGACGTGAGAGTTCACGCTTTGGCATATGATCTGGGTGGGAGTAAATGGTGTCCGTGTCTTGTTCGATTCCGTGAGGATATCGGCGCGAAGGATGACGATCTAATTCACTGTGCCGCGCCACAGATTTTGATCTTCCCGGGTATCTTCTTGAGGAGGCCACGGATCGGGAATCGTGAATGTGATAATTCGCCATTGCTCGGCGAGCTTCCAGCTCCGCATTCTTAATCGCTTTGCCTGCGTTGATTTCGGCTTTGCGTTCTCGATAAGCTAATCTAGCTTCTTTGAACACCCCAAATAGGTGTTTGCTCTAACGAGTATAAGTAGTTGTCATCCAGAGGCGGATATAGTCATGACTTACTGTGCTCACCATCTTGCCTGACTTGTCGAACACCGCTATGGTTTGGCCGAGCGCAGCCATGTTGATGTATGTTTGCTTTTAACGGGAATCAGATGGGTATGTCCAACAGCGATGTCACAAAAGAACACCAACTTCTGAGGGTATGGATATTGCACAGATTGTATTGACTTTGTTCGAGAGGCTGGGGCGACGCAGTATGGCGCTTATGAATGGCGGTGTGGATGGGTCGCAGCGGGAATTAGAGCTCAGAGCATGGACCCAGGACTGAGAAATGGCCGCAAATATATAATGTGTCAAGAAAATGGTTTGGTTACTCTGAAGAAACGCTGCTTGATAATGTTTATATTGCTGGGAGAGCTTCAGAAAGGTGGAGTAGAACTGAGAATAACTGGGATATGTGGCACTGATAACAGCTATCCAGGGGGTTTGGATGGCTGGTCAGGCCCAAAAGAGTGGGTCTGGTTACAATTTCAAGAGAATTCAGGGCTGCTAGGTCGGAGAAATCAAGGAGCTATATAAATGATATAATATGGTGATGTTTGCTGGCAGGCCGTGATTGTTGGGCTTTAATTTTGCAGGGCGGTTGCCTGATACTATGGACTATGGGTGGGGCATCCGTTAAGATGAAGCTAATTTTTGGCAACGAAGCGGCCGTCCTCAAGGAATCACACAGATAAAACGTCAATATAGTAACCAGCCCTGCAAAACAAGAACGAAAAAGAGAGCGTCGCAGGTGGCGTCATAGGATGCAGGGACAAGTGTTCTAGCGAGGTTGTTCAATAATGATAACCACCTGGAGCAGCACAGAGGTGTTGTCGTGTCTCATCCCCGTCGAGGGGCGAGGCCTACTGCGTATATGGTTAGACAGTGACATCCGGGGTGAGGCGTCACCGACTAAAGCCGCTGGTTGGGCAAACGGAAAGCACAGAAAATGGGAAGAGTTTTGCATGAACCCAATAGTTATGAGCGCAGAGTAGAACCCCGCTCCAGCCAATGATCCAGAAGACGACGTTGTTGACTTGGTCGACTATAGTGTGTCCACGAGTTGTTCAATGAGTTTGTCTGAACGTCCAAGTTTTTTTTTTTGACGTTCGGCGATGCAGAATAGTCACGTGATATATTGTTGAGGTAATTTGTGGCGCATGTAACGGCATAGCCACACATGGCTCGTATCATGCGCCACCGCAGAGACTTCCCCGGGTTTTCCCGTTTTCCAGTGGCTGGAACATTGAGGCTGGGGACGGTTAGTGTAGAACACTCACTCACTCTCAGCTGAAAAAGATGAAGAATGCGACGATGTGTGGACCAGCGTGCTGGTTCAGAGAACGCGAAGCGAACTTGGTCAGGATCTGGGCCCTGGAGGTAATCATAGTACACGTGCATACTACTCCATAGTATTCTAGTATTCGTCGGAATCTGCATTTGATGCTCGCAGCTTCCTGTTCTCTTCCACTTTATTTCCAAGTATACTAGTACTACTGCTAATCTCGCTGGACTCCACTGTAAAATAGACCTGGCTGCATCTCATTCTGTACTCATCTCTACAGCAGTAGGCACACTACTACTGCTCATTACGGTAAAATGGTGTGTCATAGGAGCCCAGCGAGTCAGCAATTTAGCACGGGTTGACAAAGTAATCAAGGCGCCGCGGCGATGTTCCTGTATAGTAGTAGTACATATCTGTATACCAGTTCTCATGTTAATTCGGTGACGATTTCTTATCCAAACTGGAGGTCAACGCTTGTTGGTACTAGTATGTTTGTGCTCGTCAAAACTCTTTGTTCTAGGCATGCATGACGACTCTGGGAAGTCGTCACATTCTGCTTCCTGGAAGTATTCGGTCATGTCATGGAGTAATATATTTTCTTGGGCTGTACGTTGAAAATCATTCTGGCTCGCCTCTCTTCAGTTTCGAATAAAAATAGAGGTTCTTGTACATGAAATGGTACAGCGTTACGGTTCTGCAGGGAACCCTTTCCTTTCTCCTTATCTTCCGGAAGCAGTAAAAAAGTCGTTGAACATCTGGATTCCCACATGGAAAGATCTCTCGATCCGCTGAATTAAAAGCGCCCGTAAACGTTCTGTATGAAACTGGCCGCACAGGAAATCCCCAGGTTTCAAAAAAAAAAAAAAAAAAAAAAAAAAGGCTGGAAAAGCCCTTGAAACCACATTGCAAAAATAGTGGTGATGTTATGCGTCATGATGCAATGGCGATGTGCAGAAATCAGTTCTCTGCAATGAGTATTCTGAAATAGAAGGAGACCCAATGGGCAAAAAATTCCTGTGTACATTTCAATTGCGACCAGGTGGCACTTCTTCGCGAAGGATAAGAAGGGGGCCCTATCGCAGATAAGCAGCAGTTCTCTCTCTCGTTCTCTCTCGTTCTCTCTCGATCTCTCTCTCGCTCTCGAGAATTGGATTATTAAAATTGGAAAATTGGATAAAAATAAAATCCAGAAAAAGAAACGTCACAAAGAGGGAAATCTCCGAAGCGGTGAGAGAATCAACACTCACATATTTTCTCTGCCTCGATCCTCTGTGCCCTTGGAGTGTCTGAGCCGTCCGCTGTACATAATATATCCTGCGCCCAGTCGATGCTACTACTCTCACCTCCTATTGCATCATTTCCGACGCAGATAATTCGCGAGAACTCCCGCAAATGCTGATGAAGGCGTGCAACAAGCGGCCAGGAAAAGCACTCCTAGCACGGCTTTGCTGGGAGAGAGAACCAAGGTTAGTGGTGACTAGGGCAGGAAGGGATAAAGACACAATATTTGCTTTCCCCCCTCAGTTGTCGTAGAAGAAGAAGACAGGCGGCTATTCGTGGTCGCTCCCTTTGACTTGAAACCAAGCCAGATATCCGATGATAGTTCCACAGTAGCTGGGACCAACGGAGAAGAAGGGGTGCAGTCTTTGAGCCTGGAGAAAAGCGTTTCGTTTTCTTTTTATTTTAGCTTTTGACTATCCCCGTTTTACCTTGAAGCTAACGGTATTCTTTTGGTGGTTAACCATTGTCGATGTTAAGGCCGCGAAACATGTGCAGCTCCGACGAGTGGATACAGCGAAGAAAGTGTGGTGAGATTTTGAGCATTTTGTTTCTCTGCGTTCCTTCTCTCTATCCACCAGCCCGCAAAATGGGGGTTTTCCCATAACACGATATTTCCCTGCAGAAAAAAGAAAGAGAAAAAAAATATCTCCTCTATTGATGTTGTTGTAGCATTTGTTGGAATATGAAGTTTGTTGCAAAACATGGCGGAAATAAATACTGTGCTGCCCTTTATTAAATATTGTCTTTGGCGGTAACAGCGACGCAAAACAACTTCACCTCCTCCCAAGGAAAACACCATCCCAAACAACCCGCGCCGCTGTTCACTAGGCATGCGTCGGTGAAATGGTTGGCGTTGCACAGAACATTACCCTCCTCTGGTGTCTGACTGCTTAGTTAATAATAACGCCTTCATCTCCCTTGAGCGTTTGCTAATGGACGGAATCATGGATGATTCAGACTTCGATGGCCCTTCTGATATCGAACTGGAGCTCGACAGACGGCCCCAATTCCAACCCCAACATAGCTTCTGCAATGGAGAGACACCTCCTGATGTCCGGATAACCAATCCCTGGGGCGTGGGCCATCGCGTCCAGGCAGTTCGCTCTGTCCTCGCTCTTGTGCTTGACGAGGAATGTGTCTTTGCGGGCTTGCAGGGCGGCGATATTGTGGTATGTGTACCTCACGAGTTTTAAGAATTTATATACATATCCGAAAGGAAAATTATCAAGCTACTAACGATGTGATATTTATGCCTGATTCATCCAGGCTTGGTCTCTCGATACTTACGAACTGATCCTATCAGTAAAGGCTCATCAGGAGAGTGTCCTAGGTTTGTACCTCTCTGAGGATGGGAGCCTCCTGTTCTCAAGTGGCGGCGACTCTGTTGTTAATGTATGTTGTCGTACTGTCCTGCCACTCCAATCAATTTGTGAAATGGTATTTCATGTATAACTAGAATACGGAGACTAATACTGGCTAGGTTTGGTCAACGAGGACTTTTGAACGCCTCTACTCGATTTACTCTCATCACGATGTAGGTGATCTGTTCACAGTGGTGTACTCGTCCGATCTGAAAACAGTTTATTGCGGGGGTCAAAACACAAGCATTCAAGTACGGTTTCCTTCATCTTGCCCCTGTTTTATGTTGATAGCTGATTCTCAATAGTGGAGTGACCTCCAACTGGATGCCCCTCCACGTCCGCCTATTCCTATTCATCCGTCAAACAGAAGGCATCGATTTTTTGATTCCAAGGGACCTGGTGGCATTGTTACATTAAATCCTGATGCCGGAGAAGCGGTTCAGAAATTGGGTCTTGGTGGCCAGAGCCTCAGCTTCAAAAGAGACCAGCACAAGCTATATGCTCATAATGGTTATATATATTGCATGCTATTAGTCAGAGGCTTAGAGGAGTGGGCCAATGGCGATGAAGTACTTCTGACGGGCTCTGGAGATGGGTCAGTCAAGCTTTGGGAGCTCAGCAAATGTCCAGAAGGTTCCCCGGTCGAACTAGCCGAGTTGAAGAATGGCAGCGATTCGGTACTCTCCATTGCTGTCGATGGTGCGTTCCTTTACTGTGGCCTCTCAGGAGGCGCAGTTTACATATGGAACCTTGATTCTCGTCAGATCATCAGGAAGCTCACTGCCCACAGTGGAGACATCTGGGCAATTGACGTTGTGGGAAATGTTATTATTACTGGCGACTCCTCTGGTATCATTAGGGTATTTATGCACTGCTGTCTATATTTTCTATGTCTCTCGCTAACCATTGATGGCAGAAATTTAACTCCAGATTCGAAGAGGTCGGCTCATGGATTGCTCACGAAGGAACGATGCTGGCATCAGCTGCTGGTGTTTTCAAAGACAGGCGTATATATGCTACTGGCGGCAATGATAATACAGTCGCTATTTGGGAGTTAACAGATCATCCCCAAGATTTCCAAGAGATGCCTGCAGTTGGCAACGGTATAGAGACATAATGCCCTCTATAATACTCATTTACTAATATCTTTTTAGATGAGTTGGTCAATACCCTGGCAAAATTTGTTTCTTTTAAGACAGTATCTGCGAGACCCAAATTTGCTGGAGAATGTAACCAGGGCGCCGCGTTTCTTCGTCGTCACTGCAATTATTTGGGTGCGAAAACTAAACTGTTGGCGACGGGGCCAAATACAAATCCTATCGTATTTGCCAGATTTGACGCAGCGTCGAAGTCATCAGCCAACAAAACTGTCCTCTTTTACGGCCACTATGATGTTGTCGGTGCGGATACTAACCATCTGAAATGGAATACGGATCCGTTCCAACTTTGTTCGATTAATGGATTTTTGTATGGTCGAGGCGTGTCGGACAACAAAGGCCCGGTTCTCGCTGCTCTATATGCTGCTGCGGAGCTTGCCCAGAAGAAAAAATTAAGCTGCAATGTCGTCTTTTTAATTGAAGGCGAGGAAGAGTCCGGCTCTCAAGGATTTTCGTATACAGTTCGAAAACACAAAGATTTGATAGGAGAAGTTGACTGGATCCTCCTGGCGAATAGTTACTGGCTGGACGATCACATCCCATGCCTGACGTACGGGCTAAGAGGGGTGGTTCATGCTAATTTTGTTGTGACAAGCAGTAACCCTGATTTGCATAGTGGAATCGACGGTAGTTCTCTTCTTGATGAACCACTGAAGGATCTGACAATGCTTCTTGGTACTCTCGTTGGTGCGAAAGGGAAGATAAATATTCCAGGGTTCCATGAGCCAGTCTTCCCTCTAACTGAAGCGGAAAGGAGGCGATATGATGCAATTGCCAAAGCCCTACTTCCTCACCACCCCGAAATTGAGGACTACGAAGCTTTCACCGATTCCCTAATGCACCGTTGGCGTGAGCCATCGCTCACAATCCATCGCATAGAAGTTCCGGGCTGCCAAAATACATCCACAACTATATCGCGAAGAGCGCGAGCAACACTATCCGTCCGAATAGTGCCCAACCAAGACGTAGACAAAGTGGCCGCTGACCTGGCGGAGTTTGCACACGCTCAATTTGCAAAGTTTGACTCTCAGAACATCTTGACGGTTGAAATAACAGGGAAAGCGGAACCGTGGCTAGGAGATCCTGAGAACGACATCTTCAAATTGCTTTCGCGCGCTGTCACCGCAGCGTGGTCTTCCGCCAAGGGGGACCGTCACTACAACTACCCCCCTGTTAATCCTTCCAACCAACTATCTCGTCGCGAACCCCTCCGCACAAACTCAACGGACAGTGTGGCCTCGAATATCGGCAGAATAATTTCCTCATCATCCTCAGTACCAAAAACTCGCTCAGGACACAGGCTTTCGGCACCCACGGTGCCGACCTCTTCAACCCTCACGCACGGCTCTGACCTTCCAGGCACCAAACCTCCCAGCAGACCACCCGCACCCTGCCTACATAATGCATCTCCATCCCCTTGCGATGCAATCTCAGCAGCAGCAGCATCTGGGACGATGCGGTCCAATGACCATGGATCCCAACAATCCCACACCCGGGAATCTAAGTCAACATCCCATGCCCCATTATCGATTGCGCGCCCTTGCCAGTTGATCCAGCCCATCTACATCCGCGAGGGCGGATCGATCCCGACAATCCGCTATCTGGAGAAAGAATTCAACGCGCCGGCCGCTCATTTACCCTGCGGCCAAGCAAGTGACCATGCACACTTGGACAATGAGCGACTGAGAGTTGAGAATTTGTATAAGAGTCGAGAGATTATGGCGCGGGTATTTAGGGATTTGGGAAAGGATGTGAATGTGAATGGTAATGATGGCGTTCTCGAGGACGATAGTGCTGGTAGTGAAACAGAGGGCGGGTGGCTTGCAGAGGAGTAGAAAAAGCAGATAAACTGATAGATGGAATGAGGGATGATGAAAAGTGTTCATGGGGTCGTTGGTATCAAGCATCAGGATATCTTCTTGTTCCAATCGGACCCTTTGCTCTACCCGCCTCGTTTCTGACCCCTTATCAATTGTTCTTTCCAGAACTGTTTTCTCCTCCTATGATGTATTGATAAAACCTTTTTTTTTTTCTTCTTCTTTCGCTTGGGGAGTTCCATTCTCTCCAATCTCTCGTTTACTTTGCTATATCCTTTTAATTCGCTCTCCGCCTTCTTTATCCACTCGCATTATTTTTTTTTTCCACATCTTTCGAAAATCCCACACCCGGACACACGCATGGCACGAAAAATGAAACAGAACCTAGAAAAAAAAAAAAAAAAAAACTAATGACCTTATATTATAGTTATAATGCCTTATATTATATAATGACCCCGTATCATCCTTTCCCACATCCCTTTACAAGGAGAAAATACCTGTTGAAATTCAAACGCAGCATGCATGCATACAATTAAAACAACCCAAAAAAAAAAAAAAAAAAAAAAAAAAAAAAAAAAAAAAAAAAAAATTACAAAAATACAAAAATACAATGCCATGTATCTATACAGAGGTAATACAACCCACTCCCACGCGAAACGCTATGATAATACAATACAATAAAAATCCTGTAGTACCGCTTCTCAAACACACACACACACACACACACACACATGTAAACATGTAAAATACAGGACAGGATTGGTTGCGTTGCGTTTCACCAAATCCTCTTCGCCGCCATCTCATATCTCATCACCTTTTCAATCCCATCACCTCCAGCACTACCACTAGGCTTCCCAACTCTATCCAGCTCCTCTTTTTCTCTTAATCGCCTTGCGCCTTCTGGGTCATCGGCATATATCCACCGTCTACGATCCTCACCCACCTCCACAGCACCCCAACCGCCAACGCGGCGAGCACCCTCGACGAAGTCAGGATTCGACGCTGTTGTAGCTTGGGAGTTGGAGGGTTCTCGCTGTGGTGCTGGTGCTGGTGTTGGTGTTGATATAGTCGCGGTGGATTGTTTTGCTGATAGTTTGGACGAGGTGGGGTTCGTGGATATCTGCCGTTCTCGGGATTTCATTTTCTTATAGCGGGCGCGGGCGTAGCTGAGAAGGATTATGCTGAGGATGAGTTTTGTGAAGAGGAGGGTGAGGTATAAGATGAGGACGAGGATGATGGTGAAAATTGTGATGAAGGATGCAGGAGACGGGGTGGTGTGGGCTACCATCGTTTGGAATAGTGAGGAGACTTTAGTGAAGAGGCTGGCATCGAGAGGGTAGAGGGGGAGAATAAACGGGGGAGAGGGTGACGGGGATGGGGAGTAATGGTCGTGGATTGACGTCAGGGACGTGGTGTTTGACGGCGCGACGAAGGATTGTGTCTGTGGCAACCAGGAGGTTAGGAACATCTGGTATGTTTGGATGGAGACGCGGAAGAAGAGGCAAGCGAGCGGAATGACAGGAAGACCTAAGCGGCGGTTAAGATTCTGATCTGCGAAGGCGTTTGTATAGTAGTCCTTGGCTAGTATGTCAAGGAATCGGCCGTACATCGCGGGACGGGTATTGTTCATATCCAACTGGATGTATGCATGCTTCAACCAGTCGACTAGCATCTCAGAACCTAAGACGACGAGGCCAAGGCCCCAGAAGGTGACCGATCGTTGGGAGGAATGAGTTCACTTTGCTAAGCGAGGAGAGGAGAGATGATGGGAGGATGGTGAAGGCTTGTGGAAGAATGGATGATGTGGCTCGCTGGGTGTTGAAAACTGATGTAGCATTCGCGTTCGCAGCCGGCTTGCTACCAGCAAATAGGCTCAAACCACTGCCAAAGCTAAAGATACCAGTTTCAACAATATTTCGAGACGCAATAATTGTAAGCATCAACCAGAGTTGAAACCGCTCAACCACGTCGGCACAGGTGAGTTGGAAGAGATTCTCCTTTTCGAATTTTTTGAAGACGGTGGATTTAATTTCTACAAATTGGTTCGACAATAGGAGAGTAATCAGTGCATTTGAATAAGAATTCACCGCCACATTAAGTGTGATGACCTGATAGAAAAGTGCGGCAGAATGTATAACGGTATATATCAGCGCGATGATAAACAGCCAAAGTGGGCGGAGAATCTTGCTGCGGCCATCGGGTTTTCTCTCAAGAGCTTCGCGTGAAAATAGACATTCGAGGACGTCCTGGCCAATGGCTGATAGAAGTCTGTCGCCAACCTACATATCCAGGGTTATTAGCCTGGGGGAAACAAAATGAGGCGGCAGGCCAGATGGAAACATACCTCAAGTACATTATAAATAACGTAAAGTTTAATAGCGGCTTGACCGCGAATCCAGTGATACACCCGGCTGGCATCGAAATACATTAGAATCAGGCACGTGCAAATCATGAGGAATCCCTTCAAAATATCGGCCTTATCGTTGGGCAAAAGTGTCGAGGGAATAGACCTAACCCTGCGATGGCCTCGGCTGGAAGCCACCTGGGTTCGCCGATCATTTTCAGACGCCCGATTCTTAACATCATCGTCAAGGAAGGGGCTGTCTTGATCTGTAGAAACACTATTCGAAAGCTCAGGCCGCGACTGAGTAGAGCCCAATTTGATATTTTGATCGTGTGCGTTCCCAGGAACAGCGGGCTTCCCTTGGTGTCTCCGCCGCCATACCCTACCAAGTCCGGCAATAATAAATCGCGAAATGAACTGCGCCTCGGCTCCAACATTGATAGCCCAAGACCGAAGAAGAAGAAAAATAGACTTGAGAAATCGCAATGGCAGGATCGTAAAGTAATAAAGCCACGCGTCGATACATGCAAGAGTACCAAAGAAAAGAACCCGCTCTAGCGCAGGTGGTAGAAGGAAAAAGTTTTGAAGCCGTTCAAGTTTCGCGCTCGAGGACTCGTAAGGGAAATCGTTCTTGGTGGGGCGGTGAATGTATAATGGCGAGGGCCGATCAGAGGCCAGTTCTAGCTGGAGATATGTGGAAATAGAGAAGGGAGGAAGTGGGATGGATTGGGGTACGGGAGAAGAGAATAGATCTGGCGCCGATGAGGAAGATACACGACTTCTAGCGGTGTCAATACGGTCCGGCCTTGGGGAGGATCGCCGGTTCTGGAAGCCGTCAGTGACTGAGACAGCTCGGGCAGAGTTGCACTTCCGACGAGAAGAGAATGGACGGGCGATTTGATGTGAGGTGAGAAAGTCGGGAGCATCCTCTAAATGGACATTTTTGCCAGCGCTCAGTTTGCGCCTGGGAGATTTTATTCGTTTTGAAGAACCATTCACAACCCGTACACCCGTCGACGTGTCTGGGCTTGCGCCGATAGTTAATGGATCTGAGGGTATTGGAGAACCTGAAGTTCGCTGTTCTTTGTCTGGCTCTAGCGGGATGGAATGTAGGGGTATAGATTGTGGTGAAGAGGTGAGTTCATGAATTTTTGCAGGAGACAGTTTGAGGACTTTGTCCTTTTCACGATCATGGCTCGAAGGGGACTTTTGGCTTGCATCAATCCGCTTCGTAAAGCGGATTCCTGTATCTGCAGGTTGTACCGCCTGAAGGGCCGGCCTATCGCCATAGGGTTGGGATACCATTGCAGTTGCAAATTCAACATTCTTGACAGTATTTACTAAACTCAGTTGATGCTGGGTTGAAATTGGCGCAGAATGTGGTCTGTCTCCCCTCTGGGTGTTTTTCTCTAGATGATAGCCATTCTGGATAGCCTGATATTCCTTATCCAGCACTTCCATCTGTGAAAGATCTCGGCCACTAGCCACTGCATAATTTGATCTGTTCAAAGGCACCTTGACTTCTGGGTCCTTTTCAGCATCACTCCTGTTCAAGCTCACAATAGTACTCATTGTTTTTTCCACCAAGCTCCCATTGCCCTTCACTCTCGTCGTCACTTCGCAGAAACTATTGTTCCAACAAGTGCGCCGTGATATCGGTTACAGGGTCCAATGCCACGATCGTATCGAGCAGGTTCTCATTATCTGCGGCTATTTCAACGGGTGGGGGGAGGCTTAATCGTGGATGACTGGAGGTTTCCCCTGAGTGCGGGCGTGGAGATTGAGGAGAGCTGCGTCTTTCAGATTGCGGAGGAATCTGAATGGAACATCTTGGGAGCCTGTTGGGTTGGTTGCGCAGCTTAGTCAGCCTGATGGTGTCAATATTAAAGTTAGTACGTATGGATAAAAACAATGCGATAATTCACCGGTCACCGGGTATTTCTGACTTTTGCAGAACGGGGATCGAATTCCCATCTCTAGAGAGTCGGCCGTGCATGCTCCATGATGCGACGAAAATTCCAGAGTTATATACACCCCTATATAATACTTACAGTACATACAACACACAACACCCCCCTAATCAGAAAAGGTTTATTTACTCAAATGATAGACGCATTCTTAAATCCCATTTCAATCAATTAATCGCGACACCATAACCACACTGACAACGGTAGAGAGCAGGTTCAGTATTCACGCTGAAAGCTCGTCTTGTAGCCTCCCGCGTTCCTGTAAAAAGCACTTTGTGAACCATCAGATCTCCCATCCAATGGGTTGTCAAATCATTGCCCTCTCTATCCAATAACTAACACTTAGTTATTATTAGAAGTCGTTGGTTAACATGGGCAGTATACCCCCAAGTCCCCTGCAGCCCGCAGACAGCGGCAAGTGGGGCCAATGCCCACGTTTGCTGTTTGTTGACGCCGCCCGCGCGGGCAGCTGTACTATGTATTAATATCATGCAGGGCCGAGGTGTGCACACCTGCACAGGTGGTTGTGAAGGAGTGGAAATTAAAAGAGAAGAAAGAAAAAAAATTGGTGGGGGGATAAGTAGGGGAGAGGAAGAAGAGGAAAAAGAAGAAGAGGAAGAAGAAGAAGAAGGAATTACGTCGGGATAACTAAAAAAAAAAAAAAAAAAAAAAAAAAGAAAAAAGAAAAAGAAAAAGAAAGCCAACTAAAGGAGAATGGTTAGCTATGTATGGTTTTGTGCAGTATAGGTGTGGTGCTGTTTGGTATTTATTTGATTATTTGATTTTTTTTTTTTTTAACATTTTACACCTTATACATTTCGCATGTTCGCATGTCCGCGTGTTTGTTCACATCAACAATCCATGATACCACAGGGCTGGTGTGGGGGTGATGTGAGTGTGCGTTGAATATCGGTTGAGATGGGAAGGAAGGAGAGGCGTGAGGATGGCCGGATATCTACTGAGATTGGAGGGAGGAAGATTCTTAAAAAAAGGGGGAAGGGATAATAGAATAGGTGGTGGCTTGTGGCTTTGCATTGCGCATGAAGAAGCGTGGTAGATTATTAGTGCGTATCGGCATCTGGAAACGTACAGCGGAAGCGACAAGTAGTATATTGGTTAAGTAGGTAGACTCACGAAAACCAAAAAGCCATAATAAAAGAATCGGAATCAAGAAAGAAAAAAGAAAGAAAGAAAAATCGTTGAATATATTCACACTGGAACCAGCTTTTTGCCTCTTACTCCCACTTCCAGTTGCCTTTTGCGCCAAGGGACGCCAGAAAAAGAATCCAATCCCGGACCAAATCCATCACCCAATCAATACCCAACACCACGAAGCGCAAAATATTTGAAAGAACTTGATAGAATTCCAGATTCGTGGGCGGGATTCAATCCTTCAGCAGGGAAATCAGGCACTAATGCGCCCATGCATACAATATATTGCAGTCAATGCAGTAAATTAAGGAATATTTCACATTTTATACACAAGAATATGCAGAATGAGTCTCATTTATTCCTCAGAATTCGCCGTAGGGCGACGGATGTTGTGGAGGTGCGGTTCCTGATCGCGGCGGTCGGGGTCTGCTATTCGGGGTCGCGGATCGGTTGTTATACTCATTGGAAGGAGAACTAATGGCGGGACTAGTAAAATTGCGGACTGGAGGCAGGCCCGGGGTCATTCCACGGGTGGGGGGCTGTGGGATAGGCGTCCGAGGTGCCGGAGTCAGGGGACCAGGGGGTGCTGGGAATCCTTGGTAGCCACGGTTGCTAGCGGGCGTCAGGAGTGGTGAGTATGTTCGAGGGGGAGGGGGTGACATTTGCGAGCGATTAACGGGGGAAGCGCGGCCGCCGATTGCTGGCATTGGCGGTGGGAAGGAGAATTCTTGGTCTGACAGTGGTGATGGGCGATCGTGCAACCTTGGACCTACCATGAGCGACGGCGGTGTCCCTTGTCTTTCGATTGGTGGTAAGACTGGAGGGCCCCGATCATCGTGTTGGTTGGCAAAACTAAATCCCGCGGCGTTGTTTACCAACGGTACGTTGTCATCTGAAACGCGAGACCCATGGTTGTTGCTATCCATAGCCATATCGTCATAGGCGGACCAGTTGAAGTCTGGCAAGCTTGGTTGACGGCGAGAAGTAGGCCCTGGTGTCATAGAGCTGGAATATTGCGTGTTCTGACGCGAGAGGCCTGGCATTTCTGGAATCCCATCTGAGTTGTCCTGCCGCAAACTAGGCAACGTGGGTTGACGCTGAGGGCCGGGGCTTCTTGTTGAGGAGTTAGAGTATGGCGGGAGTGTTGACACAGTTGTCTGGCGGGAAAGAGGCGGCGGCATCTCTGGGAAATTGTCGGAGGTTGGTTTGTGGAAGGCAGGGAGCGTGGGTTGTCGTTTGATACTATTAGTCCCGAGTTCAGGGTCTGACGGCCCTCGATCCTGCAACACAACATCCTTAGCGAGTACTTTGTCGACCTTCTCCTTGACTATTCGTTCGAACCGCCTGTTGATCTTGCGGCGACAATAGGCGGTAAGGGAGCCATCCTCGCTCGGGATATGATGCCACAGGAAAAGAAGATATAGGATGCACGACACGAAGAGACTGAGGATGGAGAAAACCCAAATCACGAGGGTAAACAACATGGCTGACAGAATCACCGCCTGCCGCTTATCCTTTTCGGCCAGAGCTCCAACATTACTGAAAAATTGAGAGATGGGGGAGGTGCCTTCGGGGGCAGCGTGCTTTCCTTGGAGGATCAAATCGGATTCCATGACGGAATACAGGATCGTCCCATTGATAAACTGGCGCGGGCCCTCGGCGAAAACGGTCCGCATCCACGATTCAAAATTGAAGTAGGTGAAAAGCGCAACGTAATCAGCGCCCTTCTTGCTCTTGGTAAGTTCGTAAAACACCAGGAAACGTCGCCAACCCTGGCCCTTCTCCCCGATGCGGATACTCTGCACTCTGGCGGCCAGAGGGTCAAGATAGCTCTGAGCGACGCCTCCTTGTCTGAGGACACGGACCGCACGAATCCATCGGTAGATGAGGAAGACGAAGGACAGCATGATACATCCGGCGAATATCCATTTTGAGATGTTACGGGGGATTAACTGTTGGGCCTCGGTCGACCATCGATTGAATGCGATCAAGTTGACAGCGGTGAAGCTGTCGACGCCATAAACGGCAGTAGATATAAAGACGGAAATCCAAAGAATAAAATAGGAAAATTGGGCAAAACACGTCTTCGACTTGAAATCTTGAAGATTCTACGTGAGCCACGTCAGTGATGAGTTGAAAGGGAATAAAAAAAAAAAAAAAAAAAAAAAAAAAAAAAAAAAAAAAAAAAAAGTAGGATGGCGATCCCCTTACAATGTATTCCCATTTTTGCTCTGCTCGCATATGGCCCCAGTATTCTTCCTTCCGGCCCGTACAGCAACCCATTGTCCACAAAGATTCCGAGTTCCGAGCTATGATATATCACCTTCTATAGCCCTACTATTTTTTTTTTTTTTTAAAGCGCTTTAACACGTTTGAACAGAGGACGACCTGGATCAACCAAGTATGAGGATAGGAGGGATGTGTACCTGTACAAACGTGTACTGGGAAGGTATTTATTATTTATTGTTTTTGTGTATCGGAACGGTGGTGACCGTAAGGGGATGAGAGGAGAGAGAGAGAGAGAGAGTGTGTGTGTGTGTGATCGCGATACCTCGGCCCAGCCGGTCGCAGAAAGGATAGAATAACGAAAAAAATAAAGGCAATGAAAGGATAGAGAAAGTAGATTTTATCGCGGTAGTTTTGTGGAAGGGGGAGAGAGCCGAAGGATTGTGTGAAGCGATAGATTTGCGAGGGATACAATGCCGGTAAGAATGCGAGACCTAGCTCAACGGTCGGCACGCTGCCCCTCGAGAGTGTGATTTGAAGCAGTAGGGGAGTCAGTCACATCGCACTGGGCGCGAGAGATCATCTAGCGGCGGCGGTGGTGGTGGTGTCAATCGATGGAGAGAATCCGAAAGGAGCGGCGGGACTGCATCGACGAACGAGAGAAAATGATTTGCTCGCGGTGGATGGGGGATAAAGGAATGGATGGGCGATTGTCGTCCAGTGGAGCGGTGATGATGATGGTGATGATGGTGGTGGTGGATGATCTGTTGAGGAGGAATAGAGTCTAATGTCACACTTCGAGGGCGTCGCGGCCTGGGCGCCAAGACAGGGGGCATGTGTGCAACCTTGGTTCCTCGGAGCGTCAGAGCCAACAGATGAGGTGCAACAGAAGCAGTGCTGGAACAACAACAACAACAACAACAACAACAGAAACAGACAGCGGAGAAAGAGGACGAACAGGAGACAAAGGCCCAGTGAATGGATAGTGAAGGTCAGAGATGAGATGCACTACAATCACTACAATCAAACTACAATACAACAACTGATCCAAGAGAAATGGTCGAACAAATGGATTGGACAGCGCCCAAGAGCCCGGCAACTCAACAGTGGCTGCAGGTTGGATGTGGCTCATTTCTTCCAATCAGCCTCCTCATCTCATCTTCCACGGCACAGCCAATCAGCGGCGTCTCTGGCTGACACGCTAGCTGTTTTGAAACTGGTCCTGCCCGATTGGAACGTGCCCCTGGCGACGCTAGTCCAGATTGGGGTTGGATCCAGGTACCGCCGCCGCATACGGTTTGGCGTGGAATTGGAAGCATCTGGAAGGATTTCCCGATCGAGGAGAAAGAGAGGGAGGAGAGAGAAAGATGGAATAGCTTAGAAGATGTGGATTATTGTATATATACATGGTTTCTTTATCCATTGGCTCAACAATTCGTGCTGACAATGGTTGGGGGATTCATAGAGTGTACTCCGTACAGTAGTTACAGACACCCCACCCCGACTTATTGACAACTATATAAAAGGGACGGGGGTTGAGAGCGGTAGGCGGCAATGTGGAGCGCAGTTGATTGTTTGTCGAGGTATCTGAAGAGAGAAGAAAATATCTCTCTCTCTACAGAATATATATAATGTGGCTGTACCTGTTCCCTCCTTTCCTACTGCGTTATAGGGGCTGTTGATTGTATTAAACCTCGCCAGTGGTTTGAAACTGTTGTTTCGAACCTCCGAAAGGTACGGAGTAGTTAGTTAATCAAAAAATACCAACCAATTAACTGTTGGCCCTAGGCTGCCTATCACGGACTAGCGCACCGCACATAACTGCCTCAGCTGCCGACATGCTAATACAACCACTTAGACGTCCCACATTAACTTAGCCATCCTTCCCCCGGATCGACATTTCTGTTTTTCTTTCTTTCCTTTCAAGAAAGATGACGGTATATAATAAATATTCATTCGTTTTTATTTGCTCTTTCTTCGCTGTGGAGCTTGGCCCTTGGCCCATTAATATCTCGGTTGATTGGATTTTGATTTTACTTTTTCTGAAATCGAAGAAACTAGAAAGAAAAAAATAAAAATAAAAATAAAAATAAAATAAAAATAAAAAACTGGGATGAAGGAATGTTATTAGACTCAGGTCGGCCGGCCGAAAGGAAGTAAAATAGAAAAGAGTAAGGCGGACAAGATAACAGAGGGGGAGGAAAAGAAAACAAAGCAAAAGAAGCAAAACGGAATCGCTTCAAAATGGATGAGGAAAGCCGTTAGTAACCCGCACGTATCTATGTATGTATGTATGTATGTAGTTAATGTACCGTACAAAAAGAAGCAGAGAAAAGAAATTTGTAAGGCAAAATGAACACTCGAACACAAACCCGATTGAAGTCCGGAGTCTAAAATGAAAATAGAGAAAGACCAAAAACAAAAACACGATCAGAGGGGAATTGGGTTTTCTACCGTATATAGCTTCGGAGAAGAGGGCAGTCTATACATCCACAGCAGTACTGCCGTCACCCCAAACAGGCCCGACGCCACAACCCACGGCAACCCCACCCAACCCCCTCCCAAGTCTAAACCCCAGTTGAAAAACAGCGTCACCGTTGGGCTGGCAATCGCCACCCCGACGCTCTGCAAGATTTCTATCGCGGTGTACAGCCGAGCGGTCTGGTCCCTCCGAACCATCATAGTGGCGAGGGACCGCACGATAAACACGAACCCGATCCCCAACGTCTGCACCACGAGTCCGACAATAAACAGGCCTATGGAGGGCGAGAGCCCCATGACGAGTGTACCAACAACGAGGAGGATGACGCTGGCTTTGGCGAGGGCGAGGTCCTTTTCACGGTAGTGTACGCCCCGCCGCGCGGTTAGGTACCACGACGCGAGCGGGAGAACACCGACGAAGAGGAATATGGTCAGGATGGATTTGAAGGACGTTAAGAAATTCGCGTTTGCTAGGGTCCATTGGTAGCGCTTGGATATGTATTGTATGAGCAGCCATGCTGTGCCACGGCTGAGTCTGTAGACGAGGAACGCGGAAACGAGAAACATGAGGTGTTTATCGTGGACGATGAAGTTGAACTGGGAGGCCGTCCGCCCGAGTCGTGAGAGGAAAGGGGGTTGGTTGATGGAATGTGGTTGCTCAGCGGGGAGAGAGAGATGGATAGCTCTGTTGTCTTCAGGTGGTTCGCAAAGTTCATGAGTTCCTTCTCCCCCAGATGCAAACGTCCCTTTTGTTTCTGGTAATAGAAGCGCGGGAAGGGTGCCAAGGATTGTAAGGCCCCATCCTATTGTGATCGGAATCCAGGGATTGTACTTCATGAGCCACGAGGTAACCAGTGAAGAAATGAAATCGGCCACCATTATGGCCACCCCGAATCTGAAGAAAAGCCCAGCCCTTCGCATTGATGACATGTTAGAGAGAAAATGTCGCAGCAGTATCGTCCAAGAGCGGTAAGGGCAAACCTTTGGGAATCAGCAGTAACATCCGCCATCATCGTCCATATCATTGTGCTAGCGACAGCATATCCACCTCCAAACAGCCAGGCAAGCGTAGACAACCAAACCAAACGTAACGGAAACACATCCGGAGCGTACAATACAACGCCAACAACAAGCATGTTCACGAAAAACCCAGGAATGCAGAGACAAAATATCGGTTTTCGGCCGTACTTGTCTGCCAATAAGCCATACGGTATCGAAAGAATGACCCCTATATTACCCAGTTACTCGACATGGATTACCTCTAGGCCCCCCAAAACATCAACTTACCAGCCATCGCGTCAAAAAGCTCTCCGTAACCCTTCACAATTGCAACTTCGCCTTGAATCTCTTTATTCTTGCATGACTTCTCGGGAATATATCCATTCTTCCCTATAATTGTGGGGTCGTGCTCCTCGTAGTAGCGCAGGCAAGTTATCGACTCGAATAGGCGTGTTATGGGCGCACCTAGCATGGCTCCGCCAGTCTCAAAGGCTAGAACAATGGCGAAAAGAGCGATAATGAGTCGCTTGCGGACTCTCCTCTGCGAGGTGCTGGGCTTATGGGAGTCCTCGCTTGAACGAGCCGGTAACTCGGTGACGGAAGTGGACTTTGGTAGGAACGGGGCATCCTCATTGTCATGGCGGGTTTGTTGGGGTGGCATATCAAAGTTGACAGATTGACCTGAAGTCCCGAAGCCTGTATAAGTCGTCTCGATATCGAATTACACGTGAAATGCTGCCGACAGGCTGGGCGACATTACTTCAAGAAGGATTTGTAGTTGGAGCAATCAATGCCACACATCCATTTCACTTTCTGTGGAAAGTTCAGGGTTGGGAATTATTTGCCACATCCAGATACAAAAGTTTGTCCTTTACACCCAGATCTCGAACTGAAAGGTGTCTTTTGGCAAGTTGTCGATGTTGGTTGCGTCACCACCTGCCGTAAATCAGGAGCTCCCCTTGAATGTCGCACCAGCCCCATGAAGGGTTGGACCCAAACGAACCTTTCTGAATACTCGACATACGTGGTACAAGGGGACAGTCATCTTGTTACTGGCAAGTTGACAGGTTGAGCATTTTGGTGCAGACAGTTGTTCTAGCTGGCTGAATTCCGTGGTTCGCTCCTGTGGGGAGTGGGACGACATATCGACTAAATCTGGGTCCGCGCCGCCCAGCAGGGCCGAACTCTTCACTCTGAGGAAGAAACAGGGTGAACAACTCCCTGAACATGCGGGTAAAACTCCCTCACAATGTCATTAAAGGAACTCTTTGACTCGTTTTTGTCGAACCTTGCCATAAAATCCGCCGCCTTAAAATTCGCAGGCAGCCGAAGCGCCCGCTTCTCTTGCAGCCGCCATCAATGTCATTTTTGGCAACGCTGATGCTCAATTTATGTATCTGACTCAGCAATTAGTCAGTGTTCTTCAGACACAACTGGCTTGATGAAGTTTAGTCGCGATCCAAATAATTGGCCTCAAGACGCCTTCACTGGTCGGTCGTCTTCGCCCAGATGGCTGGGACGGTCAGGATCGCAGAGGACTCATACTCCTCCGTCCTTTGTCTCTTTGGTGGCGGCTCGAGTGGCTCACCGCCCCGTTTCTGGACGTCGACTTCGGACCTGATCAACTCTCCCGCCTCCGGAATGGGAGCTTCCAGCCCCTTGGGGCTATCCTCTTGAATCCAGCCCAGGGAAACAAGGTAGCTAAGCCGGTCCTCTTGAGACTTGATCTTGTCCCGTTGAGTCTCAATTTGGGCCTGTTGCGCACTTAGCTCAGCGTCCTTTGACTGCAGAGCCTTATTCAAGTCGTCGACCTTTGCTCTCAATGGATTGGGGCCTCGTACAGGGCGAGGGCTTACCGCATCCGCTTTGGCGTTGCTGAGTGCGATCTTGGCCTTCTGAAGGTCCTCCTCCAGACTCTTGATCCGTTGGGTGAACCGGATTTTGTCTGCGATATTGTCACGGTCACCTTTCTCGAGAACTTGCACCCGCGTGCGAAGCTTCTCCATCTGTTGTCTAGTCAAATCGTCTGTCGGAGCCTGGGTGACTTGGCTCAGTTTCTGCGTCAGATGGTTGATTTGTGCTTGATGTTCAACCGCCTTTGCGTTAGCGTCCGCGAGCGCAGTCGAAGTTGCCTGCTGCCCTTGGACCTTCGTGCGCAGTTTCTGATACTCTGCATCGAGGGCTCGGCCTGCGGACTGGAGATGGTCGATCTGCTGCTTGTACTGGGCATCCTTACCGGACAAGGCTGCCTGATACTGAGCGATCAGACCTTCTTTCACTTGCCGTTCTTGCTCCTGAAACTGGGCGTGCTCGAGCCGCAGTTGCTGTAACAGTCCATTGACTTGGGCGAGTTCAGTACTGAGAGCCTCCTCTCTAGTAGCGGAACTAACCAGCTGTTGCTGAAGTTGGGCGAGCTCAGCGCCAGTGACTGGTGTTTGGGTCTGGGCATCGTGAAATTCTTGGGCCTTGGCGGCAACCTCAAGGGCTCCAAAGGAGCGCCGGGCTTCTTGGAGCTCACCCTCCATATTGACGATTACCCGGCCCGTTTCCTGGATCTCGCGGGTATGAGCCACGATCTCCTGATTCTTGGCCTCGAGTTCTTGGCGAAGGTCCGCAATCTCCTTGTCCTTTCCTGCTCTGACTTCTTCGGCGTGCCTTCTCGCTGCTTGGATCTCCACCTCAAGCTCCTGCGTTCGGCTCGAGTGGGTGATGAGGGCCGTGTTGTGCGTCTCATTGAGTGCCGCGACGGAAAGAGCGTGCGCGCTGCGTTCACCTTCCAAGAGGCCAATCGTAGCTGCAGTCTCACCGCGCTGCATTTCAAGATCAGCAACAACCCTGGCAAGTTGTTGTCTCATCGCGTCAAGCTCAGCGTTGGCTTTCGTCACCGGGTTGTCCTTCGTGGCGGCAATACGTGGACGTTTGGCAGGTTCGGCTGCGGGCGAGTTGATTTGGCGGCGCGCATTTTCGAGTTCCCTCTCAAGGGCGGTCGTTCTTTTGATATCGGCAATCTTTTCGTCGCATCTGGCGTTCCGAACGGCGTAGACCTTGGGCGTTGCCTCACTAAGCAGGTAGCGTAACTTGTCCTTGAGAGTTTGCTGCATGACTTCCAGGCTTGCCTTGCGGGCCAAGGCACTGATACCGTCCATATTGCACTCCTCAGCGATCTTGTCAAAATCGCGCAGGTGCGTTTGGAGGCTTGGTTCTGAATTGAGGTGACCCGCAAGCGTTCTGAGAGCCTGGTACCTGTCTTCTGCAATCTCCGCTCGCATCTCTTCCAGTCTCAGCTGCTCTCGCGCCAACTGGAGGGAGCAAGTTAAACTGCGCGTGTCTTGCGTTTTGACAATCTTTGCCAGCTTCTCGGTAAGGTGCTCGCGTCGTGAACGCTCCTTTGAGTTCACGAGCTGCAGCTCCTCGCGGACCTTCATGATTTTGGCGAGTACTCGGTCTTTAGTCCGGACTGTTTCCTCAAGAGCCAAAATCCTGGACCTAGAGTCGAGGGTGCGTCCTTCAAGTTCTCTAATCCGGCCGTTTAACTGGTCAATCATCGAAGACCACTGACTGACCCTCATTCGATTCCCAGTTGTCCCATTCCTTCTGGCGGGGTTCACATCGCTTGCCCTCTTGGCCTTCTTCGGGGTTGGTTTCCCTGCAACCTCTGTCGCTGTCAGGCTTACTTTCCGGACAATGATGTAGTCAAAGCCCTTCAGCTTGATGACCGTCCAGACGATGAAGGTAGGGAGGAGCGCCAACGCCACCAAGGACACGAAGAGTGCAAGGTGGAACATTTCCAATGACTATATTTTTGAGGCACCTCATCAGTTTAGGGTGCTTCTTGACCAACAAATAACAAAGAATAACAGCAATAATGAAATCTAAAATTAACCATCTCGGTTAAACCTACATAGAGCTGGTGCTCCATCCATTCTTTCCATTCGGCTCTCATGTCGAATCCTGACAGTTCTCCAGAACAATACAAGCGCTGGAGTCGTGCATCCTGCTGCCTAAGTGAATCCACGGGAGTATAAATGCTAGTTATGACATAGTCACAACTTGAAGTACGCAACCCGGAATCGTTGGCGATCCCGAATAAAAGGCCAGAGAGATAGACGCAGGCTGGTGCACCGAAGTTGACGTATCCGCAATACAAAGTAACCGGCATCTGGTTGCACAGTTAGCAAGCTCTCGTGCGCCAGCTCCAGGAAGGAATAGAAAAGATATGGCACTCACAAATAGTACTCCCAAAAGTACTACTTCGTCGCTGGGCGAAATCCAGCGGTACAGACTGTGCACCCAGGTCTGACGGAAGGGATATACAGCCAAATTCGCCGCGAGTCGTGCGACGCCCAGGACACCATCTTGCGAGTAATAAGCACGCGAGAGAGTCGTCCGCAGAGGTGACCACACGGCCGCCATGTGCTTGCCAGCTGGGCTGGCGCGAACGATACTTACCTCCTTCGCGACAGTGACAGGGCCGTCGACAGAACTCAGCCTCTCATGCACGCTGGCGCATGCGGGGACGAAACTGAGCAAGACGAACGCGACGAAAAGGACTGCACTGAAGACCAGTGGGCACGTCATGGTATGATCGAGAATCGACTCAGCGACGAGCAACGGATTCTCCGAGACCGTTTTGACGATTGCAGCGGCCGCCGCGGTGATGGTTGGCCCACCCAAGAGGCTGCTCACAAGCAACACCAGGCACAGCAACATCAGGGGAAACATTGTCGGGGTTCCCTTAGCGTCTCGAGAATTGGCGGAACGTTGATCGATTTTGAATCGAGGATTCTTCGATTTTTCGAGCGGAAAACACGAGAAAAGAGGGGATTGGGAAAAGAAGTTGTCAGCCAGGCCAACTTTTTTCTTTCTTATTTTACTTACTTATTTTTCAATCTTTTGACTCCTTTTTGGCTTTTCCGGCTCTTGAAATTAACGGAGGGACGCAGCGGTCTGGCACTCGACTGCTTGATAGTCACGAAGACGGAAGTGAAAGTTAACGGGGCGTCTTCGTACTATCGCAAAGCAGTCTGGTGGCTCAAGAGAGCTGGTCAGGGGGAGAGGTAAGGATGTCGAAGTGGTAGTGGTGATAGGGAGGTGAAAATGATAATCGCCGTTAGGCCGTGAAAGGTGAGAGAAATGTTGCTTGTGAAGAAGTAGAAGATAGAGAATAAGGAGGTAATGAGTGCTTTTACAAGACTTGAGGAAAGAAGGAGAAGGGAAAAGGGGGAGAAGAAGAGCAAGGGAAATCGTTGAGAAAAAGGGTGTTTTTATGATGTGCGTTGTGTTGTTGTGTTGTTATTCAACACGACCCTCTCCCGTAGCGATGACTTTCGCCTGGCAACGAGGACTTCCCTGCTATCCGATCCGAAGTGTTGTTGCTCGTAGTGAATGCAATTTCCCTTTGCTCTGTCGTACAGCAAATACTCGGGGGAGGTTTGATAGAGCGGAATGGTGGCGGGAGAAGAGATGTTGAATTCCTACTGTATGGGCTGGGAGGGGAGACCCCTGGAGGGTCTGGGCAACCCCAGTATTTCATTCCTTCTATCTATCTTTTTCTTTTTCTTTTCACTCTCTCTATCTACTCAAGGGGTTCATTTCCCCTGAATATATATAGACTGACAAGAAGGGGGTTTGGCCAGTGCTCACAATGAGTCTTCTCTAGGAGGTTCTATCTGGGATATGTCGAACAACAAACTTCTATCTATTCATAGAAGCTGCTGGGTGAAAGGCAGCAGAGGAACATTTTGTTTCTTTTGGGCCTTCTTAGGCTTGTTGTTCATGACAAACCGTACAGATAAAACAAGGTAAATCTGGTAAATGCTTCTTCTGGCCCCTTTGCTGTTTATCCACCAGAAGCTCCCTTTTTTACACATTTGGTTTGTTTGTGGAGGAAACGGCTTGTTTCCTTGGAGTTCTTCTTTGTTGCACAATATAAACCATGCATGATGAATGGAAGAGGGACATTCTGGTTGTTTCGAGGATGGTTCAAAGAGAGATCGATATTAATAGATATCATATCATCATCATCGTCATCATCATGCATGTAAGTAAGCACTTTATTTCTTTTTCAGAAATGCGTTATAAAAGACAGTTTTAGCGCATTTCTTGCTTTCGCTTCATTCCATTCATTCATCCATTCGTTCAATTGTTTTTATTTTTATTTCAAGAAAACAGCCATGACATCAAACGATTCTGTTCCATTTTCATTGAATGAATAGTAGTAGGACATGCATACTAAGTAACTTGCTGCTCATGTTCCACCGCATCCCACCCGCCATCTCAAAGAAGCCTATGGCTCCACAATCAGCAACACATACATGGGCCGATGTGTATCTATCTATATTTCAATATCCCACTTCTCCCCTTGGATTGTTCAAGACTTCCAAGGTTCCAGTTCGACTTTGGGCGTCTTTGGGCGTCACAGCTGTCAAGATGCGCCAAGCTTCAGCTGACCTAAGCAGCCCTGGCCCGTGCCAAGACGCCAATGACTGCATCGCGGACCCTGTCAAAGCTTTTGTTGTCTGAAAGCTCAAACGCCCCCCGTCTTGTTCCAACCGTCAACCTCGCCGAGACTGGATCTGGTGTGTTCTCGTGACAGTTTCGATTATTGGGTGTTCTCAGACAACTTCTGCCTTTATCTCCGTTAGTTAGTCGTGTTGGCCAAGTACGCGCCGTCGTGTGAATTGAGTTACTCGTCGCTGCGTTGAGCACTGGTGTCTCTACCACCCATCCAGCGTTCATCGGTCCTTAAAACGTGCGCGTATACAGTTTCGTTGTCTGGAGCTTGCCCGTCTCGTCGATGTATCCGAACCAGCATGTGGCCGGACGATCATTAGCGCTGGCGGTCGGCAAACTGCTGTTTCTCGCAATCGCCCAGTTCCCTACCACCTACGCTTTCCCCATCCTTGGCTCCCTCCAACTCCGCGACCAGGAGCATGGCAACCCTTCCGACGATCCCCGCCTGTGGCTGTATCTCTCGGTGGCCGCGGCTCTGGTGATTAGCGGTGGTGCTTTCGCCGGGTTAACAATTGCGCTTATGGGCCAGGTATGAAAAGTGGCACATCTCCCGTTCTGCAATTTAATGTTGCTATCCTTTGCGCCATCGCGGATACTCATGCGTCTATTTTTTCCCCTACGCCACAGGATGAAGTCTACCTCCAGGTCATCAAAACTTCTGGCGAAGGCGCGGAGAAGAAACACGCCGAAAAAGTATTGAATCTTTTGAAGCGCGGTAAACACTGGGTTTTGGTTACGCTGTTGCTTAGTAATGTTATCACAAACGAGACGCTCCCAATTATCCTCGATCGCTCTTTAGGAGGCGGCTGGCCCGCGGTATTGGGAAGTACAGCGCTCATCGGTGTGTGATAATTCTGGGTTTTCCGATACTTCTCCTGTTTTAGTGCTAATATTCGGTGTAGTCATATTTGGCGAGGTTGTTCCCCAGTCGATCTGTGTCCGTTATGGCTTACCCATTGGAGCATGGATGGCCCCTTGCGTCCTTGTCCTGATGTATATCATGTCGCCGGTTGCGTGGCCTATCGCGAAGTTGCTCGACAGAATCCTGGGCGAAGATCACGGAACTATATACAAGAAAGCTGGTTTGAAGACGCTAGTGACCTTGCACAAGAATCTGGGGCAGGCTGGAGAACAGCTTAATTCTGATGAGGTTACTATTATTACTGCCGTTCTTGACCTCAAAGAGAAGTCAGTGGGCAGCATTATGATTCCAATGGAGGACGTTTTCACTATGTCTGCCGACACGGTTTTGGATGAGAAGATGATGGATTTAATCCTATCCCAGGGGTATTCTCGAATTCCGATACATTCTCCGGATGAGCCGCATAATTTTGTTGGCATGCTATTGGTGAAAATGCTTATCACCTATGATCCAGAAGACTGCAAACTAGTGAGGGATTTTGCACTTGCAACTCTCCCTGAAACCCGTGCCGAAACTAGCTGTCTTGACATTGTCAACTTTTTCCAGGAGGGGAAGTCTCACATGGTTTTGGTTTCAGAATACCCGGGTGAAGATCACGGGGCATTAGGGGTGGTTACCCTCGAGGATGTCATCGAGGAGCTGATTGGAGAGTATGTATGAATAACCCGGACGCCAAGATATGTCTAGCTAATACTCGACAGGGAAATCATCGATGAGTCTGATGTCTTTGTTGATGTACATAAGGCTATACGTCGTATGGCACCTGCACCCAAATCTCGCGTTCCAAAAGGCCAGATTGTCTCAGAGCCCACGCCAACACATGGGAGTCTTATCGATGTGTCCGATAACAATGTGACAAACCAAGAGCCTACGCGCAGCGAGACCCTCGCTCGCAGCCATTCTGTAGCAGATTACGGGTCTCCTCCTCAGACCACATTCTATTTCCGAAAACACAATACCTTTGACAGCACAGACTCTGTAGATTCTCCGATAACCATGCGTGGCCCAACTCCCGAAATCCGCGAACATTTGAAGCACCTAGGACCCTCTAATCTCGCCAGCCGGCCCCGACAAACAAGATACCAGACAGTTAAAATTAAGCCCGGCGAAGTAACCAGCTCAGATCGCCAGTCTTCCGTCTCCCAGAGCCGCCCATCCGAACATCTCAGTGCTGTACCAACGCGACCCCAATCTCAGGTCCGTTCAGCAGGGAAGAGCGCGAGCGATGCCGTCCTGGCCGTACAAACCTATGGTACGATGGGGAGAACAACGCAATCACCGACCGCAGAGATGATGGAAGAAATCAGCACCCACCGCGGGAGCCCGCGGCATGACCGCTCCAGGAATCTGACTACTTCAAAAAACGAAGCATCAGTAGTATCTCGTTCCCCAAGCACCCGGTCACACCGCAATCGACCAAGCAGCGCCGGCTCAGGAGCCCAAAAGACCAGAGAACCACACCGCCGGCATGGCCCAGCTCGAAGCGGCAGCATCACAGAGCAGATCGTCGATAGCAACGGAATTCGCAAGGTTATTCTCCAAACGAGCAGCGACGCCACGACCGACGAGGACGGCGGGGTGGGGACTTCCCCAGGCGCCGACCAAGCACAGACAACACAAGCCCTCACTTCTTCCAGCGGCAATGCAACTCCGCCTGCCAATGGTAGTTCTGGTACTCATGGTGAGAAGAAGAAACGTCGCAGAAAGCGCAGGTGGGGAGCTGGTACTAAATCTACCGACCAAGGCAACCGCGATGAAACTCAGCATCTGCTTGAGTGATGATTAACGTATCTTTTCGGTGTTTGTATTTTATATTTTACATTCTATCTATATTTATATTCTTTTTTTTTATTCTGCCTCGTCAAAGTTTCTTTTCTCTTTTTCTTTCATTTTCATTTTCTTTTTTTGAGAAACGTCCAGGTTAAATGATAGGTCTTCACTGAGCTGATATGGGAGCCATTTCGAATCTGTCTGTCATTTTGTAAAACTTGCTCTCTATCTATCCATGATTTGTGGAGTTGTTATAGTGGTGTATGGAGATGGATTTTCGACAATGACGGATGGTAGAATATATATATATATATATATATATATATATATAATCCGTCTGACAGTCAGGGGCTGGATTATGAGATACTGTGATTTGTGTTTTGGGGCGCTATACATACAAATTGCAAGCCAGCTCCTCTTCCCCGCTCCATCCCATCTGCTTTGCACTGAGATCAGTGCAAGAATGCCAGTTGGACTGAAAAATTGCTAGCATGGAGTGGCTTTTATATCAATGATTAGCTCTTCTGAAAATGTGAAAATGTGAACTCGCCCCGCTTGTGGCCCTTCTTGGTTTTTTCTTTTCTTCTTTTTTTTTTTTTTTTTTTTTTTTTTTTTTTGTGTAACTAGCTTGTATTTCTGGGGTTTGCAAGTAGGCTAACTATGTTACTCCGTGGGAGAGGCCAAAAACAACAAGATAATAGCACGGAAATACGCTCGCGTGTTAATATCAGCGGTGCGCACATAGTCAGATTGATTACTGGAGTAGCTGGTCCTGCAATTTGGAGTTAACACCATTAGTATATGCACGGATAACTGTGTGAAAATAACTCGGAAAAAAAAAAAAAAAAAAAAAAAAAAAATCTAGGATAAACTTACCCTGAAATGTTTCTGGAAATTACCCTTCCTATTGATGCCCCACTCATACTGTTTCCTCGCATTCTGCTCACTTCTCCTTTCTCTAACCTCTGCCGCCTTGACGTACCGCTTTTGGCTATCACTCGCACCAATCATGCCAATGCCACCCCGCACCCTCGTAACGAGTGACTGGTTCCGCCTCGCACTTGCGTCAGTGTCATGGACGTCGGGATTCTGCGCCGAGTCCGTAATTTCCCGCTGGCGTAAAAGACGCTCCTCCGGAGATGGGTAATTTCGTAGATTCTGCCGGAAGTATTTGAACAGAGAGCGGTGTCCCGCGGTTCGTCCAGATGGCAGATGCAGCTCGTACTCGGTATGGAAGGCATTTCCGCCGACTACAGATGATATCGAGCTATCCGATTCCCATCCCTCCTCGTCGTCGTCATCACCCCCCTTGGCACCCCCCGTTGGAGATTCTGTTGTCGATGTTGATCCATCGACGTCCTCGTCGTCAGAATAGGTGCTGGAAAAGTCGTAAAATTGCCCAACTTCGAGCATCTCGTCCTCGGTGCTGAACGCAATCATGCAATGTCCCTTATCCCGCATGTGTGTCTGGATCGCTGGGGTGCTTGTCTTGATCTTATGGCAGTATAGACACTCGTTATACTTTGTAATTTTGTCAAAGAGATATTTCAAGAGCCCTTCCCCATCGATCAGGTATGTTTGTTCAGGCACGAACATGCCGTGGAACTTCCTCATGTGGAGGACGTTCAGTTTCACACTTGCTGAATTGTGGTTGCAGAACATGCAGTGGGTTAACGCATAGTCCTCATCATGTTCGGTGTCAGTACCGTTTGGTGACGGTTGACGATCCCCAGCAACTGAAGAATGAGTTGGCCTGGATGGGCGTTTCAATAACGGATCCTCACTATTGATCGCAGTGTCTTTCATTGCGTCCACAATCTTCGAGAATTCTTCCTCCGCGGCGGATTCCTGGATGGAAGTGGCAGGGGGAGCTATGACAGGCTCTCCCACATTGATCGGCTCTCCCAGAGAAAATGTTCCGCTCATCACTGACGCAGTTTCATCCTGGAGGCCGCCGTTTTTCCGCAGTTGCGCATCCCTCGACCTGTGTTTCTGGCTAGCCATATGGTTCAGGAAGGCATTCTCACTGAAGAATGTTTTCTGACAAGCTACGCATGCTTTTTCAAAGGCCGCTTTCGCAGCGGCGGCGGAATTGGCTGCCTGAGCGGCAAGGACCTTCTCTGTGAATATCTCGGAAGACAGTGGGGGAAGAGATGCGACTCGACGTTTTAGATTATAGCGACTGCACCAGAGCTATTAATATTATAATATTCATCGGGTTATCGAATAGAAGGGGATGGGAATAGGTATACATACTGCCAATCACTCCGCATATGGGTTCTCTGAGCATCACTGTTTCTGAAGGCAACCTGGCATGTATTGCAAGTAAACGGGTGTGTAGCTGCAATGTTCAGGGACGCATCAGGGCTGAGTGCTCCGCTGTGTTCAGTGACTGCGAGAGGCATGTTTGTGAGCGACCGTACAATACTAGTAGTTAAGCTCTGGTAACGGATATTGTTATGAAAAATTGTTTGCGCAAGTTGTTTGCTAAGGGAGGTAGGTTTGTTTCCAGAGAGAGGGCTGTCCTCCTATCGATATCGAATTTCAAATCAAGGTTGAAGTTTTCCAGCGATGCAGAGGTAAAATAAATCTCGGTTGCGTGGGTAATGACGTTGTGCTTGGGCGGGGTGACAGTACAATACGCCGATTGCCGGCTGACTGTGGCGCTAGGGTCTTGGCGGTTTTGTCACCCTGTGACGCAGAGCCTCGTTGTTTGTTCGCATCGCTCGAAATCAACCTTCGAGTCTGCTTCTGACGACCGCAACAGCGCCAGCCCTCTGCTGCCACATGCGTTCTTATCATTCTACCTCTTGACATGGTACTCACTGCCACACCATGACCAGGCTGCGGGGAGGCTCTGGGAGCGCTCCGGACCCAGGGCGACCCACTGCCGTCGGTGACAGGGGACTCCATCATCCATCGAAGCTCCCCGCTGGATCCCCAGATGTGCTTACCAAGAATACTATCGCTGTGACGGATCCCGCACGAGTGCTACCATGGAATAAGGAAAAGCGCCAGAGAGATTTCAATATCCTTGTCAAAAGGTAGAATTTGTTTATTGTTCCTCGACAGCAGCACTACCACCGATTGACTCGTTACTGACTCCGTTACTGACTTGTTATAGGTATAAGAGCCAGCTCCTTTACGGTTGCCAGGACCCGTTTTGCACCACCCCTACATGTTTTAGTTATCGCAAGAGAGCCTCAGATGTGCCTCTTCGGAGGTTTACTGAACTTAGTGCGCGTACAGTAGCATGCTATTTAGCCAGTCAGGACAACCCGGAGCGAGGGCTGTGCCGAAATATCCCAGCCATCAACACGGATTTCCTCTCAGGAGACCCGACCCGACAACATAGGAGACGATCATGTGAAGCATCCCAACAAAATGTCAGATTTGCCTCCGACTTTCAAAGTTCCGATAACGTGGAAGATAATGGAACCCCAAAGAAGCCAACTGCCGAAAGGATGCACCAAACGGAATCCGGGGATAATGGGGCTGTTTCGAAATCAGGTGATGAGAACGAGAAAACAGATTCTCCGCAGAGCGAAGGGGCCAAAGGGCCGTTGAGATTGAAGGACCCGAAGTCGTTTACTCAAAATCTTTTCGACACACTTTCATTGCGTATGGTCGAATGGCTACCATTACGAAAATCTCCAGAAGCCTTTGATACTACCCAGTCTGACCCCAGTGAGGACGGTAACTTGCCATCCAAGTCTCCTGAAAAAGAAGCACCACCGAAAATCCAAGACCATCCAAATAACCCAAAACGAAATGGTCGCCAAAAACAAATCTCTTCACAACCGAGTATTAAGCCGCGACGGCAAAGCATTGCATCTTCTAACCCTCAACCGACGGCGGTTGAAGTAAAGATCCCTGGACAGCCTGTAAAGCGCCTTTCCCTCGGCGAAATGGAGCACCGGAAACAACCTTCGAAGTCCTTTACCGAGGACAGAATTCGCTCTGAACGCAAACCAGCTCGAAAGGTTTCGTCGCAGAACACTCCGTCAAATCAACCATCGCGTGCCTTGCAATCTCCACCTCCTTTAAAGCACCGACCACAGAGACATAGCAACGCAAATGGTGATGTGAGCAACCCTTCCAAGCACGAGCAAAGACAGCACATGCGTGTCTCGCGAGATGGGTCCCGGGGTCCGAGGAAGTTGGAAAATTCAGAGCGGGACAATAACCGGGTATCCATAGATTACAGCATGCAACACTCGCAATCTGCAACCCACCCCCTGGAAATTCCGGTATGCAAAAATACCCACACCGGAAAACAACTTAAAACTCAGCAAATTCAGACCCTATCCCACCTGTCAAAGCAGTTAGTGACTGGACTTGAGAAATTGATGTTTGAAAATGATGAAAATAGAAACAAGTGGGATGAAGAAATGTCAGAATTAGAGTCTCGCGGGTATTCTGAACCTTGGGATTGGCAGTATGCGACTCCGCGCCAGCGCGAGGTGTTCCCGTTTGTTGCACAAAGTGTGTTTTACGTTCTGAGCAGTCCCCGGCAACTTCTCCAATCCTTCCGAAAGGACCCTCCAACGCCGTTGGAAGTCAACAATTGGGAGAACGTGAGTACGCTGGATATCGACCAAGTAGAAGACTCGTTTCGTATTCTGCATGGAATATGTCCGTGGCAAACCACACTACATAGTTTGTGGATTTCTCTTGAGAAGCTTTTTGTTCCACCGAAAGAATTTTCCTTACCGCGTCCGCGCATGCTCCCTGTCCGATGGTCCACTTCGTCCGGCGCAATTTCGAAACGTGGACTTCCTTCACCCTGTAATACTGACTCTCATGAAGAATACATTTCTGACGCCGATGCGGCTTACATTGTAGTTATCGTGCTTCTAGCCTTAGCAACCTCCATTCCTCTGACTGACCCGAGAACATGGGAGGTCGTTCGTCATGTCCGCTCCTCGGGTACCGTTTTACCTGACGCCGAGATGAGAAAGCATTCTGGATCTACCAGGAGATCGCTAGTGGCCATCTCAGAAAAGTTTGAGCATGACCTCGCTCTCCGATTATTAAATCGCCTAGTTCGGGCGGTTTCTGCGCGGTTAGCTTTCCATGAAATCTCGAAGACTCGGACAACTAATATCCATGATATTGAACGACAAGAGAAACACGACTTTACAAGTCTGATTTTACAATCTCTGCGTGACCTCTCCAAGCCGAATGAAAAGTCTTCACATATCCCACCTCCTTTTTTACATGAAGAGCGCCCTACCAACCTCCATATGGTAACTGTGGAATGGTTGCGGACTCTTCTTTTGAAGGAATGGGACGGAAAGCCTGAAATGGCCAAGTCCGGTGCCGCTGGTGGCGCTTTACAACTCCTCGCATCAATGTATACAGATCGCTCTAGACTTGGTTTACGGCCTGAAGACTTCCATACAGCTTTGCTCTCAGAGCGTTTAGACCCCACAGAAATGCCTGTCGAATGGCTTGGAATCCTTCAAAATAACAAATCAGTGCATCTCTTATCATATCCCTTCTTATTTCCTCCCTCCGCGCTGGTCATATATTTCCGGGCTATCAACTATGCTAACATGTCCAAATCATATGAAGCCGCAATGACTACCTCACGACATGTCACTCAACCGGCATTCTCGAGTATCATACCGATAGATGATGATGTTAGTCTGCTTGCAAGATTGAAGACGTCTATCTCGACATATCTGGTCCTAGTTGTAAGACGTGATAATGTTCTTACCGACGCTCTCGATCAGTTGTGGCGACGAGAAAGACGTGAGCTAATGCGACCCCTTAAAGTTCAAATGGGTATGGATGAAGGGGAAGAAGGTATCGATCATGGTGGTGTTCAGCAAGAATTTTTCCGCGTAGCTTTTGGAGAGGCATTGGACCCATCATACGGGATGTTTACGATGGATATGCGAACTCGCATATCTTGGTTTCAACCTTGTTCGATGGAACCATTATACAAATTCGAATTATTGGGCTTGTTGACGTCTCTTGCTGTTTATAATGGTTTGACACTCCCGGTTAACTTCCCAGTTGCGTTGTACAAGAAATTGCTGGGGTTGAAAGTTAAGACCCTTGATGATATCGAAGTCGGCTGGCCGGAGCTTGCGAAGGGTTTGAGTGACCTGCTATCATGGGATGACGGCGATGTTGGTGATATCTTCATGAGGACCTATGAGTTTAGTTTTGAAGCGTTTGGAAACTTCGTCTCTGTCGACATGGAAAAGGTTGACCGCACTGAACCATGGCCGGCCACTGAACGACCAACTTGGGAAAGGAAAAAGCGTGGATCGTATAGCCGACAATCCTGGTCAGGGAAAAACAGTCCCAGGGTGGCCCTCGATGATAATATCTCAATGTTGTGTGAATGTGCCGATGAAAGTTCCACATTGAAGAAGGATGGAACGCTTTCTGGAATACTGAAAGGGGCTTCATCAAGAACATACAAAGCTACACGACCGCCTCCACAGGAGGCCGCTTTGGTCACGAACGCGAATCGAGAACGATTTGTCAAGGATTACATCTTCTGGCTGACGGACAAATCCATCCGCCCACAATATGAAGCATTCGCTCGCGGTTTCTACACCTGCCTCGACCGAACGGCCCTATCGATATTTACTCCGGAAGCATTGAAGACGGTCATCGAAGGGATCCAGGAGATCAACATCGAAGAGCTTGAGCATCATACCCGGTACGAAGGTGGCTTCGAGCCTGGTCACCGTGTCATCCGCGACTTCTGGGTCATAGTGAAAGGTTACCCGCAGACGAGGAAACGTCAGCTGCTGGAATTCGTCACGGCTAGTGATCGAGTACCCGTCAACGGCATTTCAAGTATTATGTTCGTGATCCAGAGGAATGGTACTGGAGACAGTGTATGTAACTAACCTGCCCTGTCTCACTTTTATTTTATTTTATTTTTTATTTTTATTTATTTATTTATTTATTTTATTTTATTTTATTTTTTTTTTCACTTTGCTTGGACTTCGCCGAAAGCTAATCGATAGTATAGCGCCTTCCCACTAGCCTGACATGCTTTGGCAGACTCCTTCTGCCTGATTACTCTAGCCGGGACATCCTCGAAGAGAAGTTGGAAAAGGCTCTTGAGAACGCAAGAGGCTTTGGCGTCGCCTAGTTTACGATGGCCTTTGCCAGGCATCCGATCTCAGACGAACTGCCTCTCATCCTTGTCATGTCCTCTTGATTGCAAGATCTGAAATTGTACTGGATTCTCGGTTTCTATTCCGTGTACTGCCTCGTTTTTACTTTGATACCTTTTGACATGCAAGCGAGTAAATCATACCTCCCTTCCAAGACGTTATGTTTTATTAGAGTCATTGCTCTTTCCCGTGCTTTTGCATCTGATTTATTTTTTTGTTCTTCAGGCTACGGTCATCAAGAGAGGGGGAAGAGGAAAGAGGATCATAGGGTTGATAGACCCGGGTTGGTGTTGGATTGATGGTTTATGTTCCTGATAAATTATTCACATAACCTCTGCACGTCAATTTTATGGTTTCGAAAAACTATCGACTTCACCAGAGACTGAGCAGTTCACCAAATAATTCAATCGTCCCTCAGAAACCAATACTCCGAACAAGCAATGGGTTCTCCGCAAACTATTTATATAGCTTTATCTAGTAGATCCATTTTCCATATGTGGGGCTGGCCAAAGCATCAAAGTTTCCTCCACGCGGCAAGTTATGTATGACTAACATTCGTTTGTTCGCAGGAATCAAAGATTTCCAACTTTATAGAAACTTTTTACTGTGCCTCAATTCAATACTCTGTTGTGACATCTTCTGTTATATAGTATAACTACATTCTATTCATTTACCTAATACTTTCATTCTAGATACAGGAACATATAGGAAAAATAGACCGCTATCCGCTGCAAGTTTCTTCCCTTCGTAGCCCTCCCCGCCCCGCTTCCAAATGGCCGGGACCAGAAACTGACATTTCCTTTAACAGGTTCTTAAAAACTCTTTCTTCTCTTTTCTTTTCTTTTCTTTTCTTTTCTTTTTTTTTTTTTTTTTTTTTTTTTTTTTTTTTGTATATATTATAAAGTCAATTCCCTCCCAAAATGCCACCTATCATTCACTGTGTCCGTCATGCCCAGGTTCGTGCCTCCTCCTCCTCCTCCTCCTCCTTGCTACCATTGCTACAATATCCTCACAGGCTACAGCCGCTGAACTGACCCCCGGGATCCCCAGGGCTACCATAACCTCAGCCACGCTAACCACATCCTCTCCGACCCCCTCCTGACACCGCACGGCGAATCGCAATGCAGAGCTCTCAGCGCGGAATTCCCGCACCACTCCCGAATCGACCTTGTCGTTGCCTCCCCTCTCCGGCGCACGCTCTACACCGCGCTGTTATCGTTTGAGGACCAAATCAAGAGCAAAGGATTGAAGATTGTCGCGCTGCCGGAGATCCAGGAGACGAGCGACGTGCCATGTGATGTCGGCAGTGACCTGGCGGTGCTGCGCAAGGAGGTGGAGGAGAATGGGATGCCGGTAGACCTAGAACTAGTGGGAGAGGATTGGAATTCGAAGGTAAGTTGGGGAATTCCGAATTACGGCCGTCTGATATTTACTAGTTAGTTCTGTGTGCCGGGATTGGTATCCGGAGGTGCGACAGCTGAACAGGGGATTGCGGGGCTAATATTTGATATGGCTTCTTTTCTGATATTGCGCAGAAAGGAAAATGGGCGCCGAGCGCCGAGGCAATTGCAAATCGTGCCAGGGAGGCGCGGCGCTGGTTAAAAGCCCGGCCGGAAAAGGAGATCGTGGTTGTGTCGCATGGAGGATTTCTACATTATTTCACGGAAGATTGGCAAGATAGCACACTATACCAAGGTAGTTATTTCATCCCGTTTTTCTTGCTCCTCTCTACAAATACACATGGCCCCAAAAAAAAAAAAAAAAACAAAAAAAAAAAAAAAAAAGGCACTAAACCAACAAGCTTATACGTAACCTTTCTCTCGCGGGGGCGGGGGGGAAACAAAAGTTACACAAATGGAACCTAGCCCCAATAACTATACTAATATCCGCCCTTCCCCCACCTACCCAGGCACCGGATGGCGCAATACCGAATATCGCACCTTCACCTTCACCAGCTCTACTGACCGGGATGATCTTTACGGCCGTCCCGTCGACGGCGACAATGCCAGCCTCGTGGAAACGTGCGAGTCACGCACGCGTCGAGGGATAGCAGCCGAAGCGCCCTCCCGGGATCTGCAGAAGGAATTCTTCGTGCAGGCCATGACGGGCTGGGAGAATCAACTTTTGGAATTTGCGAGGCAGGAGGCGGCGAATAAAAGGGCGGCCGCCGTTGATACTAGCATTGAAGGGAAGGCCGGAGAGAAGGTTGTTACAGTCGAAGCGGGCGAGGATGCGAGGGTCATTGCATAGAAAATGAAGAGATGAGATTCGATGGTAGATGAGGGGGCATCTAATATAGAGAGGGAGGGGAATGACATGAAGTCAACTGTAATCTTGGCTTCCTTTTTTTTTTGTTTTCATTTTTCATTTTTCATTTTTGTTTTTTTCTTCTTCTTTTATCTCTCATTTAGATCTCTTGGTTTCATGGTAGAATCTTTCTTATTTCTGCCTAGTTTTTTCGTCCTCTTGACGGCACCCGTCTCGTCTCCAAGGCTGTTGCCCCGATTGGGACAGCTATCACTAAAAATGGTCATAGATATTTTGGCACCAGCATGTCGATCCCAGTTATTAATAGACCTCGCGCTCAGCGTTATTTGAGCCCAGCCCCACAAGTGCATAGATCTGAATTCTGAAAGTTCTTGCTCCATCCGTGACGCGTACGCAGTATCCATGCGGAAAATCGGGTATGCAGTCCCAGCCAGAAATAGACAATCGCACAGGGCTTCTTCAAGCGTAGTCAAAGGCTCAAATGCGGACTTTCGTCCCTCGTGAAGCAGAATGCCAGAAGGAGCAATATAGGACACACATATCATTCCAACCTGGCACTGACTGGTCTGTCCAAGCGAGCGATGTAAACCTGAGATAACGAGAACCCACATCCGCGCGTCCAGGCAAGGTGCCACATAACTCGTACGAATCCTCGACGCGGCAGCTTGCGGTTTCCCGAGTGCTGCGTGCTGTGTTTGTGTTTGTTGTGTTTGTGCTGCGTCACTCGGGCCCGATGAAACTGTTGAGGGGATTGGATTGGGTGATTCGTACCCTCTATACCACCATGGCGCTGGTGATGATTGAGCTCTTTTGCCCTAGTGGTCTAATAGAAACTTCGGCTTGTGGCTTGCGGCTCACGCGGAGACGTGGCTTGAGCCTGCGCTAGTCCATATAGGGTAAGGTTGGTCTTGGCGACTCCCGCTGACATAACGCTGCCGCAGCTTCGTTATCTCCAGGGCGGATTCCTGTCTTTTCTAGACACTGAGGATAGCACGGCCAGGGCATTCCAGGACATGGTTCGGTGCTCCCAAGTTTTATTCCTGTGCCTGAGCAACCAGTTCTGTCCCCGAACCGCATTTCTATAGAATCTTGCGTCTTGACTGCCAGGAGGCTTGCCGACTCAAACATGCTGGATGAAAATCTGCCAAGTACGATTCCCCGAACTATGCTACATGACTGCCAGTATATTTGGATAAATATGAAGTTGCTAACAAAGCATGCAGCTTTTTTTGTCAAACCATCTAACGTCAAACTCAAATTCAATTCTACCTTCCTTTTCGCGCAGCATGGTGCCGAACCTACACCCGTCTATACACTCCGACACCTCGACCCCTCACTCCCAGGGTCCAAGAACCGCTATGCTGCGGGCATATATGATGCCTTCTCTCCTGATGTCCTTTATGCGGAGGTCCTTTTGATCCCGAAATGGACACACCCGTCATTGTCGCAAGAAGCCATTCGGCAGAATGGCGGGGTTCCTCCCCCTCCAGAACCTATACTCCCAAATGAGTTCGTAATACAGCTGTACAATCCAGACCAACAGGTACTTGTTCGCCACAGGCCGAAGACGTGGAACTCTGCCGCTTCATGGGAGTTTGAAATGCCGCAGCAGACGTTCAGACAACCTTCCAGCTCGAAACTCGATCGGACAATGAGTGATCCGGCCGCCTCTGATATCACGCCGAAACTAAAGTTTATCTGGCGCAAGGATGGGAAGCTCTCGAAGGATCTTGGCTGCTATATGTCGGGAAAGAAACTAGACGATAAAAAGGGCAAAGAGCCCGATATCACGGTAGCCATATTACGTGGATTTAAAGAGGTGACGTTATACGAGCCGAATCTTTATCGTGTAGAAATCGAAGACTTCAAGGGACTGGAGGTGGTCCTGCTCCTAGGTGCCATTGTTATTCGGGACGTATATTTTGGCCATATAGCCGAGACTTTTCACATCTCCGACCCACCCAACCCCAACAGCTTACCTGGTGAAATGACCAGCTCTTCCCAGGAACCAAAGAAATATGCAAATCAGATACAACCACCTACCACACCCCAAAGACCCCAAGCTCCCATACCTGAACGTCAAACCCTCCCACCGCCAGCTGATCCCCGCACGCAATGGGAAATCGACGCAGAAACTGCCAGATTGAAGAAACAAGCAGAAGCAGAAGCCAAGGAACGCCGCCGCCGCGAGAAAGAGGCGGAGAAAGAGACCAAACGGCTGCTAGAAGCGGAGCAACGGGAAGCGAGACAAAGACAGGCTGCGATCGACCAAGAAACAGAGCGCCTCAAGAAAATTTATGGGCGTGAGGAAGCCCAACTTAGAAAACAATTCTCACAGACCCCTCAAGCTCCGAGGCCTAATCCACCCCCACGACCTGCACCTACCAATCCCCACTCCGCTGCACACAACCGCTATTCTTCCTACATCCCTGCCCCGTCACACACTTTCGCACCACCGCATTTTGGAGTTCAGCGGCTATCGAACCCTCAGTTGAAGGAGAGGCGAAGTATTTTTGGTCTTTTTAAGAAAGAGGATGGTCGTAACAACACACTAAGTAGGAAAAGAAGTTCTATGTTTTAAACCCTCTTATGCATATACATATATATATTCATATATATATTCTCTCCTTTTGCGCGGGAGTTTGTCCCTATTTCGTGAGCTTCAAGGCTATTCCAATTGCCATGCTTTTCCGGTAAGTGACTGTGTGGGTGTGCAATGCCTCTTAAATTTCTTCACTTTCTCTCGACTCCAATGATACCCAATAAATCTCGATGATCTTCTCTTTTTCTTCTGTTGTTTTGGTAATGCTGAAACGAAGGTGTGCATATTATCGCAATACAAGGGTCAAGACTGTATCTCTTTCATAAAGAATGTCGTTTTGGTTTTGTTTTCTCATAGCTACCAATTTTCCCATCTCCTCAAACCTGCATTTTGGGTTTGATTTTTTTCAGTATCCACTGCGGCGTATTTGCACTTGCACATTATCCATCATGTCTGTTGTAAAAACACATTGACGAAATCAATTTTTCATATACCATTTCACTGTTTTAGTACAATCTCGCCAGCGATCGGTACGACATGATGATGTTGGACGGCTCCTCTGGCATCACAAGCACGCGGGAGGACTTTCCCAGCGATGAATCCACGATAAGGGTCGTGTCAATCTACTAGCGCTGATTTGTTTATGATCACAACGTACTGGGAATCAGTGGACTCTATATATATATATCTACAGAATGGATGTGAGCACAACTGTGTCAAAGCATATCTTGTCAGCCCAGACATAGGACAAGGAGCACATTGATTTGCCGGTCTTTTTGTATTATTCCTAATCTAATCAGTGTAGATCACGACGCACAAGTATACTCGTTATCGGTCCTGAGTGTGCGGCTTCCTGTGGCCCGTAGTCCGGGCAGAAGTATGCACCAGGAAAGACCAACCAGCGCGTATTGGAAGCACTGTCCTTTTGGATCAAGGGGACGGGTCTGGTGCCCTGGTGCCTTGACATGCGATCTAAACGCTTCGGCTGCCGAAGGCTCTTCAAAAATACAGATCTTAGTCTATTGTTGCAGTTTAATCCACCATGGCTATCATCCCATCGTTTGGATCGTTATTGATTCTTTTATGCGTTCTGACACTTGCCGCCGCGACCAATGTTCCCCTCGCGGATTACGATGTCATCATCGTCGGCGGTGGTCCCGCTGGCCTCAGCGCGCTGAGCAGCCTATCCCGTGTCCGGAGAACGGCATTGATGGTTGACTCTGGGGAATACCGCAACCTGTTGACGAGACGGATACACGATGTCATAGGAAATGATGGTGGGTAACTAGCCAATGCACAGCACTTCTCCATCACTCTCACATACATGTTCAACGCAGTTCCGCTTTTGTTGATGGTTTCACAGGCGTGGTTCCGTCGCTCTTTCGTCACCAAGCACGCGAACTCATCAAGAGATATCCAACGCCAGAAATTAAAAATGGGACCGTTTTGGAGATTATACCCGTGCGAAATTCCAGTGACGAACTGCCACACTTTGAGGTAGAGATCGATATGGGCAGTGAAGGGAAGCCTTCCCTGGTCACTAAAACGGCACGAAAAATAATCCTTGCCACAGGCATAGAGGACATCCTCCCAGATACCCCTGGTATAAGCGAAGCTTGGAGCCGGGGGATCTATTGGTGCCCCTGGTGCGACGGGTTTGAGCACCGCGACCAGCCCCTAGGTATCCTAGGCGATGTGGCAAGCATCTTCGATAATGTAATGCATATCACAACGATAAACCACGATGTGATTGCTTTCACGAACGGCACCCAGCTTCCAGCAAATGAGGCCGATGAGTTTGAAAAATTTTATGGCATCAAACACAACTACTCCCCGATCAAAAACATCACCCGTGCCCAAGATGGTGCGGATCATTTCGATGATGGGAGCCAGTCCGAGTTTGACATGTTCACAGTCCATTTCGAAGGTGACGCTCCACCTGTGAATCGGTCTGTATTCTTCACGGCCTTCGCCTCCAGGCAACGCTCCGATCTACCATACAAACTGGGGCTGAAAATGGTGAATGGGAAGATTGACAATAATTTCAAGGGAATGGCCACCAGCATGTCGGGAGTATATGCAGTCGGGGACTGTAATAACGACGACAGCACCAATGTTGTACACGCAATGTTTAGCGGGAAGCGAGCCGCAATTGAAATCCATCGTAAGTGTGATTTACTCTGTTTTCCTCGTTCGCTTTACCGTTCTGACTTACACCACTCATCTTTTCTTATTTCACCTCATTAGTTCTCTTGGAACGTGAAAATGCGACAGCTATGGGCATGACTTTGAGCCAGCGATCTCAACCCATGACCATCCGCGAACTCGAGGAGCGAGCTGACGGGAAAATTGGAAACGAGTTTGAAAGTTTGTGGCAGGCTAGAACTGGATACTGATGACGGCATCATTGACAACTTTGAAGTCGACATGAAGCAACGAACTGAAAACAAAACAGAGGACGTGAATGCCGGCATTCGCGATGTTAACCTGACCTTTTTGAAACAAGGCACTCGATCAGATAAATGTTTGTACCCTATTCTTGGAGTTATTTTGAGTGTAGCAGGGAATGAATGGTGCCCTTGAATAAGAATGACAGGGGTCCTTTTCCTATCAAGATTGCTTCTCTGCCGTATCTCAAACCATCTCACCAAAATCCACGATTGCATGGATTTGAAGATATATATATATTTGTGTCACGGAAACGCTACTTCCGCCTTGGGTAGGGAATCGACTCAAAGCGCCCTGCTGGATCGACAACTAAAAGGTGCTCATCATGAACCAAATGTAGCAGAAAGGGATTGCGAAAATACAGAATCTTATTTGTAATGTAAGGTCGCGGCCCCATTCATATATTGGGTAATAGCAGATCTCCACCGTAATCCATCATCCTTCCGTCTATAAACCGTCTTCCAGTTAGTTCCAGGGCGATGTGCCCTACACACGGAACACAGCGCTGTGTATAGCCAAAATGGGTCGAGTCCTGGAGAGCGCTATATACTAAAAAGTCGGCACGTTGCACTGACATATTTCCCGCTGTGAGTATTTTGGTTTGCTTCAAGAAGAAGTTCCCAAGCCGTCCCTAGCAGTGATCAATGTATGGATAATCACGCAAAGAGCATTGTCTCGTTCGGCTCAGAGATACAATGCATACGACACTTAAGAGAGAGGCAAACCAAACATCCTTTCGTAAGCTCGACATAATTTTTTTTTTTTTTTTTTTTTTTTCGTTAATTTATTTTTTGCTCTAGCTTTCGTTTCAAAAAGAGAAAGAAGGAAATACCTTTTCCTCAAGGAAACAAATCTTGTTTCCACAGGGTCGACGTCACCAGAATTCGAGGAACTAATTGACTTTATCCTGTCTGCGCCGACAAATTCTTAGCGAGATTTTTGACGTTAGATAACATATATTCGACTTCGTTCTTCGCGATGTTTTCAAGAAGAACACGAAAACGCAACCAGGGGGTTCATCGGAATGCGGCTTCAGGTCTCGAAAGAACTCTAGCTTGACCCAGAGGGATCGAAGCGCTCCTTGGATTTTGTTGCAGCCCGCAGCAGATTATCCGGGTTGAGTCCTAGGACTGGCGCGGAATATTGTGAAATTCTAAATACTGGAGCTCAAGCTTGACAGCGCCGAATTGATTCGGAAATAATCCCCCATGGGAATGCGCCGACCTTGGGATTACAATTGAGTTGGTAATCATTTGCTGGGTTGGGTTTGCTCAGGGGCTTGCCCGCAAAGTGCCAGCATGAGATCCTATTCTTGGTGCAGCAAAACCCTTATGGCGCCGATCAGAAACTGGCCGTTCAGGGTTCGTTTTGACCACGGCTGCTGTTCCCCGAAAAGCTGACACTGGGTGAGGACTACGTTTGAATTTTACGAGGGTGTGAGGAGTCTGAGAAATATCTTGATCTTAGCCTAGCGCCTGAAAAGGGTAAGCTCTCAATCCCCTCTTGAAGCTTTCCTGTTTCTTTTTTTTTTTTTTTTTTTTTTTTTTTTTAAGTCGGAGATGAAAATATTGCTTCCTTTTTTCTTTGTCCTCTTTTTTTTCTTCCCTTTTTGTGTGTGTGCGTGTGTGTATGAGAGGCACCACAAATACATAGTCACCATTGAAATTTTGAGCACGCGAAGAATGTGAGTAACCGCGAACTGGGGAATACAAAACATAGTTTGGGCAACCTGTGGTTAAAGGAGTTTAGTCGGTATGTACAGGGGCCGCTGCCAGTCGCGGATGCTGACCTCGTTTCCGACCTTGGGATATCTGCTTTCGACACGAGGGCTTTTTGAAATAACTAATTCCTACATTAGTCCGCCAAGCTGCCAATAATGACCGCAGCCAACCACGGATAGTCTGTTCCTGGCTCCTGAGGCTGAAGCAAAAAGAACGAAAAACTGATCCAGCTTAATAGCTTCGCCAATGGCGAAGCTATCTCCGCAAAGAGGGAGACCCCGAGGCGGCCCTACTGAACGGCCAGCATGCTGATCAGAGTGACGATCAGGATGTCTCCGACAGCCTGGCATCAAGGTCCCGCAGTCGAGGCCGCAAATTCCCTGCCTCTGTTTCTCACATCCGTGTGAATAAGCGTACCTATGTAAGGCTGACAAGGCCAAATATATTAAAGGATACTCCTCCATCCTTTCATGTTCAGATCTGAGCAAGATGCATCTGCTCTGCATTTGACAACTTGGACGAACAATCCCCGGCCCAAGTGCATGTCGGTCATTGGAAGCGGCACCACTGATTCTCGCATCTTCGGGGGCCAACACATGGGCGCTGGAAAAGGATGAAATATACATACCTTGGGGACAGCCGACAGCAATTTTTGGCGGCAAGATCACACCCTGCCAATGACGTATCGTCGGCTTCGTCAAAGCGAAATTCACAAGAATGGCCGTTGCCCGGCTTACCGTTCCGAAAGAAAGACAAAGATGATCCGAGACGAGGGTCAGAGGAGACAGAGTTGATGCACAGAGAAAGGTAGGTCTGCCACAACGGGTAATACCCACTGCATGATTGCATATTATGGCATACAGAGAGACTGATTGAAAGAATAACTTAATGAAGAACCGATGCTTCATCAGGATCCACCGCCTATCAATCCAACTCCTCATATTCCGAAGTGAAAACGGCCTATGATGGCAGGCAAATTTCCAATGAGCCTGAAGCAAGAACTGTCAACGCCCATCATAAAAGAGCGTGGATCAGAGGAGCTTTGCTATCTACTTACCTTGCCTGCATTGTTCTGCTTGTCAATATCATCATCACCCTTCTTGCTACCTTAAGGGCGTACGGGAAATATGAGAGCGTGGAATTCATATCCGTACCAATATATCAAGGAAAATGTTCGGTTTCGAGAAACTGGGATACGGGGCTACACTTCTTGATCAACTGTTTAAGTGCGGTGACACTTGCCACCAGTAGCTATTGCATGCAATGCCTAAGTTCGCCATCCCGAGCGGATACTGATCGCGCACATGATCAAGGGACGTGGCTCGAAATCGGAACGGCCAGTGTCAGCAACTTCCGTTTTGTTGGGTACAAACGGCTGGGCCTCTGGCTAGTATTGCTGCTTTCTTCACTACCAATTCACATTATGTTAGTGCCTTCAATATCCGATGCCATTGATTGCATATTCTCACTGGATCATCCAGATATAACTCCGTCATATTCGCCTCCACTGCCGTGCATCAATACAAAGTCTTAGTAGCCCCCAACATAGGCGATTACAGCCTTGTGGCTAGCGAATGTGTTAGGTCTGCCCTAAACCTCACGAAATTCGATTTTCTCCAATCCATGACTCATGACTCTTTTGAACGCCTTTCACCGAAGGAATGCATCGATACATTCGCTGTTGACTACCTACCAGGTAGTGGCACTCTTGTGATCCTGACGGACGACTTGGGCCATGAAAATGTCACTGTCTGGGATTCTGGCACTGGTAGCGGTCCAAGAAGGGCGATGAAAAAAGGGAAAAAAGACTACGACTGGATGTGTCGCGGCCAGCAGGGGTTGGATGAATGTAACGACGATCAGATTGACCCTGCAAACTGGAAGGTGACAGCTTCGCCTTTGGAAGTTAAGCGGCTGAATATAACAGCGCCTACTCAGAAGGGAACAGTAACCTTCAATAAGGATACGTATGCGGAGGTGTCACCATGCTACAGTAAACCGCTGACCGCACCTGATACACTCTGCCGAGATATGGAAATTCTTTATCGTTATATTTCAGAGAATCAAGATATTGGCGCTGTTAGCCGTTTCCTTCGCGATCCCCAGAATTGGGCCAACAGCTCGTGGGCTGATGCAGTTACCGCTGAAAGTATTTCTGAATGCGCATATCCAAATGAAAATGAGCCGGCCAAAACGGAGACTTTTAAAGCGGCAGGTTGCCTCAGCGAGAAAATTCCTGAAAATTGCGAACTCAGGTTCAGTTTCCCAGTCGCCATCGCCATACTTGGGCTCAATATTGTCAATGTCATCTGCATGTTCATAACAGCCCATGATGCCAGGGACGATGTGCTGCTGACTATAGGAGACGCAATATCGTCATTTCTAAGTCAGCCTGATCCCAATAGCCGAGGTCGATGTCTTTCGTCCAAATCAAACGTGTATACCAGAGCATTTACAACCTCTTCAGAGACGCGTTATTCTGAGGTCAATATCCCAAAACGTCTGCCGAGGCCCAGAAGATGGTTTCATTCGGTAAATTCGTTCCATTGGTACATAGTAGTTGCACTGTAAGTCCTACCCTTCTTGGAAATGCCGGGCTATTATTTTGTTAACCAGTCAAATTGATTAGGTACTTTGCCAGCCTCGCCGCTGCTATCTATTTGCATCGAATCGAATTCGGCTCCGGATATGGTGAAGGGAAACTCCCTGGGTTTTCGGCCGACTCCGCCAAAGCCGGCTCAGCCATCTCGATCTTTTCGCTCAAGTCCAGCCGCTCGAAAGATATCATGTCATTAATGATTCTTGCACACTCTCCTCAGCTTGTGATCTCGATTTCGTATTTCCTTTACAACAATATTCTAACGTCCATGCTCCTCGCTGCCGAATACAACGGCTATGCTCTACATCGTAACTATCTCCGGGTCACCAAGCCACAAGGAAAGCAAATGTCCGAATTCTATATTAGTCTTCCATACAAATACAGTCTGCCATTGATTGCTGTATTTGTTGTCCTGCATTGGTTGGCATCACAATCTTTGTTTTTTGCGCAGGAAATTCCCTATTATTTTGACGGGCGGTTGGCCGACAAATACATAATGAGTTCGTTGGGCTTCTCCCCAATTCCTATGATAATCGCCATGACGCTTGGAAGTCTTATGCTCGTAGCAGTATCTGCGTTGAGCATGAGACGTTTCGGCTCCAGGATGCCTCTCGCCGGTAATTGCAGTGCTGGAATTAGCGCAGCCTGCCATCCACCAGAGAATGATAGGGACGCCGCATATGAGCCTGTTAAGTGGGGCGAGGTAGTAACAGCTACGCTACAGGAGTTTAGAAACTTGAGTGCAAACGGCGGCGAAGATGACGCTCGTTCCACGCTGAGCCGGGCTAGTACGGCGACGCAGAGCCGTGGCTCTAAGTCAACATCAGTTCGCGTATCGCATGCGATGACGGCATTATCGTTGGAATCTGCCGGTGTTGCGCATTGCAGTTTTACTTCTCATGATGTCGTGACGCCTTCATCGCGCCGACTGTATTCTTAAAATGCATTCTTTTGCTTGATAATGATATTGATTCTCTTGGAGCGAATTTGCTTCCTTTTTATTGTTGGAAAAATGTACAGTAGGGTTTATGATCGTTGGGGTCTGGGTTGGCTCCAGTTAGCACAAGTTAATGAAATGAATTGAACATAAGCACTTCTGGCAATGTGTTACAAAATCATGTTACAATCCAAGAATTTGAAAATTTAAAAAAGTGGTTATGGAGATGTTTCCTGATAGTGGAGAACCACACTCACTATTCGTTCCGATTCACTTGCTCTAGGATATTATAGAAATACCTTCCAGTCTGTTCCTCAACACTAGATGATTGATTAACACATTCTTCAGCTCCTCTCGGGCCTTTCACGCGGCTCACTAATCCACCTCCTTCACGGCCAAGCGCTGCCATTGAAGACAAAGACAATGGAATGGACACAGCCTTAACCCTTTCTTCTGCATACCCTTTCTCCCTACCCCAGAAACACGCATTACGCATGAGGGAGACCATCTCCGCTCCTTGGCGTGCCAGGATAGTTTCTCCATCCGCTTCCAGCGTGCGTTTACGGGTCGGTCGTGGACGGCGAGGAGGAGGCATAGTTGGTGATGCAAAGCAAGAGGCGTTTTCTTCCGTAAGAGGATCGCTGCCAAGTTCACCACTCACTCCGACTTTCTTGAATACATACCCAGCTCTGGAGCTCAAAGCATTACGAGCTCCATCCCCAGATTGAGAAGAAATTTCGAAAGCTTCACCTTCCGCTTTCCCTTTTGGTCTCAGTTCCGGCGCCAACTCTGGTACCGGCTCAAAAGAAAAGTTACTATGCACGAATATCTGCATATGTGGTAAGTTAGGTTTGCCATCCCAGAGTCCTAAAGATTTTACGCTGGGCCTATCATTATATTCAAAGCTGTACGGTGGCCATCGAGATAAGGCCTTTCTACGCCGGGTTGGCTTCTCAGAATCGGAAGAATCAGAATCCCGATCCAGTTGGGTAGGGTGTATCAGATCTAGATCCAAATCTGGAAAGATCGGGTACAGTCTGTGCCACTGATTATGTCCTTCGGGGGGATTTTGAGTACGGGAATAGAATAGTCTCCACCGGTGTGATAGGTGGGAATAGTCTCCGGCGTATTTTTTCCAGCAGAACGAAGAAACAGAGCAGGGGAAGCAAAGGAGTCAAAGTAATTGACAGGATTGCGGAATAGAGCACTTCGGGCTTCAAGAAGTGGGACGAGATCTGGTGGCGATGATGGGATCTTTTTCTTCCGTCCACGCTTCTTTGGGTTATGATCTACTGTTGTTGTTGTTGTTGTCTTTTCTCCATGATTATTATCATTGCTATGTATTTCATCGGCTGCGAAAGTTTCCTCAGGTACAAGGTCGGATTTCAAGCAATAATCATCCAAGCCGGTCCAATCGCATATCGGTTCGTGCGCAGCTACGGCAGTAACAGCTCGTGACTCGGTGAGAGCGAGCATTACTGCCAACGAACCCCCAATGTGCTTTCCAAATACGCACAGCTGCTTCGGTTTCAGATGCTCAAAAATCCAGTCAAACCCTGCCAGTGTATCGTGTACGGGGCCTGGGTAGTAATAACGCTTTTGCTCCCCATTTTCTTCCACCTGTCCGAGCCGATAGTTCACTGTCACAACAGTCGATAATGTGCTAGAAGACAGGGCATGCTGCGGTGACGGAGACGGATCCGAGTACGCGGAATTCTTAGTATCATTTCTGAAGCCTGTTATGGTGTCCAGTTTGTCGTTTGGAAACAGAGGCCCTGGAGGCAGGTAGAGGATAACATTTGTTCGCCGGAAGGCGGGTCGCGTAATAGGTTGTAGAATGCTGTTATACTGGCCGATTAGCCAAAGAGGACTAGGAACAAATTACAGAAGCAGCAAGAAGGGCAGGAAAAAGAGGCAGCAGAGAGCACGAAGTGTACTTTAGGGAGATATTTCCAGAGCTTCCAATTGGGATTTGGACATTGGTTTCATGGAAGTCGGTGAGCGAGACAAGTTGCGAAAGGCGGGTGGAGGAAGAGAATTTCCGGTAAGAGATACCGCATGTGGTCAAGTATATTCCATGGCTAGAGCGTAATGACACTAAGAGTGCTGAAGCCGGCGCGAATTGAGAGCGCATGGCACCCAGAGATTAATCTCTATGATTGTTGTGTCTGGACAAGAGCTGGAACAATGGTTTTGAGTTATGACGGCATCACTGAAAGAGGGCTCTTGCCCTAACCCTAATTAAGGCACGTTCTCAAGAGGCAACATCAATGAGATACATACATTACAGCACTGAGTAGCGTGGAAAAGAAGAATATTCGTCATGAACAGAAATTAAGCAAAATAATTTATGATTGAACGACCAATACTGCCTCCATACGCTATCTAAATTTCGCTAAAGCGTAAGCTTCACTACACACTTTCCAGAAGCATGTAGGGGAAAAGAGAGAGGTCAATAACTAATTAATCATGAACTTCACGCAAACTCTTTTCTTCATGTATTCTCTTTGATCCCTTCCAACTGGTCTTTTATTTAAATTTTTCTTAAAATACATTAATTTCTATGAAGAGTCTTAGCTGCAGCTCATTTGAGGTTCTCCAGATCCTTTCACTTCAGCGTTTTTGACTAGAATACCGCCGACCAAGCTCTAGCTCAGGGGGGTGCGTCTTCTCCGGCTGGTTGCAGGCAAGAGGAAACCGCATCATAAATTTCTTGCAGCTGAGCTGCTTGAGAAGCATACCTGTACTGCGATTCACTGCTATCTCAAGCCTCGTATTTGGGTCACCGCTAAAGTCTTCAAATCCTGTGCTTGGGGGATTGTTAGCTTATTCATGCCTAAAGGCACGGTTGACTCAATGTAGCTGCTTAAAATGGAAGTTTGCCCTGACAGGATAGCTTGTTCAAATGTGATATCTCAATCAAATCCTTCACGATTTTGATGCCGCTTCAAGTGTCAGGAAATGTCAAAATCGGCGACGTAACCGTGGACACAGATCTTACTACCATGTGCTAGGTGAATACTTTCTAAGGGTCGCAGAGGGTGGGAAACTTGTGGCAATCTCTGTGTCAAATATCATGTGAATCAGCCAATTTGTATAACGTGTATACTGCAGGCCGGCTGGAAGTTGAAGTGGGAATTGACTTGAATTTGCGGCTCTTACGTATATAATTATTATATTCACGACACAACCTAGAGTTAGGGATTGAAAGACAATTAATATCCCAACAGCATACATGAGCTGACAGTCCCACCCTTGCGACACGGCAGGCGAGATCGCTAGATAGTAGTTAACCGTGCCAAGCGCATCTCACTATCTCCCATCAGTGAGTGCGCCACACCGTAAAGGTGATAACACCGCAACGGTAATAATTTGAAATAGGTATCTTTTCTATGTGATTCTCATATAAAAGATACCTATTTTCATTTTTATGAAAATCATGAATATCTTCAACAATATAATAGATATGAGTTCTATAGTAACATGAGAGTAACATAGAAGAAAAGGGAAAAGATCACAAATGGTGATCTCTATCGCCAAGTACTTACTTGTGCTTCACAAGTTTTGGTGCTATCTTGTTTGGACATTGGCCTGGTGTATCCCACCGCTTGTCCAGAATTGGTCTAAGAATCTTGAGCTGGTTGCTCATGCAGCTTGCATCTATTGGTGGAGTTTTGACCAGTTTCATGTAAGCTGCAATTGCCAAACCACTCTCTAGTGACCAAAAATATCCACCACCGCGCTCCAACTCCTGGGAAGCATCCTCATCAGCTACACAGCTGTCAGCTTCAACAGCCTTCATAAATTCATCCATGGGCATGCCAGGACCTGTGCCACGGATCAATGCTGTCAGTATCATTTTGATCCCATCAGCTGGCCGAAAGTCCCCTCCAAAAATTGCAGAATTGTCCCGGCCAACCCGCATCTTAACATTTGGGGGAAAGGCTATATGGAGAACGTCAGAGACCCCACCACGGGCACTTGATGGGAGCCTTCCAAGCAGGTTAAATGTTTCTTCTCTGCTCTTCTCTGCCCTGGCACAGTGGCCCACAAGCCAGGGTTCGGGTCACTAAAAACACATTTTGGTGATGTCAGTTTTGTATGCAGCACCATTGGTATTCAATCCGGAAGTTAACAATGCCACAGGCAAAAATCTGGAGGGAAATGGGGGATAGAGATATGATTGATTTCTCACATCGGGGAAAGTAACGTTATAAACCGAGAAGTCGTCTTTGCAATAATATTCACTTGTTGGGTCGTAAAGACTTGCCGGCCATGCAGGATCTGTTGGGATCCCTCGTGCAACTACATAGACAAGGAGAGAAGGGAGTTAGCATGTAGCTCATCAGTTGGTTATTCCAACACAGTCAGGGAATTCTTGAACTATGGATCAATTCACACAGTGAAAAACAAAGGGGGAAGGGGAGGGGGAATGAAGTGTTTACTTTCAGCTTCACTCCATTTTGTATAAGTGTAATTCTGCGGGGCTGGTAGAACAGCATCAATCAAACCTTTCATCCAGATCTCGGGCATTCTTAATAAGTGGGCGTTTGACAATCTGAGCGTTTGCCAGCCCAAGCAGCAGCGTGAATTGAAACAGAGAGGTGAGGATACCCATCTCGATTCCCTCAACTTTATAATGTTCCCGCCTGTTGTTGGCAAAAAGATATGAAAATTAAGCACCTTCAACGAAACTCAAACCCAAAAAGTAGAATGTCGTGGGTGAAGTCAAACCCGGATGGCATTCAGGGCAGGCTCATCAAGATATAAAAGCACTTCGCATGCGACTCAGGAAATTGGAAGAAAATTTTGTTTCCCATAATTCATGCCAATAGTGCAACAGACGGGCAAGGGCTGTGCGCCACCCATATTCATTAATCTCCTTGACAATCCGTGATTTGTACGGAGTAATTATCAACGGAATCACACAGCATGAAATTTCCGATAGCTCACTGGACTTGCACTCACTGCGACACGCAAGGATGTCTGTATGAGGTAATAGGTTTGCAACCCTGCGGTCCCCTCAAAGGGCGACCCCTCTGGCTGGGCGGTTGCTCGGTACGTAGACACTCTCCATCTCACCTACCGAGTACGCTGACAGAGACCCGTTAAGTATAATCACGGCTGTGGGTGTCCATAGTAGAGTCACAGTAGAATCAAAGTCTACAAGTCTGGCGCATTCTCCAGAGCTTCTGAGCATTGCGAAAAGATGACTTGAAACAGCCATCATACATTCTTGAACTGTATTCATTATTTATCGACAGTCAGGTAGTCCATACTGCGTACGTCGTAAGCAGGTGTGTGCTGGCACGTAACTGGGGGTGGAATCCTGCGGGGAATTAATCAAATTGATCAGATTCAGTCGCATGGCTTTAGCTAGAGGATTGATAAAAATTACCCCACAGTTTGGCTAATCCACTGTTGCTAAAATTAATTGGGCTTAGTGTACACCGTTATGTTAAGAAGAGTGTTTGACTACGGAGTACATAGCCAACTTGCTTTATTTCCGTCAAACCTCTTTTGACTACGTCGCAAGCCATATATTTTGTGTTTGCGTATTATCAACCCCTTTTTAAAACTGATTGGTATCAATATTACTAATCATGATGAGGAATAGTACACAGCTTGTACAACCCGTCTGACCCCAGTGTTGTTCCAGGCCCATTGCCCCATGTATATACCTACAGGCAGGTGACAAAAGTATCCAGTTTTCTCCGTATTCAATGCAATGCTACAAAAATATATCTCCATCTTCAATTTTCAATTCTCCATGCCTCGAAGCCCTCTTACCCCTATAAATTCCAATATACAGTGTGGGAAAGAACTAAGTCTCTATGTGAGAGGAATTATTTCTGATTATCATCAATTGAAACTGTAATGTGGTCGGCGTCGCATCGGTGGTTCTGTGGTGACTTATCAGATCTAATGTGATCACCCACCTAACGATCACTCCCACCTAACGATCGCGATTTCCCATACAAATTGACAAAATTATCCACCTCATATATCAATCATTTTTAAATATATTTGATATTTTATTGGTAATTTATAATCTACTATCAAATCTAACTATTATAAGAAAATGATGATATAAAAGATTATATTATTCATTGTGTATTACATATATAAAAGTTCTAAATATTTCTTCATATAAATTTATATGAGATGTATTTGAATTACTAGCTGTATTTTTTATATTTCTATGAGAAAAATGCTAGTTTCTGTAATATTTAAATAACTTTCTTAATATATAGTCTTTTTATATATAAATTGAAATTTAAATTAATTATATAATTTTTTAATAGCTGTTAGAATTTAATTGAAAAATATTGAATAGTTCTATTAATCACAATACAGTAATCTGAATACATCTCATATAATTTATATATGTAATTTATTAAGAAAATCAACTGCTAATACACTTTATAACTCAATACATAATGCAGATTTTTAATATCTAAAAATTGTATAATCTACTATGTAGATATACATATATAAATTACATATTATATATAAATTTGATAGGGTTATTGTTGAGATTTATGTATCTAAGCATTCTTGATTTAGTATGCAAAATAGCGATCGTTAGGTGGGAGCGATCGTTAGGTGGGTGATCACGTTAGTTAACTAGTTAATAACTAGTTAGTTAACTAACGTAATTCCCAAGCGAGCGAGCAGCCCAAGCGAGCGAGCAGCCAAATTCTTCCACCTACTAATTTACCTACTCATCCACTTCAACGCGCAATTATGCCACCAATTCGCTCTAAAGATGCTAGGAACTCTATAGAGATAGAGGGAAGACTTGAACTCGCGATAAATGCTATTAAAAAGTAGGAAATATCCTCTATTTCTGAAGCTGCACGCATCTTTAATGTGCCACGCTCTACACTTGGTCATAGACTCAGTGGTCGATCTTCACGGGTGAATTTACGCGCAAATTCACATAAATTAACTCCTGATGAAGAGGATAAGCTTGTTCAATGGATCCTAGACCTAGCTTTACGAGGACTACCACCCCGGCCTGCATTTGTGGAGAATATGGCTAATCATCTTCTTGCCATACGGAAGCCTAGCCATACAAACCACCCTCCTCGCGTTGGCAAGAACTGGGTGTCAAATCTAGTGGCACGCCGTCCAGAGCTCCAATGCCGCTTCTCAAGACGCTATAACCATGATCGGGCCAAGTGTGAAGACCGCAGGATTGTGGAGGATTGGTTTAAGACCCTAGAGAGGGTAATGACTGAGCATGGGATTGTGTTTGAAGATATTTACAACTTTGATGAAGCTGGGTTTGCAATGGGGCTCTGTGCAACTACCAAGGTCATTACTAGTGCTGAGCACTACGGACGAGCAACTCTTATACAGCCTGGGAATCGTGAGTGGGTGACTGCAATTGAGTCAGTCAACGCGTCAGGATGGGCCCCTCCGCCGTATATTATCCTCAAAGGTCACAATATTCAGGAAGGCTGGTTTGACGGGCTGCCGGAAGGCTGGAGATTGGATGTTAGTCCTAATGGCTGGACCACAGATGAGATAGGAATCAAATGGCTTACACGGCTGTTTATTCCAGCTGCAAATCCACGCAGGGTTGGAACCCATATTCTTCTTATTCTGGACGGGCACGGCAGTCATCTTACTCCGGAATTTGACCAAATCTGCAGTGAGAATAAGATTATTCCTCTCTGCATGCCACCACATTCTTCACACCTTTTGCAGCCACTAGATGTGGGTGTTTTTGCACCTTTAAAGCGCGCGTACGGAACCCTAGTTGAACAGCGAATGCGGCTAGGATTCAACACCATTAAGAAGGCAGATTTCCTAGATGCCTATCCTGCAGCACGTCGGGAAGCCTTCAAGGCTTCAAACATTCAAAGTGGGTTCAGGGCCACTGGAATAGTTCCATTGGATCCTCAATGCGTTGTTCAGCAGCTGAATATTCAACTCCGAACCCCTACTCCCCCAGCCAGCAGGTCAAGCAATTCAACGTCATCCTGGATCCTACAAACACCTAGTAACCCCCGGCAATTGCAGAAGCAGGTGAATAAGGTCAGAAATCTTATGGATCAGGATCAACCTCATGGGTTAGTGGAAGGCTTTGACCAAATAATCAAGGCCTGCGAATACGGGATGGTCAGCGCCATGGTTATGAAGAAGCAGTATGAGGATATTTTCAATGCAAATGAGAAAGAGAAGCAAAAACGCAAGAGGTCTACACGCAGGATCCCAAGTGCAGGGGGTCTAACTAGGAATGAAGCTCAGAATCTTATTATTCCTGCAGCTGAGCCTGTTGAACAGCCTGTTATTCAACATTCCGTACCTGCGGCCCCGGAGCCTAGACCCCGCATACGAGCGCCACAACGCTGCAGCAATTGCAATACTGTTGGGCATACAAGAATAAGATGTCCTCAACTTCATGTAATTTAATTTAATTTAATTAGTGGTTGGTGGGAGTAGATAATTTGATTTAAATTCTGGTTAGTTGAGATATGCTAGTTTTGCTGCTCGCTCGCTTGGGCTGCTCGCTCGCTTGGGAATTACGTTAACTATTTGTCCAGCTTATGTAAATCTCTCTCCACCATCAGTGATGCAGTTCGAAGTTTGATCTTCAACATTTCTTAAATACTATCTCCACCGAAAGGTGGACAAGGATGTTCATGCAGTCATTCAAGGCCTAGATACACAGAAACAAATCATACATGCCACATGTTGAATGATCCGCACCGTCAACCCACACCGACCGCAGGAGCTCACCACCGAAGAGTCATCGTCGGTCAACCAACAACCTCACATCAAGGAATTGATCGAGAAACGTGACTATCTCAGTAAACATCTCGGACATCCCATTGCCAGACACAAGGGGACCGTCAAATATGAGCTTTACACCAGAGTCAGCTGTGAATTGGCAGGTGCACACCAGCAGGCTTGAGACAAGCTTCTACTCAAGAAAACAGGAAAAGTTTGACTTTGAGGAGCCCCTGCGCGAGATCAAGCGACAACTGTCGGGCATCAAGATCTCAAGGAAGGTTGAAAAATCTCTTGATGCCAATGCAGCAGTTTCATTGATACATCAACAACTTGTATTAATGCTGCTTAGTCTTAACTTGACTTGGCTCTTGGCATGATCTGACCATGACCATCAAGTATTATGAACAATCCATTTCTAAACCATCATTTACCCATCCGCTTCCCTGCTCCACATTAGTATCTAGGGAGGTCTACCACAAACAGCCTTGAAAGAGCCATGACCATGGAATCAGTGCTGTTCTACTATTGAATTATGACCCAATCCTGATTGCAAGGAAAGGGAGTTGAAATGGATCAATTACATTTCCATGATCAGATGCTATGAGCACAACTTTCTCAACTGTTCCAAAGTTCTCAACATAGAACACATTGAAGCTGTTGTTGGAAAGCTTGTCTGTAACAATTGCTACTTGAACTGAGTCAGACTCACTAGAATGGTGCTGGCTTTTCCTACCTCTTAGAAGATGACAGACTCTCTTCTCAAAATCCAGCTCTGAACCAAGCATCAAACAAATGCAAAGACTCTCCACCACTTCCCAAGAGATCTTGGAATGTTTCACCACCAGCAAACCTCTATTATCCGCCCAAACACAATCCGAGCTCAGAGACTATAAAAGTTCTTTCAACCAGGTTCAAAGCTGCAGAAGACGCCCTGAGTGTACAGTTTCTTCCCAATCCCTGGCTAGATACATCCTGATATCCCATAGCTCATACTATCAACCTCAAGCGAGTTCCTGTTGCAGTGCAAACTGTTAGGCTGGGCGTTGTGCTGAGTTAAGCTATGCAGACTCAAACGCAGCTTCAAAGGATTCTTCATATGTTGAACCACTACTTCCTTTTCACATTGCCCTTCTTCAACGCGTACTCCAAGCCGAAGGCAGTACCTAGATGGCACCCTGGTGGATACCACTGAACACCTACATACAACGCGGTAAATGGCATTCAAATATCATGAAGTTGAAGTCGAAATCGAGGGCGGGGAACTAGCATCAAAGCCAGATTTCGATTTAGATTTGACTCAGTTAGGAAATGACATGCAAGATGGGGAAACAGGAAATTCTTCTTGAGGGATGCCTCGCGCTAAACTATTAAACCACAGCAGGAAGAACTGGCTCGGCTGGGCCTCAAATGATGTCTGAACTACTGTCTATCCTGTGATCGGCAGACTGGTGGTGATAACTTCTGCTCCCAGGTTTGTCAGCTGATCAAATTGGAAAGCAGCTCCTCTCTTCTTCAGCCCCAGTCTGGCCTAGCCTCCACATCTGGAACGTTTCACCACAGCAAACCTCTATTATCCGCCCAAACACAATCCGAGCTCAGAGACTATAAGAGTTCTTTCGACCAGGTTCAAAGCTGCCTGGCAAACTTGTTAAATGGTTGTGCTCATAGTGATATATATACCCATGGGTGTGGTGGTGTGGCCCGGCCCACAGCGGGAATGGCCACTGAACCCACCACTGATACACTGCGACCGCCAGCCGCAGCATAGTGGGGAACCACATCACTAGATATTATCACTAGATATCATTGCTAGATATTATTACGAGATATCATCACTAGATATCATCACGAGATATCATTGTCAATATATATATATACTGTGGTTTCCACACGGGCTGGTGGTTGCAGTGTATCAGTGATGGGTTCAGTGACCACGCCCACTGTGGGCTGGGCCAGACCACTCACATCCATAGGTAAATATATATATGTGTATATATATATATCTCTCATTGATATATATCATTGCTAGATATCATCATGAATATCATCACTAAATATAATAAGCTAGTACTATGATAACTAGATTAATCATAGCAAAAAATCAACATAACCATTTGTTGAATCATTGTGCTTATAATGATATATATATTCATGGATCTGCTCCACAGTGGGTGTGGCCACTGAACCCATTATCTATACACTATACACTGCAACCACCAGCCCGTGTGGAAACCACAGAGTGTATATATATATGTATTGGCAATGATATCTTGCAATGATATCTAGTGATAATATCTACAATGACATAAATTCATTGGTTTAAAATGTACCCAGAGAATTCAAGATGCACAGCTTTCTAGTATAAATTTCTATCAATGAGTGTCTATAAGTGGAATTAAGTAATTACAGTGGAAAACATCAAAAAAACCCATTTGACACATTTGTCACTATAGGCTGCCGTCCTGGCTAACCCTTGAGTTTTATTGGAATAAGAAGAAAAGTCACAGATTTCCCAGAAACTGAGACTGAATAGGCTTGAAAATCCGTCATTAATAGAACGTTCTCCGGATAATAGCATTTCTAAATTCCGGAAATTATTTGGTAGAAGGGCATGCAGCAAATATGCAAGCCGCCATGTGCAACTTCGGCTTATTAAACATGTTGCTATTCGTGATCACCAGGCAAGATCATATGACGCTGGCGTTTCCAATATAAGATGCCCATTCTAGAATTATCTGCATGTATGCCTGACAGAGTAACACGTTGGATATCGGACAATCTTATCGAAACAGTAACTTGATATATCTCAGAGCTAGTTAGAAGCCAGTTATTTCAATCATTCCACGGCAGGATCGTCGCAGTCACGCCGTACTTCGATATGTTCTTGCCATGGTTTCGGCTTCACGATACTAATGGTTAAGTCGCGATCCTTGGAACAAACGCGAAGTCCCACTACACATACAGCATTCCATGGCGGCTTAACGCTGTACTCGCCGTCATTGTTGTCATCGTCGTCTTTCTCATGTTCCTCACTGTCGCTTTCAGATTCTTCGGTCGGTGACATATCAATTTCAGAATCAAATTCAAAAACGGATCCTGAATCGGTGTCGCTATCTGTCTCCAACTTTTGGGATAATTCAGGAAGAGATTCAGTATTTTCTTCTGGCATTCCGGGGTGTCCATGCCTCTGCTTTTCGTTTTCCGTCCCTTTCGTAAGCTTGGAGGTAGTGGACATCTCGATTTCCCTTTTCTCCTTGTCATTTGCGTTCTCTGAATCTGGGTGGGATTCGATATTTCCCTCATCTTCTCTCTCCGGGTCCTCACCCTTCTGTACTTCTTTCCCCTTCGCATCCTCTGTTGATGGCTTCAGGTCCTCGCCTTTCATTTTATTGTCTTCCTCTGCTCTGACTTCCTTTCCTTGGTTTGGCACCTCTGAGGATTCCATATCTTTGTCATTGTTTTCCGTGGCTTTTCCTTCAAGTTTTCCGTTTGCATCTCCCGTTCGGGGTGTTAGGCCTTCATTTTTATTCTCCAGATTTACAGCCCTTGGAGTTTCCGTCGCCTCCTCATCTCCCTCCCGATTGCTCCCATCAGTACGTTCCGCATCACCTTCCACCACTTGTCCTACTTTGTTCCCACCCTCTTTCAGCTCCTTGTCGTTTTTAGCTTGTAGCTTGGCTGCCCTCTGCTCCGTTGCCCGCGCAGCTCTTTTTGCCTTCCTGTTTTCTCTGGCTGCAATTTTTTTGTCTCTTTTCCATCCTTTTCTCAACTGAGCTTCCGCACGACCCCTCTCCTGTTTCTTTAACGCCGCCTTCTTCTCTTTCTCTCTTTTCTTCCTTTCCGCTTCCTCTTCCTCAGACTCCAGTTCTACTCCCTTCGCATGAGCTAAATCGTACGAGTGTCCGATTTGAACGAGCTTCTCGCGTTGTTTGCTAGCTTTTTCTCTAATAACATCTTCTGGTGGAGGATTGCTAAATTGCGTAGCTTTTACTCGTACGAAAACAGTGTATGTTCCGGGCTCCAAAGTGATATCGGTGCTAACAGAGCGGGTCATGTAAATGTTATTTTGATTGCGGATGACATAGTCCTCTTCGCCTTCTTTCTCAAGACGGAATTGCAGATGGAATTTGTACTGGCCTTCCAGTCCCTTGAAATAACGTTCGTCAAGCTACTCCACAAATTAGCTTAGTATTTGAGCTTGCAGGGTAAACATTGAACTGTGTACCTGCGATAACACAATTACTACTGGACCCTCCTTAGCTACTTTGATTACGAATTTTGTTTTGTGATATTCGAGTGCCCAGGGCACATGGAGGCTGGTCCACTTCTGCGCTACCGTCCAACCGTCTCCAAAAAGACGAGTCCGATCGATATGTTCATATTTAAGAAGAAAGTCTTCGTAAGAAATCCAGAATATCTACCACACATTAGTTGGAATGAATACGAGAGGCAATAGCCTGCTGTGGGAGCTCATTGGAAAGTAGGACATGGGACTTACTCCGTCATTTCCAAATTTATGTTGCAAAATATTCATCCATTCAGGTGTCCATTGTTCAGAGCCATCGCTCCAGGGCCCTGACCATTCCTTATGACCCCAAGGATTTCTGTAGGATAATTTAGTTCCGCAGTTGGTAAGTTTCCTGAGAAAGACAATATGACATACCTAAGACGCAACAGTCTTCGCCCCATGATTTCCTTCGCATCCATGACCGAATATGCGTGACATTCATGTATACCAGACCTCTCCTTAGAGCCATAGTATTGAGGGTACAACCAACTACCATACAGACCAGTGGCACATCCGAAGACGAATTTCTTGTTAACGTTCATGAGATCCTCGTTCCAAAATCTTTCTTTGTCAAGGATATCCCGAGCCATAATTTCAGAAGTGACGCCTCCGGTAAGGTCTTCAACCGCTTCTCTAGCCATGGAGTTCAATAGTTGTAATGAAGTTTTGACTAACGTAAAATAAAATGCATCGCACTCACCCAACAAACCCGCCTTCGATACTTGAATAATCACCATGCGCTTTTGCGTAGGCCTTTTCCAGCAATGGCAACCACGTCTCGTTATCGTCGCTGCATTGAGCAAAATACAATGCTCTTGAACCAGTTTGCCAGGTCTTTCGATAGTTCAGCTCCGTGTCAGCGCGACCAATATCATCCCAGACTTCCCTTTCCCATGCCGCATCTTCATAATCCGGGGCTCGGAGGTAGAGCTTATCGTCAATGATTGTATGTCGCCACTCGCCATCTAATAAATGGTGTTAGAACACGGATGTCTACGCAAAATAAAAAGTATATATGTCCACACAGAAAACCGGTACGGGTACAACATGCCTCTGTAAAAGACAAACCCGTATACGCCAACTTTCTCATTCCGAGCAACGCAGACTCTATCGATTAGGCCTGGCATATTCCCCAGAGTGCATATCGCAGCCATAAGCCAGCAGTCACCATCATTTCCCTGACGAACATCACTCGCAGTAGCATTATTTACGTAGAACTCTGGTTTCTCGAAAATGTCCTATAAAAGAAGTAAATAAAAGGTAGATACACTTTTGAATGATGACGAAGGGTATGGAAAAAAAAAAAAAAAAAAAAATTGAAAAAAGTTCCTTACCGTAACCCGCTTCACACCTTTCGGCTTCATCTCCGAATTCACACCCTGGAGTCCATCAAGGAAATTTCGCTGACCAGACTTGAGATCCCTTTCAATGTCGAAATGAGGGTCCGTATACTTCTGGTTAATGCGCAAACACTGTTTCACAATACGGTCCACTGCGTGTTCGCATTCGCGTTTGGCACGATCGTAAGAATCAAGGGCAGCTTCGCCGTGGGCAATATTCGAAACAGGCTGTGAAGCAGTCTTGCCCGGTCGGTACGACAAAGCCTTCAATACCCTTCCCGGGTACTTTGAATTAAAGGACTTCCAAAACGTATCGACCAATTTCTGTGGCACATCATCCTTCCACGCACTCGGAACAGCTGAAACTATAGAATCGATTCTCGACGACTCACTTTCTCCATCCATGACAGGTTTGTGAGCAGCCTGTGCGACTATCTCGGGGAAACATGCAAACTCAAGGGTCCTCTGGAAATGCTGACCGTTGGCCAGTGTATTTGATCTTGGTCGCAAATAACGACATTGTGAGCGAGGCCATGGCCTTTTGTACCTTGTCAGGGGATAACTGGTGAGCTGTGAAGCAGACCACTGTAGGCCTCCAGCCCCAAGCCTTGTATTGCCAGGTCGCACCCTGCCAGTGGCTTTGATATCCGTTCTAGTGTCCAGCTAAAAGACACTTGGCGGCTGAGTTTTATTGGTCCTGGCGCAGTGGCTTGTTATTTTGGTATGAGAATAATGCCTTGCAGGACAGCTGGCTGGGACTCTAGACTCGAGCTGGCAGAATGCTGCACCCGTAGCTCTGAGTGGTTCGTTGGACGCCAATATGATCAGGTTTGCACGACTGACAGCCAGGGTTTGAAATAAAATTTTAGGGCTGAGTGAGCACTCAGAATCTCCTCCTTAGTCCGGAAGATTCCTTTGAGCTTGTCCAATATATACTATTGTTTAGCTTGATCCTGCAAGGATTGTTTGTAGTCTAGCCTCAGCTAGTTAGTTGCTGCATAGTGGATACGAAGAACCATTCGTAAATCGACTGCAAATCCTATCCGCTTATCCTCTGCCTAGGAAGGCTTAGATGTTTGCAAAACTGGCTTAGTCTTCGGGATTACGGCGTTCGACTCATTAATTAAGTTAGATGCTGGTACCTACCTAATTCTCACAACAGCTCCCCATATCCTGGAAAGCTGGTCATCAAGCTGGTGCGGATAGAACATTGTGAGGCAGCGATTTAGCCGGGACAAATTAAGCAACCTTAACACGGTTCGAAAACGGTTTGGTTTTATGCAGGCGGAATGAGGTTCCCGTGCATAGGATCCCCACTAGACTCCTGTCGTTGCCCAGGTGATGGAGATGTTATGCGAGTTTCATCGAGAAGTACCTGATTGCATTCGATCTCAGAATTGCGGCGCAGTAGCAGTTGTCAATGAGTTACATTCAGTGGGTAAAGAGCAATCGAACGCCTTGCTCGTCCGATGCAGGAGACCGTAATATACCCGTTAATCCCCAATTTGGCCGAGGTCCCTTTCCCTTCCTCTCATATCCCATTCATCAATGAAATGACTCCCAATCGTGGGATCTTCATATGTATGTATCGGGCTTCAATATTGGAGATTCGGGAATAAGGGTAAGTTGAAATATTTCTTATCACAGAAAAATAGCTTTTATAAGGTTGAAGGTATCATGCAAGGAGAAAGGGAAGGGAAGGAAGGAGGAAGGAGGAAAGAAACGGGGATTTATTACAATTAAGGAAATTTATCTAAGCAAGAACGATTATTTTCTAGACAAAAAACATCTCAGCCTGACTCTCGTCGTAAAATGAAACCGGGGGGGGGGGGGGGGAAAGAAAAGTAGATGAACACGCCTCGGAATTCCGAACAGAGCTACACAATGTAAAAAGGAAAAAAGAAAATATCTCCATAGGTCGGGGAGCGGCCGAGATAAACATAAAAGAAGCTTAAATGAAGAAACAAGAACACGTAAGGGGGGATGAGGCTGTGATGTTTGTGAATGAGAGATTGGGGGAAAAATGGTGTGGGGAGAAAACAAGGGAAAGGAAAAAGAAAAACGTTGCTAATGACATCATTATTCATGGATATGGCTGCAATCTTTCTCGCCCCGAATAGGCCGAGCTACCAGCTTGGAAGTATGGGTGCATGCAGGCCTGCTTCGCCGATATACGTCGTGCAGGGTCATATTCGAGCATGGCATCTAGAAGATCAAGTCCGTTACGTTCCAGGCCGGGAACCAGCTTTCGAGTGTCTTCACGCTTCCATTTAGGAAATGAGGCTTTGAAGTCGGGGAATGAAGTGACACCGGGCCAGGTATTCTCATCCGGGGTTCCGAGGAGTCTAGATTTTCGTGCGTGTCAGGTTGAACTGGGGAAGGTTGAAAGGGAGTAAAACAACTAGGTAGCAAAGCTGAAATAGGCTTACTTGAAGATCTTGAAAATTTCATCAATCTCAGAATCTCCGGGGAATAACGGCTTGCGCGTGCACATTTCTGCAAAAATAGCACCGACGGACCACATGTCGACACCAGTGGAATATTGACGGCCGCCTAATAGGATTTCCGGTGCACGATACCAGAGCGTGACAACCTCGAAAAACACTTAGCAATGGGTTTTGCACCCGAGTACAAGAAACACTTACCTCGTGGGTGTACGTGCGCAACGGGACACCGAAAGCTCGAGCCAAGCCGAAATCCGCCAACTTGAGATTACCCTCACGATCAATTAAGAGATTTTGAGGCTTCAGATCGCGGTGGAGGACTCGATGGCTGTGGCAATACCGTATACCTTCGACGAGTTGAGCCATGAACTTCTTGACCATCGCCTCTCCCAGGCCCAGTCGATTCATATCGAGTGTCGACCCATCGGGCAGCGCTTTGCCACGACCACCCTCGCTGACGGGAAGTGCCTCCATATATTTTTTTAGATCGAGGTCCAGGAATTCGAAGACCAGGTACAGCTTGTGGCCGTCAGCGTGAACAATGTTGAGGAGTCTAACAATATTGGGATCGTGCATTTCCTTCAGGAGAGAGATTTCGCGAATGGCGGTGCTGGGGACGCCCTCATCCTCAGCCTCAAGTCGAATCTTCTTCAGCGCAACAATTCGATTGGGATGCGTGAGATCTCGAGCCTTATAGACCACACCGTACGTCCCTGGATATATGATGTTGCCCATCAGTAAAGCATTCACCACCACTGCTGCCGAAGGGTCTTGGGCAGACTCGAGATGGTACGAGCCTCAAGCTTACCCTCTCCAATCTTCTCAATTTTCTGATAATTCTCCATGCTTGAAGATTTATATCCTAGAGTAGGTCTCACACAAGCGCTATTAGTATACTCCTTTCAGTCAAGAAAGGCTAGATAGAGCTGCGCGAGGGTTGCGTCGAACAGCAAAGCGAGAGAGGCTCTATAAGATAAGTAACGACGGGCTGAGTACGTCGTGCTAGAGTGGCTAGTACATGTACAAACACACTTAGGAAAACGCCAGAAGTATCCTGGATTCTATGTCATTGTCGAGGAATTGGTGTTGTCAGAATATCTTTCCCCGCAATGTTGGCGTGGTTGGTGGTGCTGTCAGCGGAGGGGAAACAGCAGTAAATTTTTTGCGGTTTCTCTGGTTTCTGGAGTTTACATTTCCCCAAACAAACACCGCGACTGGTTCTAAGGTTTGATCAGCACGCGCCTCACCGCCCAGACGGCAGAATACGCCTGGACAGTGGGGCAGATTTTCTTGATGTTCAACGACAAACTCTTGTTGAAAGAATCCGGGCTTAAACTAGCTTGTTCAACACGTCGCAATGGTGGAAATCACACGGTTTAATGCCCACGAAAAACCACCCGCTGTTCTCCGTCAGTTGTATAAGCAATATCGCGGTCTCAAACTCTCAGAGATTAACTCGCACCCTCTGATTCTAGACCCCCAGCGACAGTCTCACAATAGCTTTAACAATGGATTTCAGAGTGAGGGACATGTGCCTTGCCATTCCATTTCGTCAGCGTTGGACCAGTCGCTACAATGTCAGATATACAAGGACGAGTTGAAAGACATTCCTGTCTATACACATCAGGCAATTCCAGGTGAGACGCTCTCTACTCCGTGTCAATAGGATGCAGCTACTGATATTGCTCAATGGCAACATTATCCCAGGCCTACGTATTATCCCATCCCTTTTGCCTCCTGCTGTGCAGATTGAATTATTGTCTCGCATCTTCCACCGCGATCTATCAAACGAAAACCACAGGACCAATATCCATCTCCATTACCACATGTCATATCCTAGTCCACATGAAACTCTCTCCACCGCCGACACTGCAGCATTCCAGGACGGTCGTAATTCTTCCTCGCAGAAGAGGGCTTCATTTTTCCAAGATAACCCGGCTCGAGAACTAGTCCCAAAGGACCCCTCAGTTCATCCGCCGTTGTCAATAGCATCATTTCTGGGGAAAAAGCTGCGCTGGATAACACTTGGCGGGCAATACAATTGGACGGACAAAGTGTATCCTTCTGAAATACCCCCTCAATTCCCGGCAGATATAGCCAGCCTGCTGCGCAAGATCTTCCCCGAAACAAAACCGGAGGCTGCCATAGTAAATCTTTATTCTCCTGGCGATACCCTAAGCGTCCATAGGGATGTAAGCGAAGAGTGCGACACCGGCTTAATAAGTATTAGTTTTGGATGTGATGGTCTTTTTATGGTGGGCCACTTGGACGGTGCTGGTTGTGAAATCATCCGACTGCGCTCGGGCGATGCTGTCTACATGTCTGGTCAGGCAAGGTTTGCTTGGCATGCAGTACCCAAAATCATTCCGTCAACTTGTCCGGAATGGCTGGCAGACTGGCCCGGCAATGCTGCTCAATTCGAGCAATGGCGAGGTTGGATGTCGAACAAAAGAATCAATCTTAACGTGAGACAGATGAAGGATGCTGTGGGCTGACTCATATACTGTATTGCTCAGCAAGATTGCTCATTGTTGGACTGTACAACCAAATATTGATATTTACGCCCAGCCAAGTTTTACCTTTTTCAAATCGGCCATAGTGTATACAAAACGATTAACACTACTCCATCTTCCGGATCGGTCGCTTCATCTCCCCAAGTCAGCCCTCGAACCTGGTTCCTCGCACGTCAAGCAAGTGCTGAAGGCCGCTTACCAAGCTTGCCTCCCAAAAGGTCTTCAAAACGGCCTACTAGATATGCCAATCCAGCGTTAGAGTGTACTTCTCCTTCTGCACTCGATGTGGTGAGTTAAAATGCTAGCTGTACACCGAAGAATTTGAACATGGTATGATAGTGCATTGATTTTGGTTAACGCCAGGAGACGGTTGTTGTGAGAGAGGAATTACTGCGAGACTACTGCACTCACATTGGCCTAACCTGAGGATTCTGGCATAGGGACTGTGTCATGAACGCTATAGGTTCTCCATCAACCCATCTATTCAGAATTTTGTTAGATGAAATTAGTAATTGCTTGACCTGCTTTATATTGGGGGATTGGATTGGGTGATTCGTACCCTCTATACCACCACAGCGCTGGTGGTGATCGAGCTCTTTTGCCCTAGTGGCCTAATACTTTAATAGTGGTGAGTTGACTCTGCTTGCCGCGCTCTGCCAAAGTATGGCCTCTTATTGGCCAGTTTAACGCCTACTAACCGAACGTACTTCGTAGAATCCATTTCTGGCATTCACTTGCATTGTTTAAGTCTCACCCTCTTCGAGTTTCCACTCTGTTTGGACCCTATTCCCATCATCGTTTGCCGATGACTATGACCAGTTGCGCCCGCATTGCAAATGCGTTTCAGCACCGCTGCCGACAGATTCGATTTTTCACCCCAACCAAAAATATGCCCACCATTATGGAATCGAGCAAGTCAAGTATGCGTATGTCGAGGAAGGTGTCGAGCGCCTGGACTACTATGTCCGTGGCGGATACCATCCAGTAAAAATTGGTGACGAGTTCCAGGAAGGCCGCTATGTCATTGCCCATAAACTTGGATTTGGACGATCTGCCACTACCTGGCTAGCTGAAGACAAAGTAATAAAAAAACTTCTTATCACCCTCAAAATTTCCACTACAGAATCAGTTGAGCGCACTCACGAGGAACAAATTCTTTTACGACTGACTAAGTCTCGATCAGTGTTGCCCGGAGAAGCCATAATCCAGACATTGCTCGATTCTTTTACCTTCTCTGGGCCTAATGGGACGCATCGGTGCTTGGCTACGGGTGCTGCAAGGGTCAGCATTCACGTTGCAAAGGACATAGCTTATCATCGCCTTCTCCAGCTTGAAGCCGCCAGAGCCATTGCATCCCAATTGATATTGGCACTGCAATTTGTACATGCTCAGGGGGTTGTTCATGGCGGTATGTTTTGGTGCTATGTCATAACATACGTGAACTGGCTTATAGAGTCTAAACCAGGTGACACAGATCTTCACGCTGGGAATATTCTCCTTCATCTACCGCCAAATATTCGGAGCATAACCCGTGAACAGCTGTACATAAATGTTGGAAGGCCTGACGAGGAGCCCGTTGTTCGTGCGGACGGTTTACCCCTTGATAATCGGATTCCTTTAAAGGTCGTTTTCCCTGTGTTGCTGGGGCTTGGAAGTGATGAGATCAAGTTGGCCGATTCTTCCATTCTACTTACAGACTTTGGAGAAGCTTTTGATTCTCAAAGAACACAGCGATTCACTGCACATGCACCAGTCCCCTTATCACCGCCGGAATCTCGATTTGCGGATGAACCGCTTTCTTTTCCATCAGATATCTGGACGCTTGGGTGTGTGATTTGGGACCTTTTTGGATCTAGTCCACCATTTGAAACTTTCCCCGGCTCGCAGGATGACATTATCGTCGAGCATGTTGAGACATTTGGTAAACTCCCAGATCAATGGTGGAGCAAGTGGGAGACCCGCGGCAGCTGGTTTGATGAAGAAGGTCATAAAAACGTCAAGGAGAGCCTGCGGCAGTATTACGGCAACACCAGCCGGAGCTGGACCCAGCGGTTTGCGGAGATAAATATCTCACGGCAGAGCAAGAAGCTCGAGACCTTTGACCCTGAAGAGGAAAAATCATTTCATGACATGATGCGATCTATGTTAGTCCTTGAGCCGAGTGAAAGGGCTAGCATAGACGATGTGGTGAGGTGTGAGTGGATGCAGCGATGGGGTCTACCTGAGTTTCAGAGAATGCAAAGTGCTTTAAGAGACTGATGCTTTGCCGCCAGTCTTGCTGATTGAAATTGTTGCTGCGACGTGTGCGGAGGATTGTGAAAGCAGTCTTGTCAGGATGAACCCTTGGGTATAGGCCTTTGAATGCGGAGTCTGCCATCACATAAGTAGAGAAGAAGCAAGCACAGCTAAAATATTTATACATTTTATGAGCATGAATATGGGCCAGCACCCTTGCCCCCGCCGCCCCCCCCCCCAAAAGAAAAACTGGGAATGAACTTGTGCTCATGGCAAAAAGGAATATGAAATAGTACATGTTGAACATGCTCCACAAACTCTTCATCTTGTTGCATTTGGCATTGGGGATAGGGCACAATAGGCTCTATTTATTCCCAACAGAATGGCGGACCCGATCGGTACACTTGTGCACATCAGGCCATTCCACAATGCTGCAAAAGTTGTTCAATGAAATCCTCAAAGATTGAAGCATCTGTCAAGCCTTGAAAGATGTGGGGGAAAACAACACCATCCAGAGCATATGCTGGCAATATTTGATACTGTTTGCTCCGGTGAAATTGGGATACTTGAACTGATATCACACTGAGAGGAGACCAGTCTGTCCTTCAAAAACCTATACATTTATCACATTCAGACTCATCAACATAAACAAGATGATATGAGTGGAAATCAGAAAGACGATGAAGGTAGAAGTTCTGCAACTCTACATTGCACTCACTCGCTTTCTACTGGGCTGTCTTTTGTGACCAACCATCAAGAGAAACTGTCCGGCTAACAGCCGATTTTGACATATTCACATTGAATTCATCCCATAGAAAGACCACCATTTCATCAAGATATAGACTGGGGTTTTCAAGCAAATGATCGCAGAGTGCTTTAAGTATAAAGAGCTTTGTGGCCGTCCAGTATTAATGAGAGGGGCTCGAATGCTATCCAAGAGTCCCAAGTTAGAGCGGATCCGA